TGGTAGTGAAGGAGCCACCTGGTTAACCAGGGCCATGCCAGGACCTGATGTCAGTGATTGATGGCTGGATCAGGCATGGGGAAGTCCCTGGTGGCTGACAGTTGGACAGTGCTGTAGAAGTCCCACCCCAGGAGGAAACCCACAACCAGGCTTCTCCTGCAGAACAAGAACTTTTCTGTTTCAGTGTGATACTTGTGCGTAGCCGCAGGTCTCCAGGAAAGAAAATCGCAGGTGTGCCGTGAACGCCCCTTCACACTGAAGTCATAGAGAGAGGTCATCCACGACTTGTACTTGTGGGGCACATCCTGAATAGCATCACAAAACCTCTGGTGTGTAGGCATCTGACGCTGAACATCGTCCCATGGGCGTCCTGCCGTATCGAAAAACGGCCAGTTCCACGGCGTGATGAATGTGGTGAGATGCCTACCTCCTCCTCCAACTCCACCCCGATGAAATCCCCCTGCAAAGCATGCCAAGACGGTTTTGAATCCAGGCGCTGGCACTCCAGACACCATGTCGCACGGTGCAGGTGTGTGGTGCGCCTCCCCAGACAGCTTGTACCAGGCTAAGTCTACAGTGCTCCTGGGCTGACCGTTTTTCTGGCCACACCATGACTATCCTGGCGCACCACCTGTAGCCCTCATCACACCAGCAGGCAATTGGCTGGATGACTCCTCTAATGACGTCCTACTCAACTGGGCCTCACCTCCGCTTCCCAGTGTTTCGAACGGAACAGGTGTGTACAGGGATCATGCCAGGCGTCAGGGCGGATACGGTGAGGGGGGACCAGTCATGATCACAGTGGGGACCTGCTGGTGTTGAATGCGGTGGTAGATGAAAAGTGTGTGAGCACCCATGCCTCCAACCTGGCTACATTCTCCTCCAAAGGAGGCAAGGGTATTCAACTGGCCTCGCACAAAACGACTGCTCTCAGGTAAAGGGTTGAGGTAGGTCGCCGGCAGTGTGCCGCCCTCCATCGCCACGGCAGCCACAAGCACGCCTACATGGAGCGGAAGTCGACAGGCACTGCTGGGAGGCACTTGTAGGCCTCCAATGACAGGTGTGTAGAGGGCCTTGGCTGTATACACAGCAGACTCTGGACGGTGGACTGGGTTTACACTGATGTGGCAGGGGGCAGACCCCAGACACTTGAGCTGTTTGTTCACACGCCCTCAGAAGCCACATGGGCCCGAAGTTGCCCTGACACAAAACCATGTCCCGAGCAGGATGCCCCCTCGCCACACACCATAGCACCCGTGGTCAGCCACAGCCAAAACAGGGTGGTGGGGGAATTGTCCCTCAGCCTGGGTCACAAAACACTTGTAACCTGGGGGTAGCAGGATAGCTGGGGCTGTTGCCACTGTGACAGCACCTGACACATCCACAGGAGCACTTAGGGACCTGACTTACTCCCTACAACACCTTGAAGTGACGAACCCGAGCAATTGCAACATGTGGCCCCACTGCAGGCAGTTACTGCTACCAGAGTGTGCATGTGACATGTCGCAGTTACCACAGTGCACGCGACTTGGGTGTCCAGGTCGGGCGCCAGCTACCTCAGACTCACTGGTGATGTCATCACCAACCGCCGCTGCTCTGCTATGGGTTGCCCCACCACTGCCTGGCCAGATGATGCACAATACACCAGCATCTCACTGCTGCCTCAAATAACATACACATTTGTTTCAAGACCTTTAACACTATCAACTCGAGTACCCCTGAAAATTTCACTTCTTTCAACACTGGGTTACTCAGGCCCACCATAACTTTAATGTGAATTAGCATGTACTCAGAGAGATCGCGATCACAGGTGGGACATTTAAATTACCCACTGCCTTCTTATGAAGCAGCATTGAAAATACCTTTCCACCATTCCACTGGATGGCGCCCAGGCTTCCTTTGCATGAGCTGGTCCCACTGACCTGGGATAGCCCCGAAATAATCACCCTTGGAGTGCAGGGAGGCAGTTCAGGCGAATGTGAGGGGCCACCAGTTGGGAAGACCTGTACAACAACATCACCCACGAGACTCCATGAACCGCTTCCATGTCCTAAAATGTCGCTGCTGGCATTTCTGCCTCACACCTCTGAGCGAGGCTGAGGGCTTCATGACCGGCATAGAAGCATGACCACCGCCAGCAGCTAGAGACGCCCATCTGAGCCATCAATGCACTGCTGGGTTCGGGTTGCTGGGAACGTGGTGGTGTTCCTCGCTGGTGTAGAGATGCCTGCATCCCTTGAGGGCGCCGAATTGTGGGACGTAGGAATTAAGTCGGCGTTCTCGTCAGGGTACAGCTGTAATGGCGGTCGGGCCCCTGCATCCTACCACTGCGCCCATGAGAGGTTTCGGAATCATAGATCAATGCTTGTAGACTTATTCTAACAGCTGCCAGCTGGTGATCAAACGGGCGCTGCCATAGACGCAGCCCCCACTTCAAACATCGAAAACATATCGCATTTACGGTACAATCTACAGTGACAGAATTGGAGAAATGTCCTGGCATGGATAGAAGACTTTCCACATGACCCAAGCAGTGTGTGGTGATTAATGGCATAGAAATCGTCATCAGTACCTGTCACAAGTTAAGCCCAGGGCAGTGTATTGGGCCCGCTGTTATTTGTTTCATAAATGACATGCCTGGTTATACACTCCTCCATACAAATGTTTGCGGTGACACCAAGTTATTTCGGGAAATTAAGAACCAAGCGGACTGTGTGAAGAGCTGCAGAAGGACCTCTGTGGGCTCAGGAATGGTCGAAGAAATGGCTGCTGAGATTCAATGTCACAGTAAGGATACACCTGGGGCGTGCCAACAGTAAGGAGCATATGTAACGGGATGAAGAAACTGCACTAGTTGAGACTGAATGTGAGAAGGACATAGGTGTGTATGTTGACAATGAGCTGAAGTTCTGGGTCATTGCTAGAAGGTAAACCAGGCAAATAATTTATTGGGTCTTATAAGAGTCGTTCAGATATCTAGACGGTTAGTCCTTAGCGATCTTCAAGAGTGAAGTGCTTCCCCATCTGGAGTACTGTCACCCCGTCTGGTCCCCGAGATACGCGAGGCTGTCAGTTAGTTGAAAATATTCAAGGAGGGCCACCAGACTGGTGCCTGCCCTTCGGCACCTCAGCTACCCTGAGATTGGACGCCTGAACTTGCCTAGCTTATACTACAGACGGGCAAGGGGGGACCTAGTTGAGGTGTATAAGCATCTTAGGGGCACTACTCAGTTGAGTGTCCTTACTTGGAGCTGGCGGACACTCGCCCCTGAGGGTCACAGCTCAAGATTGAAGAAACCGCAAGTTCAGAAAACTGTGAGGGCAAATTTTTTCAGAGTGAGGGTTGTAAGCTCTTGGAACAATCTACCAGAGAGAGTTGTGACGGCACCCAGTGTGAGCTCTTTCAAGACAAGACTTGACCAACACTGGAGCAGGTTCAGGTACATTCGGGAGCGGTGCATACCCAGTATTTGCCAACAGTGCGTGATAGAGACGTGACGATCGCCCGGGCGGCTAACGAGCTGATCTTTTGGTGAAGAAGATAAATGAAAGGGAAAAGTAATCTGAGACGTGACCGATCGTCCAAGCGGCTAAAGAGCCGATCAGTGGCGAAGAGGATAAAACGTAAAAGTAAAGTTTCTTGAGAAAGGTTCGTAAATAAGTCATATCCGTCAATACTGAACTCACATTCCTCTGGGTCGATTCTCCTGCTTTTGTACAACAGTACAACATGGCAAGTGGATACCCTACCCTCTTGTTAATGATGATTGAAAAAAAAACATCGAGGCTCAGTAAAACCCCGCTTGAGCCCCACTTACTGCGATACCTGGTCAGGTTATTTGAGAGGGAAACGTTATAGAGAAAAGTGTCTGTGGGGTATGAGATATTTGGTTCACACTCAGGATGGGATGGAGAAAGAAACTCACAATGTGCTCTCTGTAAACATGTTGTATTGGATGTACAATGCAGCTTGGTGCTGGGAAGGCAGCATGGTTACAAGCGTTGAGTAGAGAGAGCTGGTTGGTGAGGGTGCTCAGAGGAGGACCAGCTTGTGGGTCGCCATGGTCGCCGGCTGGAGCAGGGACCAGGGAGGAGGGAGGTGTTGCTTGAAGACTGGCTGTAAAAGAAGAGTGGTCACCACGAGGTTTGGGTTGCCATGGTCGCCGGCTGGAGTGAGGGCCGCCAGGCAGGAGTGGCGGAGGAGGTGTTGCCTGAAGACTGGCTGTAGGTAGAAAGAGGTAGGTCACCACGAGGTGAGATCTTATATAGCGGAGGTAGGCGTGGCTTAATAGTTGACCTCCTTCATGTAAGGCGGCGCTGGTTGACCTAGACCACAAGGCATACACTGGGGAATTCGCGGGGTCGGCTACTCAGCGACAAAAGCGTTTGTAGGGGAGGAATCCACTACATGTCTTAGAATTTTCTAAACTACTAATTCCAATAGTTAAATTCCTAAGATTTGTTCCAAAGGTAGGACATTTTCGAGACGTACTGTATATCTGAAAAGCAGAATTGCTTTAGTAAAATCGAGACTGGTCAGGATATTTAAAGTCACACGAGAATAACCCGTTATAGTATCTCCTTCTCTCCTCACACAGCCAAACTGTGGAATGCTCTGCCTTCTTCTGTGTTTCCATGCTCCTACAATCTGTCTCACTTTAAAAAGCTGGTTTCCGGCATCTTCGTGGTGTAGATTAATACAGTATAACCTTTTTTATATTTTAATTTCTTTCCGTTCTTTTTTTTTTCTCGCCCCCAGGCTCCGTTGTGGGTCGTTTGACCTGTGCCCGGGTGGGCTAATTCCCGTAAAAAAAAATATCTCTTACTTTTATCCTCTTCACCACTGACAGGCTCGTTAGTCCCCAAAGCGTTATTCGGTCACCCCGTGAAAATCCCTATGCTTCTATTGTATGCTTGACTATATACCATACTTGTAATAATGTTTCTGAATGAATTTGTAATTTTAATTCTGTTTTGGAAATTAAACGTTGGCGGGGATTGTTGAGCGCCATCTACACTAGTGCGAGGTGTGGCCTGACGTCATGAGGCTAATACAGTGGCGTCACACCAATTGTCGATATTCTCCGAGTACTTTGACCGAATTTTCATGAGCCGAAGGAAGTATGTCAAAGGTTGCAACTTAGCAGTGCAGGTAGGTCAGTAGAGCTGTCAGTGCGGCCCAAGGAGAAAAGAAGTGGGTGGAATCGACCCGCCCAGGTGGTACTCACGCCGCCTGCGCGAACCCGGCAGTCACAGCAGCAGAACCAGCAGCGGCAGCAGCGGCAGCTGTGCCCGAACCTTAGTGTGCCAGGCCCCGGGACCCACGCCCAGGTAACTCATTCCTTAAACGTGAATCATTGTGTGTGACTTAAGAGGTCGAGTGTTTGTGGCGTCAAGCTCGTGGTGCTAGAGGCCCTCCACTTGACCGCCCCTGCTACTGTGTCCTACCTGGCCACTTTTATTAATATGTCAGTAAGATTCATACCTGATATTATTTCAAAATTTCTTGAAGAGAGGAGATGGTAAAACCATAGTGTTAGTCGGCTCAATACTTGATCACCTAATGGCTACTGCAGTATTATTTTTGTACAATTCTATAATATTTAAATAAGAGTGCATATAGCACCCACCTGTCATAAGGGTGGTTGGTTCATGCCTGGTACATCCTTAATTCACTTGGCTTTGAATTGATACCTAGCTTTCAGTTGGGAAGTGAAGGCAGTCCTTAGCAGTGCTTGCTATACTTTCTAAATTAAGAAAAGGCAAAGTCTTGTGTGTACTGTATGCGTACTGTCCCCAATGGGCTGTCAGGCCTGTTGGACCTACTTTACTGTACTCTTGTTCAACATTAGTGGTAAGTAAGAATGTATCTCACATTACTGTTATTTTTTTAATGTACATTAATGGTATAAATTATTTGCCAGGGTTCATTACTTACGATTAATTTAAATTAGGTATGACAGTATATTAAAGTGTTAGGTAAGGTTAGAAAAATTTAATTTTGGAAATTATTTACGACTAATCTGTGGCTGAAATTGATCGAAAACGATTCTAAAAACGACTGATTTTCACTTTCATTTTATAGCGGACACTGTTGTGGTTTGTGCAAATTTGTTACAAAAATTGATATTTTTAAAATAAATGTTACTTAAGATTTGTGGATATGAAGAACAGACCTAACAACCTAACCAAACAAACCTACCTAACCTTACCAAGACATTGAGATGATGCGGCCGCATCGGCACTTATGTAGCCAGGCGATGGAGTGATTTATTGTGATGGTGGGAACTTCGAGCCATGGCGTTGAAGAAGTGGTGAAAAAAAAATTTTCCGGTCTGAAAGCACAGCAATTCCCGCAGTGTGGACATTCTTTATTTAAAGGAACAATGCCGTGGTCTTTGAACAATTGAAGGGTCTCGTTGTCTTTATCCCAAAATTAAAATTACGTCCATATAAGACCAGCGACAACTTTCACTTGTCATGCTGAAAATGAAACTGCCTGGTGAAAAGCAATGCACCGGATAGCGGCCTCATTACCGCTGAGAAGACAAATTAGTGTGGGCCTAGAGCCTAATTATCTGTGAACGAAAAATTTGCACAAGAAATGATAATCATATCAGAACTCACTGATAAAAATAAAGAAAGAAAATAAACAGTAATAAAAATAACTCGTCTGTGGGTTATTCTTAAATATTAATCATAATTTTTTTAATGCTTTAAAACATTACTGGGAGTCTAAAATGTACTACAGGTAGAACAGGACACAGTACAGATATCTATTGTCTGGCAAGTGGTCATATACCTGATTGTTACTTCAATAATAACCAAGAGGAATAGTATTTTCTATATTCATTTTTTTTCTTGGTTTCCATGTAAATAAAAGATGCCTTCACCTTCTTGCTTCATGATGATGCCACGTTTGCGCATTATTGTTGATAAATGTTGCAGGCGGCTGACCTATGCTAAGTGATGGAACACTTTCCAGCCATTGAATGACCAACCTTTTTTCCTCTCCATACATACTTGCCTGGCCAAACCTAACCTAAAATGATTTATTGTTGGTACTGGTAACAACAACAATAATAATAATAATATACTGTACATCATTGAATAGGTAGGTTAAGTAGGTTCATCTTATCTATACTAATAATCACAATACTGTACAGTACAGTGTATAGAAATAATGATGATGCTGGTACAGCTTACTGAGAAGCCACCTCCTTGTTTTCTCATAACCTTCACTGTGGGAAGGTCACTTGAAATATTTTATTTGGCTAGATCCAGATGGTTTTCTTCATCATATTAACATAAGGAAGAATAACTGGTAATATTTAAGAACAAGGTTCCGGGTTAATTAGCTCACTAACATAAAATGCCTATATAGAAGAAATCTTTTTTTATACCTTAAGAATAAAATAAATCAGGTGGAGAAACAGCACTTCATATCTAGGTTTCCCCATAGTTGTATCATAAATTAAGACACTCCATGTTAGCTGCCCACTCAGGGGGGATGCCATCTTTGTTTACGGGAGCAGCAGGAGTTTGAACATAATTCTGTTTCATATTTACTAAGAAATTGCAGCACCACTATTTTTAAAAATGTTTGTATAAATGATGATAATAAATTATTCTTTTTTTTATGTGGAAAACCTGGATATGAAAAGTGATATTCCTCCACCTGATTTATTTTGTTCTTAAGGTATGAAAAGAGATTTCTTCTATAGACATTTTATGTTAGTTAGCTGATTAGGTAAATGTTTACTTAAGTTCTGCTGGCGATTTTGCCAGCAAAAACATTTTTCCTGCATAAATTTTGCTGCATTTTTATTGGAGATAGTTTTTTCTGGGGAAAAACTAATGTTCTCCTTATTTAACCCAACGTAACGTTTTCCCCTATGGGGGAAAAGCTATTTTTTTCAGGGTTGGGTCATGTATTGTATAGCATGGTAATGTGATTCTGATGACCCACACACTATGCACACCCTCTTCCATGGGCCGCCAATGAACTTGCCGACGGTATTATAGTATAAATTCTAAAAAAAGAAATGCCTCCCCAAAAGAGAGCACTATCACTAACAATTAACAACAAAAATTATGGTGGAAAAGCAGTGTGTTCTTGCTAGAATCGTTGGCAGCATTGATATACTGTACATGTTAACCGCTGATTAACCTGGAACTTTGTTCTTAAATATTACCAGTTACAGTATTCTTCTTCTTGTTAAAATGATGGATAAAATTGTCTGACATTACTTATTACTTTACTTTTCTTTTATCCTCTTCACCACTGATCGGCTCGTTAACCGCTTGAGCGATCAGTCACGTCTCTGATTACTTTTCCTTTTCTTTCATGACAGTGGCATCTGTGTACACTATATACGTTACATATCATTATCATTCTTTTACTCTCTTCACCACTGATTGGCTCGTTAGCCGCTTGGGCGATCGGTCACGTCTCTGATTACTTTTCCTTTTCTTTTATCCTCTTCACCAAAAGATTGGCTCGCTAGCCGCCCGGGCGATCGGTCACGTCTCTGTCACGCACTGTTGGCAAGTACTGGGCATACACCGGCTCCTGAATGTACCTGAACCCGCTTGTCTTGAAAGAGCTCACACTCGGTTCCGTCACAACACTTTCTGGTAGACTGTTCCAAGAGTTTACAACCCTCACTCCGAAAAAGTTTGCCCTCACAGTTTACTGGACTTGAGGGTTATGAATGTCTTGCAAAAATACAAGGATTTGCATATTTCTTTATTATTATTTTGGCATTACACACAAACACTTCCAGTGAATGTTGCATTATATGATTTGTTGTACATAAGATGAACTACCAAAGTCACCTATCTGATGATGGAAGTAGTATATTTAGGTAGGTAGATTAGATTATGTTTGGTATGGTTATGCAAGTTCATATGGAAAGGTCAGTCACAGGAAAGTGTTCCTTTGCTTAATATTTGGTACTGGACAAATCAATACCTTCCGTGCGAAGATCTGACAAGAACGATTAAAGTTGAAGCATGTAGGTCTTTCCTTTCGGTCTGTGAGGGATAAAACTTTAATTCTTTATCGTTTACTTAAGCGCTGTTGTTACTTTTGACTATAAATATTTCTGTGCTCGGCTATAAATTAACTTTAGGATTATAAATTTTTTGTTTACAGGGTATTCATAATTTTTATTTTATGCAAGTAACAATATTCAACGGCACAAACATCATTTGTTAATTTTGTTTAAAGTAAGTAAAAAAAAAGTAGTTCATAGGAGTATTGTAGTGATCAAGGAACTGGATGGATGGAGAATTATAGTATTTTTATATACTGTACTGTGTAGTATTTTTATGTATAATTTATTATTATGGTCAGAAGAATATGCTGTACCATATTTTAAGATGCTGTTCATCTCTTACAGGTGATGCTGTCAACAACATGAGGACTTAATAAAATATATCATGTGAAAAAAAATTAGAACCATAAAAATTAAAAAAAAATTCAACCCATTTAATTACTTAAGGAAGCTTATCCAAAACAAAATTTGTAAACCATTGTTAAAATGGTCATTCAAGACTTACAACGATTCTTAGAGTCACAAGTGCCAGGCGCGTGTGTCCCTGTGGATCTCCTGAAGATTGCCAAGAGTGTTGGGATTCGACGTGGTAATCAACGCAATGTTCCGAGAGGTGGATACGGGGGCCCCACTCCACTCACACTTGTGGTGGACGGGGAATATTGTTTAGACAGACTGTATGGAGGCTTTTACTCAGGTTAGTACTGTACAGAACCGTGCCTTTGACATTTATCACTGATGCTAATAACCATGTAGATTATTATGGCCAGAATAATGTAAACCTCTATTACTGATATGGTAGTTGGTGATACGATGTTATTTATTTATTACTACAGTGCGCCCGGATAATTCGCGGATTTTTATTTCGCAGTCCTCTATTATTCACGGATGACACCCTGGATGTACCTAAGAATATCTGTGGGTAGTTTTAAAGTTGCTGGCATTTCCGTGGCTGGGACAGGGAGCCATTCGTTCTACAGATAGTAATTTCCTTTACCTGTATTGTATATAAGTATGTATGTGAAGAAGAACAGCACTTTTCATATCCAGGTTTCCCCCATAGAAAAGAATAATTGATTATAATCATATATACAGTACAAGTATTTTTAAAGTTAGTGGTACTGCCATTTCTTAGTATACATGAAACAGAATTATGTGTTTTGTGTGAGTGTGTGTGTCTACACACACACACACACACACATATATATATATATATATATATATATATATATATATATATATATATATATATATATATATATATATATATATATATATATATATATATATATATATATATATATATATATATATATATATATATATATATATATATATATATATATATATATATATATATATATATATATATATATATATATATATATATATATATATATATATACACTAGGGTGTGACAGTTGCCCCAACTTTGTCCTACAATGCTGTTCAAAAATTTGGTGTTGCATATTGACATAAAAAATACCCACGTGCAAATTTTTGAAGATTCATGCATATTTGAGTGAGCACCAGCAATTTGAAAAATAGCGATTTTGCTTATACGGCATACGCGCCTATATATGAGATTACACAACCATCATAAGGGATATTAACACAAATCATTTGCTTGTCTTAATTAAAAGCTGTTATCACTAACACAAAAAAGTTAATCATTCCTATTCTCTCATGGTACATTAAGGAGTTTTATCATATATTCACAAGGTACTGTATTATTTCTCTAGAGCAAGAAACCATGATTTCTGTTCAGAAACAGATGATCGTTTGCGCTGATTAGGAACGCAGAGTCTGTCATTTTCTACTACTTGAAGGACTTCTTGAAAGCGCTCTTCATCCCTGGCAACATTAAGAAAGTCATGGCAAAGTTTTACACCACGCTCTGCAGCCTCATTGACGACCTGAAGCTTGTCCACAATCCGTTTCATGTTCAGGTAGTCGTCATGATCCGCCCATTCACTGGTGAAGAACCGGCTTGAGTCAGGCCCAATTAGGTCCGCCAGGGCAGTGCCACTTTCTGGGACGGGGAAGATATGGCTTTCCATAGCCCCCATGATTGAGCCCCACTCTCTTAGTAACTTCAGTGCCTTCATGGCAAAGAAGGGCCTTCCTCATCTCCTCTTTTGACCTTTCTTGTACTTGGGACGAGAACAAAGCCAGTGGTGCCAACTCCTCAGTTAGGTACCAAGTGTGTCTACCGAGTGCCACACGTGCTTTGTCAACTATTGTGGCATCATATGGGGCAAATTCAGCCAAGGTTTCGACCAAATTCAAGTCATTCAGTGGCGCACTTGCTAGAACGGGGCAAACAATCCACCATGGGACATAAACAGCGACTGTGAACACAGTAAACCGTTCTAACTTGCTGATTTGACTTTTAGTCACAACCTCGGCTTTGGGAAACTGCTCTTTGATCTGGCTTGCCAAAAGAACAATCCTGAGGGTATAGAGCATTTTAGCCATCCACCTTGCTTTGTGAAGTGCTCCGGGGTAGACCATCGTGAAGTTCACTGGCTCGGATCCTTTAATTACAAGCAGCAGACAAAGCTCTACCAGCTCCTTGTAGTCGCCACGTGTAAATGGTTGGGCTAGAGATTCACGGAAGAAGTCAGCCATCTCCTGCTGGTGCTCCTCAAACACTCCAGGCATTGCGGGGTAGTAGTATTTCTTTTTTTCATTGTACGCCTGTTGAGATAAATGGGTCTTGAACCTAGAAATGCAATTATTGGGATTATTGTATTTCGTACTAATCTACAATATTGTTTTAGGGGTATTAAGATTGATATGATCGATCATTTGCTTGGTGTTAGTATATCTTATAAGTCTAATAAAAGAAATTCCACTAAATTTGTTCATTAGAGAATAATATTCCTTGTTATTTTGTAAAGCCGATGGTGCTAGCTCAAACATGCACCGATCCGCAAGAAAATTTACAGGGGTGTTTCCGAGATAAATAAACACTAAAACTTTGAACAGCATTGTAGGACCATTTTTTTATTTTTGGAGGGCAACGGTCACACCCTAATATATACATACAATACAGGTAAAAAATAATTGTCCTAAGAGCAAACACATAAAGGGAATATAAATTTTTTTGTACACAAGTAAAAATGTAACCACCCCCCACCCGGTATCAGCATTTATGTTATTCGTAGAATTGGCGATTCGCGGACATTTGAGAACCTGACCCACGCGAATTTGAAGGGCCTACACTATTATTGATCGAGTGAAATACCTGTGATAGGTATAAAATTTATGGATATTGTTGGGCCTTAGTGTTTAAAAAGAACTTTGTAATAATGGCGCAGACAGCCAACATCAGAACGCAGTGTTCGATTTGGTTCATATTTTCCACTGATGTTCTTTAGATGATAGCGAGTAATAAAAAGGATATGGCAATGCACAGAACCTAATAGAACCTGAACCTAACCAACCAAAGAAACCTACCTTTACCTAACCTTAATTAACTTCCTGGCTGGGGGCAGACCCCGCCTCCCTCCCCCTGCCATTTTAAACAGAAAGTACTTATTGTACTTTGATATCTGGTACCAATAAAAGCAACTTTCTTGAAGGTACATGGTGTAATTTTACGTTGTTTGTGTATGTGAGAGTACACTCAGACTGAGTGTAAACAAAGAGCAGACGTCGACATGTGCCGACATGGCAGATTTCTCTGCTGCATATTTATGGTAAATAATTAATTTCTTCGTGTACAAAGCACGCAGAGACATCATTTGTGTCATATGATCCGTTTTTCACGGTGTTTTACCCCACAATATCCCTCATCCTTCGTACCCTGCCCACTGCAGGTGATAAGAACATCTGTGAAATCAAACAATTACTTGTGGTGTTCCCCTTTCTGCTTCAGTATTACTGAGAACTTTATAGCCAGTATATACGAGGTCCGACACAAAAATGATGAGACTGACCCTATAACTTGGGAACCAAGAGTGGGAGGGGAGGGACAAACAGACGGTTATTGAACATGTTCTAACCTGTCACAGTGTGACAAGGCTCAACTCCATCGCTTCACTCAGTACAAGTGGATGCGCGTTGAAGTATAGACTTGTTCTTACACTTGGTCGGAAAATGTCGGACTGCAAAACTGAGCAACGAGTTATCAAGTTTCTCGTTAAACTTAAGAAATCCGCGATGGAAACATTTCAATTATTGACTGAGGCTTCCGGTGAAGATTACATGTCTCGTGCACGCGTTTTTGAATGGCACAAACAATTTTCGGAAGGCAGAGCAACCGTGAAAGATGATGACCACCCAGGCCGTCCACTCAGATCAGTTACCGATGACAACATTGAAAAAGTGCGAGATATGATTTGAAAAAAAAAACGTAGTTTGGGTGTTTGAGCAATATTGAGCAAGTTAATTTAGACAGGGAAAGTGTTCGACGCATTCTAACAGAAGAATTTAATATTACAAAGGTTTGTGCAAAAATGGTTAAAAAATGCTGTCAGATGACCAATGCGCCAGCCCACAACACTTTGTCTGTGAAGCAGTTTTTAGCCAATAAAAACATCACTGTGCTTAAGCACCCACCCTATTCACCAGCCCTGGCTCCCTGTGACTTCTACCTCTTCCCAAAGATCAAGTCCATGCTCAAAGGAACCAATTTTTTGTTGGTCGCAGAGGTGAAAGCAGAAATGACAGAGCTCCTAAACAGCCTTGCAGGACATGATCTGTGGAATTGCTTTGAACTGTGGCAGCATTGTACTGTATATAGCTGAGGGAACTACTTTGAAGGTGATCACAGCTGATTTTCTTAATTTGGTAAATAAAAAGAGTTACAGCATCAGTCTCGTTTTTTCTTGTCATACCTTGTATACCTGTTATAGCAGTTAGGTAAGAAAAGACAGCAGATTAATACAGACTATGTTTGTCCCCATCAACTGCTAAGTTTTTTCTCTCGGAGGAAATATCTACTGGTATTTCTCCCACATTGGAGGCTTGTTGTAGGGGAAACTAGCTGATGTCTTGTCTTGAAATAAAAGAATAAGTTGATCCTATCCTAATCCATGCTAAATGTAGATAATTTTATATCTAATACAGGTAGTTGAGGGAAGTTCTGTAGGAATAGAAAGATTTATTTTTGGACGTAAACAAATGTGATTATACTCCTTTCTCAAGAATGCAACAGGTAATCTTAAAACTTGGATGGAGGACTGTGGTCACCAACCCTCAGATATGGGGACGGTATTCTGATTGATTGATTTACTTTAGTTTCAAGTAGCTATTATGCCAGTGGCTTTCTATCCTGATTTGTCATTGTCTTAATTATATTGTCTCTCCATCTCCAACTTTAAGTCAGAAAGTAGGTATAGATGGGGGTCTTATGGTATGCCCTTGTTCTCTTTTAAAAGTTACATGTGTGGATATCCCAGGTATTCTATGCTTAGAATAGAATAGTTGCCAGGTAATTTTGCATAGATTAGTGTAGGTTAAATATGTGTGGGATCTGGTCTGGGTGTGGAGCTTCCCGGAATTGCTGGTTGATATTACATATACTGTATATCAGTTAACATGTGTTAATCTATTGTTGCCCTCCACAAAGTGAGTCTTGCTGGGGCCCTTGTGGAGTCCTTTTTCATGAAGTCTTCTAAATGAGCCATTGAATAGATATATAATGGTTTTCACAATGTCGAGGATAACTTATGAGAGCTGGATGGAATAGGGGAGTTTTAAGGTCACTTAGTATAACAATAATGACGCTTCATGGAGTAAACTTTGGTGTTATGGTAGTTGGAGCAACTTTTCACTTCCTCTCGTTTCATTGTTTCCTTTTTTTTTAGTTTTGAACTGGTATTGGGTGATATATAATTGTTTCATCCTGTATTGTAAGCCTGCATAGTAAGTTGGTGCTTTCACAGACTCAATACCTTTCAGTCCTCTACAGTATTGCATTTTGAGGGGCTAGTAGTGCCAGATTAATCCTCAGCTGATCAGTGTAGGTTTACCTTGGTCTACACTGATAAGACTTAGAGGATGTTACACACCCCTCATTCCTTTCCTGGCTCAGTGACAACACTGGTTTTCATGGTCAAAACCTTATTTTTCTAGCTAAGTGGGTCACTTTAGGTAGACATTATAAATTTATTCAAGGTGTCTCGGAAGGATCCTGTAAAAATAACTAATAGAATAAAAATTTTCCCCTAGATTGGGTGTGTGGTGGCCAGTGGAATCGCATGGTGCAGTTTTTGGCAGTGCTGATGCAAACAGTTCAAAACAACAACATAGAACTTGCTGTATTCTTCAATGGTGCTCTGGAACAGCAGCGTCTAAATGAATGGTCGCGACAAGAGTGCTCCCTGAGAAAAAATATCAACTTGGTAAGTGGTGTTATGTTCTACAAGCTGTGTTAATATACCTATGATCAGTGACGGCTCGTCGGTAGGCACTGTGGAACTGCAGCACCCCCTATTTCACCCGATATATATGTATTATATAATATAATATATCATATATGCTTATTTATTTATACTTGTACAAGATATTTAAAACTATTATCAGTAATCCTTAAACTTAATGTTAATGGCCATCCTCTAATTCCGAGAAAACAAAAAAAAATCCCTGTACCAATAACGGGTGTTTGCTTTGTCGCACGCATGCGCGCATGTCCTGGAGGCAAGCGGGGACGAGCACTGTGGATCACACAGTGCCGATCTGGTTATCAGTGTGGGAGGTAGTGCTTGCGCATCATCCTGTGTGGTGCTTACATGCCGTCTGCTATATCAAGAGTATTTGAATGTGATAAATTGTAGATGATGTGATATCATACAGTATGATATCACATCATCTACAATTTATCACATTCAAATACTCTTGATATAGCAGACGGCGCGTAAGCACCACACCGGATGATGCGTATGATTCATACTCATAGAGACTACATTTTGTATTCATTGTTTTTTCCAGAAACTTTATTGTGTAGAAGAATTTGAATTAATTAAACATGGCCTCCTTGTTTTCCCAAGAAACAAGTTCCGTGACAGTGAGTGAACTTCAACAACTTAAATTTGCACAGTTGTCTGTTCACGAGAAAGTTGCTATTAAGACAAAAGGCCGTCCCTCACCTGATATTCAAATATCTCAGCCAGGAATAAGCAACAGTAAGAGGTATATTCGATTATTCGTAGCTTTCGTTCAGAATGGTACCAAAGGAAAAATTGGCTCTGTGGTTGTGAAGTAAAAAATACATTATTTTGTTTTCCGTGTTTGTTGTTTGGAATTGGAAGTGATGTAACTTGAACAAAAGACGGCTTTAGAAATATAAACAAAATGAAAGAAAAAACTGAAAAACATGAAAAGTCAAAGAAGCATATTGAGAGCGTGGTTTCACTTATCACTTTTAGGAAGCGTAATTATTAAAGAAAAACTCAGTGAAGCCTATAGACTTTCGATCAATGAGCATAACAGGAAGGTTACCAAGAACCGTGAAATTTTATCCAAGATAATAGACTGCATTACATTTTGTGGAAACATTGAAATTCCTTTACGTGGACATGATGAAAAAGATGATTCAGTAAATCCAGGTGTATTTAGGGGATTAATAAATTTTGCATCTAAATTAGACCCAGATTTAAAGAACCATTTAGAAACAAGTACATTCTTCACAGGTGTTTCTAAGACTATACAGAATGAGATACTTGACTGCCTGCTGCAGATATACCATGATGAGATAAAGAAAGAGATTAAAGAAGCTTCATTTGTAGCTGTCATGGCTGATGACACAACAGATGTTTCAGAACACACTCAAATGGTAATTGTTCTACGGTACGTGCTGAATGAAGAAATATTTGAGCGTTTTTGGGGATTCTTTATTCCAGAAAATCAAACTGTAGATGGCATATCAAAATTTTATTCTAGAGCAGTTAGATATAATCCTTCAAGGAAATAGACAAAAACTGATAGCACAGACATTTGATGGTGCAAATGTCATGAAAGGCAAAAAAGGGGGCATTCAGGCAAAAATAAAAGCAGTTTATAATAATGCACATTTCATTCACTGTTATGCGCGCCAACTGAATCTGATAATGAGAAATGCAGCAAGTATTACGCGGGACTCAAGAATATTTTTCTCTAACGTTTTGGCAATACAGTATTACCCCGCTTTACACGGTTTCACTTTCCGCGATTTCTCATTTACGCGGTACCTTGCCAGAACCGGACTTTCACTTTCCGCGGTGCATCTACTCATATACGCGGTGAAGTATAATTTTTTATTTATTTTTATTTAGCTCATAAAATTCATACAAATTACCCAGCCAGAATATAATTTACATTGCTGGAATTCTTACAATATGATGATCATTTTGAATAGTATAAACATCATGGATTTTGCATTAGACATACAAATTTTAGATCTACTTGCCTAACACCTGTCAAGATCCCGTGCTTGATCCAGGCTTCCTCACATTCCCGGCTGTGCGCCTTGCAGACGTCGATCTCCTCCGACAAACTCTTCAAGCGTACAAAAAAGTCGTCAAAGGATTCATTCTCCACCTGCTTGCAGCTGGTGAAGGCGCGGTTACTCAAAGCCTTGTTATTCCGACCCTTAACGTGCTCCTGCAAAAGGTCGAGCACATCTGTCACTGAAGAGGTAGAATCGGGAGGCACTTGCAACGTGTGCTCCAAAACTCTCTGGGTCTCCAGCGACAAACACATCCGCAGTTGGATGAGCTGTTTGTTTGGAGGCATGCTGTCAAGGTCCACCATCGTGGAGTAATCTGTCCAACGCCGCCTCCACTCACGAAAAAGCTGAAACCTGACGTCTGGTGAGAGGGCGGGTGGGGGTTGAACAGATGCCTTGTGAGCTGTTGGAGTAGCAAGAGTACCTGGAGGACGCTGGTGTGGTGGAGGAGGGAGGGTACTGGCGCCTTGGTGCGCGAGTGAGGGAGGGTGGGTTAGCGCCAGGGTCGCCAATATTGCATCAAAGCTCGCCTTTTCCTCCTCTCTTCGTGTCTCCTCCCTCTGAAGTTCCATCTCTCTGCGTCTCTGGTCCCTGTGATCCATCCACCTCAGAATTGTGGCAATGTCCGTCGCTGTAGGTGAATGATGAGGGGCGGTGGGCGCAGAAGCTCCATCTGTGCCCGGGAGAGGAGAAGGTGGTGGGGAGTCATGTCTCCCATCTTGACGTTGTCCCTTCTCACCACCCATCTTAGTATGCTTGAACTGCGCTATTTAGTAATATAAAGTGGCGCCTCATCAGCTCGAACCACATATATATGACATAAACAGCGCAGAAATAACGCATAGAGTCCACTGTTCTGTCCGTGAGTGAGTGAGTGCGTGCGTGTGTGTGTGTGTCTGAGACAGCAGGTGCGGTGGCCTTAGGCTGGAGCCGCCACGGAGGCAAGAACGTCAGTGTCTCCCCAGATGTCACGCGAGAAGGGTGTACGCCTGCGTGCTCCGTGGGTACCACAAAAAACAGGCCAATGCTCAACTCTCAGCTCTAGACACACTAATACACTGACACTAACACTGCCACCGTCACTAAAAAGCACTGTGACGGCGCAACACTGCACGTCGCGGCGAAACACAACACAACACACTAAGAGTCGACGCGCACATCGCCGGCAGTCGTACATCGCCGGCTAACTGTCCATTGTTCACACACTTGTAAGTCCACAGATCCTACTCACTGCGCCATGAAGGTTCCAAGTGTTCCCTGAAGAAAGCAGTGATGGGTAGGGAAACACCGGGTGACACTGAAGTCCATTTATTAACGGATAGGAGAAATACAAGTGGTGACTTGCGTGTGCCATGCACGGCCCACAGAGTCAAACTGAGGCTGCCTTGCCATATGGCAGCCTCGGGGCAATGTTGCCACATAACATGTGCAGTGTTGCCACGTAATTACAAATATAAATGCTACTCGGCACAGTAGCTTATTTACAAGGTTGCTACTCGGCACAGTAGCATAGATACATAACCTACACACACCATACTAAAATAAACGTAAAATAAATTAGTGCAAAGCTGGACTGCACATGTACTAATTTGATTACGATACTAAAATTGTTATGTCAGTGCAAATTATAGCATGTTTATATTCAAATTAATCAGTATGTTACAAGAATCCCAGCTATGTTAATTATATTCACCCAGGTCATTTCACTGGCTTTTTATAAGAGAGAAGCTTAGTCACGTAAGAACTGATAAATATACACGCATTAGACCTGGGCCTGTGCCAACTGTCAAACGTACTACCTCCCCTTCCCCCACACCCCCTCAGCTCGCTCCCACCCTCTCTCTCCCACCCCATCTGCTGGCGTTGCTGGAATCCTTGTTAAACAGTGAATAATTTTAATATAAATGCCATGTATTTTGCACAAGAGAAAAAAATTTATCACCTGTATCACATTACAGTAGTGATTTAAGAGTAAAAGTGTATATGTACGTATATAGTATTCCACATACACATAAGTATAAATAAAAAGTTTATGTGATGATCGGACAACATCCATTTCGGTTAACGTCACGTTTCCAAGAACGTATCTAGGACGTTAACCGGCTCATGATTATATATATATATATATATATATATATATATATATATATATATATATATATATATATATATATATATATATATATATATATATATATATATATATATATATATATATATATATATATATATATATATATATATATATATATATATATATATATATATATATATATATATATATATATATATATATATATATATATATATATATATATATATATATATATATATATATATATATATGTGTGTGTGTGTGTGTGTGTTTTACACAATATTAAAACAATTCTTAAAAATGTTTTGAAGCAGCACCCCCATGAATTAGAGTCATGAGCCGCCACTGCCTATAATAGTTACTCTTTCAGCAAAATTCTCAGGCTGTCGTCTGTATTTGGATACTTTCATACTAAGTTCTTGACCTTCAAGAACCTAGTATGACGGGAAAAGATAATTTAATTTTCAAATGTACAGTAGTATTAAATTTTTCAATCACTGACTCACTGGTTATGAGAATCCATTCAATCCAGACTTATAAAACAGGATTTAAAGGTCAATCCCATATTTTTCAATAATAAAGATATTATACCGACTGTAGTTTGTCTTTATAAATGTATTTTTCAGGTGCTAAAACATGTAACTGTGAAAGGAACACCACCACCAAAAGTATGGTGGGTGGCACCTGTTGGTCTTCGTACCTGCCTCCGCATGGCTCTGCGGCATCTCAACATCCAAGTGGTAAGTTGTCACTTACATTTTATTCTTGTCTGTGCAAGATTGACTTGCACCGAAAAGTACGTACAAAGTAAAAAAAAAAATGCAGTAAAATACAGTAGTACCCCGCTTAACGCGGTCAATAAAACCCACAGGGTACCGTGTTAAGTGAAAACCACGCTAAGTGAACAACAGAACATATGGGATTAATTCCAATAGAATCTGGCCCGACCCCCAAACTCCACTTTTTGACGACACATAACTATGTTGTAGTAAAAATTTTATCTTAACTTTATGATGGTATGAAAAAACAAGTAATATAGAAGAGGTTAGGTTAGGAAAAATAAAGGTTAACATAGGAAAAATAAAGGTTAACATAGGAAAAATAAAGGTTAGGTTAGGAAAAATAAAAGTTAGGTGGAACACTTACGTTAGTAGAAGAGATGGGTCGGCGTACGGGGATGGAGGCTGGTTCCGAGGCAGAGGGCAGGCTACTGGCCCTCAGATGAGTCACCATCACTGTCACCCACAGTTGTTATGGCCTCCCTGACAAATCCCTCAAAGTCATCTTCACTGTCTCTACCTCTGTCACTATCACTGGCTTGGGCTGGCTGTGGTGGGTTGCGGGCGAAGAACTTGGTTATGCTTTTTTGACGGCTGGTGTTTATGTTGTCTTGGTACACCGTGATGTACGGCTCCATAGCCTGCACCAGCCGGGTATGGAAGACTTCATAGCGGTCATCGTCATTGTCGCGGAGTTTGGGGGTCGGGCCAGTTTCTATTGGAATTAATCCCATATGTTCTGTTGTTCACTTAGCGCGGTTTTCACTTAACACGGTACCCTGTGGGTTTTATTGACCGCGTTAAGCGGGGTACTACTTTATTTCTTTTATAAAAATTGGATTTACCTCTGTATTGGTGTTGTACTCGTTTTTTGTTTAAACTGATTCTTTTTTGAAAAGTTGCTCTAAGGCAGACAACCTCTTATCCCAGACACCCCTTCCCCCAGTTAGTCCGCCTTAGTGAGGTTTTATTGTACATTGGCTTATTACTGTATTATTTTACTTTTTTAGCATTGCATGTACAGTAGCTAAAACAACTATCTGTGATTACTTTGTGGGAAACAATATGAGACCGAACTCGGCCTATGTCTATAGGCCTGAATGTTTATATTATACAGTGGCCCCTCGGTTAACGAACTCAATCCGTTCCAGAAGGTCGTTCGTTAACCGAAACGTTCGTTAACCGAAACCATTGTTTCAATGGGTTTTTGGGTAATTGGTTCCAGCTCACCGAAAATTTCCTAACTTCAACAAAAATGGCGGAAAAATTTACTTACTTTGAGGTGTGTATGTAGAAGGCTCCTGGATGATGGTGATGATGTGCATTTGAAGTGGGAGGTGCAGGAGGAGAAGGGAGAAGAGAAGGAAGTGGAGGTGGAGGAGAAGCATTTTACTGCTTCTTGGAAGGTGAGTCACCTTCCATGAAAATGTCAGGAACCTCTGGACTGACAGATTCTCCACCATGAACATCCTCTCTCCTTCTTGAAGTGGAAGGCTGAGGGCTAGCATCTTGTTCCCTCTGCCTTTTACTGAAGAAAGTGTCAATTGTGGTCTGTGGGGCATCTGTCCTCCTCACCATTAACTTATGTTTAAAGAAGGAGACCACTGAGTCCTCAACATGACACAAAGTTAGTTCAGTTTTTTCCACTTCTGGGTGCTTTGAAGCCAGTTCCCTGAACTTCTCCCAGTGGTAAATCACATCTTTCAACTGTTTAGCTGACATATGGTCATCACTTTCAATTTCCTCCTCACCACTGTCAGCCTCTACCCGTAACATCTCATCCAGTTCCTTCAAGTCATTAGGAGTAAGTTCCTCCTCATGAGACATCACAAGCTCTTCCACATCCTTCTCCTCCACTTCAAGACCCAATGACTGACCAATGGACACAATCTCCTGGTCCAACTCTGTGTCATCCTCAAATCCCTCAAAATCATGGACTACTGATGGCCACAGTGCTTTCCATGAAGAATTGAGGGTTCTATTGGAGACTTCTTGCCATGATGACACAATCAATTTTACAGCCTCCAGGACGTTGAATTGTGTCTTCCAGAACTGTTTCAGTGTTAGTTCAGGATCAATGGAAGTTGCCTGATGACACCTCCTAAACATTTTCTTCATGTACAACTTCTTGAAGTTGCTGATCACATTCTGGTCCATTGGCTGTATGAGTGATGTAGTGTTTGGAGGCAAAAACAACACTTTCACAAAGTCAAATTTATACTCCAAATTTCTGGCAAGGTCAGGGTCATGACCAGGAGCATTATCCATGAGGAGAAGAGCCTTTAAAGGAAGTTTATTGGTGGTTAGGTAGCTCTTGACAGAGGGGCAAAACACATCAATAGCCCATTCATTAAAGAACTGTCTTGTCACCCATGCCTTACGGTTGGACTTCCAATAAACTCCAAGCATTGTTCTTACCACTTTCTGTTGCTTGAACACCCTGGGGTTTTCAGAGTGGTAGACAAGCATAGGCTTCAGTCGGAAATCCCCTGAAGCATTGGCACCAAGCAATAGAGTGAGACGGTCTTTCATGGGTTTATGCCCAGGTAAAGAGGCTTCATCCTTGGTGATGAATGTTCTTTTGGGCATCTTTTTCCAGAACAGCCCAGTTTCGTCAACATTGAACACTTGCTGTGGAAGATAATTTTCTTCTTCCATCAGTTTTTTAAATTCAATTAAAAACTTTGCTGCCCCTTCTTTATCAGCACTAGCAGCTTCACCATGCCTAACAACACTTAAAATGTCACTTCTTTTCTTAAATTTTTCGAACCAGCCTTTGCTAGCCCGAAAATCTTCAAATTCTGTTCCTGAAGAACTAGGTTGATCTGTCTTTAAATGTTCATAAATCTCCCTGGCTCTTTCACAAATGAAATCACCAGAAACTGAATCACCTTTCATCTGTTTTTCCCTAATCCAGATGATAAGTAACCTCTCAGTTTCTACGATTAGGGATCTACTTTTAAACACTCTTGTAGATTTGTCTCTCACGTTCACTTCCTTAAATTTGTCTTTTTGTGCAAGAATTGTCGACACAGTTGATGCCGACATGCCATATTCTTTGCATAGCGCATTTGATTTAATACCTTGTTCGTGTTTTTTTATTATTTCCTGCTTCATTTGGATTGAAATCACTTTTCTTGATCTCTTAGGCCCCATGCTGGATTCAAACAATGGCAACACGTATTTTTCAAAGTTAAACTAGCTGTAAATAAAGAATATTTTCTTTAAAATAACACTGCACTGCACTATATATTGTCAATATGTAAAATAATTTTCAAAATGACCAATAATTTGCTTGGAAACACAGAAAAAAAGCGTTTAGTTGAAGAGAGTCTCAAGCAAGATGTTACCTCCAGTGAAAACAGAGAGAGACTGACGCCTGTTTGCTGTGTTAAGAGGCTGGATGCCGCGCATTAAACTAGTCACTTTACCTTCAATTTTGTTCAATAATTGTTAAAATGACTAAAAAATTGAATATTAAACTTTTAAAATAATTGAATAGTATAAACTTCTTGATATTTACAAAAATAGTAAGGAATTTAAGCCCTAGAACCGATTAATGTATTGGCGGACTGATACTAAAGCTGGTTGCCCGGTCAGTGCAAGCGAAAACATGTTGAGGTCGGTTCGTAAGAAGTTCGTTAAGCGAAATTTTTTTCGTTAAACGAATTGAAGATCCTTATGGAAGGCAGTTCGTTAATCGAAATTACGTTAACCGAGGTGTTCGTTAAACGAGGGGTCACTGTATTGGGTTTTATTAGCGAAACCCAATTGTCTGTTTCTCCTTTTATTGAGGAACTGTTGTTTATACAATTCCAGAGTGTAAATCAACCGTAACTTTCACTATTTATTAGTGTGAAGAGAAGGACGGGGGCTATGTAAATAGACCGATTAATCACGTCCTTCCGATTTGAGAGTTTGAGTGGAACTTATTAAGTAGTGACCCATTCGAGTGAGAACGGAATACGTACGTCGTCCTCCCTCGAGGAAACAACACGAGACCATGGATAATAAATTTTGGTAAAGGAAGGCTGTAACTAGTCACACGTAAAATTTAGAAGCATATTGACCCCCACCTGCTCAGATAGTTGTTTTAGCTACTGTACACCCACTAAAAAATTATTTGGCACCCGTATCATATTGTATCATGCCGTTAGGGTGCCGGATAATTTTTTAATGGGTGTACAACTTATTGGCACACATAGGGATGGCCTCTCTGGCCGGTCTGTACTGAACTGTACACCCACTTAAAAATTATTCGGCACCCTTACGGCCTGATACAATGTGACACGGGTGCCGAATAATTTTTTAGTGGGTGTACATTTAAAGGAATATTTATATTTGCACAGTAATTATAAATAGACCACAAGCAGAAAAATCCAGCGTTACCCAAGAGGTTGGTCTTCCCACCCACTCACCAACCATGTGAGGATACGGCTAAACATGATGCAATCTTTCATGACGCTGGGAATCCTTGACCCCAGGCACTCAGCAGATAGGTTTGGAGTGATTTTATTGCAATTTTCTCAGATTTTACGGTAATTGCGCATTATTTCATAATCGATATTTGCTCCTAGACCCATAAATAAAAATTTGGACAGATTTTCCAGATTTTTTGTAATTTTTTTATTAATTTTCAGAAAATGCTCCCGATTTTCAACCTCGGAAGTTGTTCCCAAACCCGGAATTTAAGGAATTTTCCAGAAAATTCTGAGCAAATTTCAATTCCGGCTATTGGAATGTTCTGGGTTTGAGGGATTCCGGCTTACGGAGATATTATTGTATTAGTATGAATTCATATTACAAGAACAGATGTAACCAGCCTGAAAATATATGTGAGTTACTTTGGCTAATGGACAGTTAACATTGAAAATTTTGATTACGTCTCTCAAATAATTATACAGAATGTCTTTCACCAGCTGTGCACAATGGATGACCACCACCAGGAGGTTATTGCCTTCTGTCGGGAGAACAACTATCACGGGGTCATGGCAGAAGATGCAGAATACATCATTTTTGATCCCCCTCGTTACTTCTCGTCACACCAGCTCAAACTTACGTACAAGGTAGGTAGGGAAACCAGCTGTCTTGGACTGAGTAGCACTTGGAAATATGAAAATTAAATTTATTATTTTCCACTGTTCTGTTAGTAGGATTATCTCTCATGTGATGCTCATTGCTTTACCATTTGGGGTATATTTTGGCCATCAGTTTCCGTATAAGTACAGTCTCTCCTCGACTTACGACATACTCGACTTACGACAACCCGGACTTACCACCTCCGTGGTCATATAAAATATTTTTCAAATTACGTATTTTCTAGTACCGAAACGTTTTGGTCCCGTACGACAGCGTGGGCTGGGCCGCCTCGTGGCGTGCAACGTCCAGGCCTAGCCCGCTCAGTTGGTGTTTGGTGGTTGTTGTTGTTAGTGATCGCGCTGTGTACTGATAAAATTTCCGTTTCTAATTCAATTTAAAGTGGCTGGCAAGCGTAAAAGTGAGAGTTCTCGTGGTGCTGATAAGAAAAGGAGACAGTCAATTACTTTTGAGATGAAAATGAAAATAAAAATACAGTAAGAAAATGGAAAAACGGTAGCAACCATTTCATGCGACCTTTGCTTCTCTCACTCGACGATATCAACAATTTTGAATGACTAGGAATGAATTCGTGAGGTAGTGAAAGGATTGGCATCTAAAAGGGAACAAAAATAACGAAAAAAAGACAAGGTCCTCTACATGAGATAAAAAAATTACTTGTGATGTGGATGGAAGATCAGCTGCAAAAGCGTGTATCCTTAAGCCTTCTAACCATACAGGCTAAGGCAAGAAGCCTTTTCGAAAACCTGAAGGAGCAGGCAGGAGATGAGTGCGACCAAAACTTCACAACAAATCATGGGTAGTTCCAAAGGTTTAAGAAACTTTACAGTTTGCACAGAGTAAAGGTGAGTGGAGAGGCAGCAAGTGCTGATGTGGGTGCTGCCGAAGCTTTAAAGGAGGAGCTAGATTGTGTCATCGTGGAGGGAAATTATTTACCTGAGCAAATATTTAATGTGGATGAAACTGGCTGATTCTGGAAGCACATGCCAGAATGGACATACATCCACAAAGAGGCGAAAACCATGCTGGGATTTAAGGCATTCGAGGACCGAATCACACTTCTGTTGGGGGATGTAACTGGTTTCAAGGTAAAACCTGTCATGATATATCATTCAGAGAACCCAAGGGCTTTTAAAAATATCAGCAAGCACACACTGCCAGTGTTTTATGGCAGTAATAAGAAAGCGTGGATGACCCTAGCACTGTTTGAGGATTGGTTCCTGAGTTCTTTCATTCTACGAACCTAGAAGTATTGTCTGCAACAAGGGGTTGAGTTCAAGAGTTTATTAATTTTAGATAATGCTCCGGGACACCCACCACACCTGGACGACCTGCATCCTGATGTTAAGGTAGTTTACCTTCAACCTAACACTACCTTTATCATCCAACCCATGGATCAAGGTGCTATTGCTGCTTTTAAAGCGTATTATTTACGTACGACCTTCGCTCGGGCTATTGCTGCTACTGAAGGTAAGAAAACGCTCAGAGAGTTTTGGAAGGACTACGACATTTTGCAATTTACATAGAACATAGCTGCAGCATGGGATGAGGTTGCAGGTCAGTGCATGAATGGAATATGGAAAAAGATACTGAAAAGATATGTGAACAGTTTCAAAGGATTTAATGAAGATGAAGCAATTTCTGAGATTAGTAACAAGATAGTGCAGATGAGTCAACAGCTGGAGTTAGAAATTGATAATGAAGATGTTGAGCAGTTGGTGGAAAGTGTAGCAGAAGAGCTAAGTAACGAGGGTCTTATTGAACTGAATGCACAGAAAATTGCGGAGGAAGAAGAGAGACAATATGTAGGAGAACTTGCACCCTCCAAAAAGTTTTCAGTGAAACAAATGGCAGAGGCATTTGTTACTATTAATAAGGGAATGCAAATGTTTGAAGAAATGGATAAAAAAGTTGAGTGTTTTGCAAAAATTAACAGACTGATCCAAGATATACTTGCTTGCTACAGGGAGATTTATAATGAAAAGATAAGGCAAACTGTGCAGTTTAAATTAGACATATTTTTTAAGAAGTCCCCCACTTCTGTCTCCTCATGCCCCACCACTGCTGCCTCTTCACTCCCTAAAGATGATCCAATACTTTCAACAAGCAAGTATGTTAGCCTGTCTAAAGAAAGCAAACTTGATGACCCACCCAGCCCTGTCTCCTCCTCTGCTTCATCCAATTAATGTAGTCTACATGCTTAATTAAAAAATGATTTAGGCCCTGTGTGCTGACTACATTAAAGGTAAGTTCACAGTAACACTTCATTAATTTTTCATTATTGATTACTTTTACTGTACCGTATTTCATTTTAGTATTTCTATGTACCTGTATTATTTTTCGCTTTTTCTACTTACGACCTGGTCGTCGGGACGGAACCCCGTCGTAAGTCGAGGAGTGTAACAATGATTGTAACAATATCATGAGTTTCCCGCCACCTGAGAGTTCCCGCCAATTTTAAGCCAATACTGTAGTATGAAGGCCTTAGGCCTATCTTCGATCAATGAGAAAGCCTATGAGGCGTGACGTCATGAAAGTTTTAGCGTCCCTTGTGGGCTCACTCTGTTTGAAAAGCGGAGTCTGCTTTTGGTAAGAGTTAAGTGTGGTTGTGTCCTGGGTGTTACCTCCTCATATGGCGGCTATAACGTGAGTACCTATTTAAGTTTGATCCGTTTCCCAAAATGTATTGTGAGTAATGGACCCCTTGGTTAGCAAGCTAGGAATTTAGGTTTATTGTTTTGAACTGTAACTGTTCAATTTGAATAACATCGTTAATAAATGAAGAACCATTATGATTAGTTCTCAATTCCTTTGTGTTGACTAAGACATTGTCATGCATGTCTTTGGCATTATGCAGTAATACGGTGAGTCCTATATATATAATAACTATCCTATATTTCCCCTATGTGAAGTATAAATATCTTAGTCCCTCTAACCAGCTTCCCTGAGTCTCCCCTTGGTGTGGGCCTTTCTAGCCTAACCACAAACCATTAGTCCTCTACTCCCTTCTCCCCAAATGTAAACAATTACCTCACTCACCCTCACCACCTCTCACGAGTATAATGAGAAAGAAGAAGTATATAAATAAATAAGTAAATAAGTATAAAGAATTAAAAAGACAATAAAAGAGTAAGTTGTTACATAAAACTTGTTACATTAAATTAGGGACATATAAAAACATTGTTACAGGAGAGACTGTACCTGGCTTCAGAGAACGGAGTCACAAGAGCCTGGTGTTAGGTTATAAATGGATTGGGTGTTGTATAGTAATTCTCTCCTCCCAATGATGATGTTCTGATAGGTTGTTGCCAAAACTAAATGGGGGTCTGATGTGATTGTTTGACTCGCTGGCTTTAGAGTTATTGTGGACTTTTATCCAAAAATTATTATTTATTGTAGATACCTGTATAAGACCCTTAATTTATAAAGGATTAGCTACTGTAATGGCATGGTTCCACCCACTGGTGTCAAGGATTAACGTCTATTTTCGTTCTGCTGAGTCTGGGTATTTGCATGAGGCAACCACGTCAAGCTCAACTGTTAAATTAATTTTTAGGATTCGTTGTCCATTTGTTTATAAACAGAAATGAGAGCTATTGTTGTGCTTATTGTGCTATGTTAATGGTCAGGTTTCGAATGGAGGTCATGGTAATTTTCTTTTTATTGGATATAACACTAGTTGCATAGTAATTCTTAAAATATTTTTGAAGGAAAATTTATAATAAGTAAACTTAATAGAAGAGAGGCACACACAAATCACATGTATTTTGGGTTAACTTGAGGATTTTCTGTTTCAGGGTTCCCTCGAGACCAAAGAATTTATTTTAGATGAGGTGGCCAAGGGTCTGGGTCTCCAGCGCAACTACTTCTGCTTGTTGGCAGCTCTACTGGGAAACTATCTACTGACAGAGACAGATCTTTGGGACTTTTACACATCACTAATCCCAGGCTATGACAAACAACAGGTAAGATGTTAGTTCTTATATACTGAAAGAGGTAACAGAAAATAGAATTGTCCTAAATTTGTTGATATCAGGACAAGAAATATTTAAATTATGTTACAGTATATGAATTGAATAAACACTTGAAATGGGTGATTACCTGAATCCTTCTGTTTACCAGTCGCAAACACTATTAAATGTCCATTAACGTGAGTCTGCCAGGTTCCTTGTAATTTTCATAAATAAATGTGGGTTAAATTATCAAACCCGAAAGGTCTTCTCTCCATTTATTAAGAAGATAAAATAGTGCACAGATAGTTATGATATCACCATAATTAACGCTGTGAGTGTTAATAAAAAATATGAAGCTGATATGTATCCAAGCTTCAGGAGCCTCAGGTGAATCGTGGGCGAGAGAGTGAGTTCATCTGAGGGTAAAGTCAAGTCCAGGGGCTTGTTCCTTAATGTTTACATAGCGAGGCAGAGGGCTATACATCAGATATCAAGAGGTCATCTGTTAGACAAGAAGATTAATTACCTTACATCACTCGCTTCAGCATTAGAGAGAAAATGCTAGTAATTATATTAACATAATATAATATTATGGAGTCCACATTTATATAAGTACAGCTGCTCCTCAACTTACGACGGGGTTAGGGACCCAAATCCAGGTCGTAAGTCGAAAATGCTTAAATAATACATAGAAAATCTAAAATGGGTGTCTTTTACTTCTCAGCACCACAAAACTCTCACTTTTAAGCTTGCCAGCCATTTTAAAGTGAATTACAAAGAAAAATTTTGTCAGTACACAGCGCAATCACTAACGTTGGAACTCGAAAATACGTAATTTTACAAAATTTTGGTACGACTGAGGCGGTCGTATGTCCGGGTGGTCGTAGGTCGAGTATGTCGTAAGTCAAGGAGTAGCTGTACTGTATTACTGTCTGTTAGATGGGCTAATACATACCTGTGGCAGTGTTGGAGTTTAGGTTATGTACAAAGTATAAAGTTAGGATATCCTACAATATAAATTGATACTCAGGGTTTGCTGATGTGGATGGAGGTCAGGAATTAATGGTGGAGCTTAGTTGGTAAGCCCTTGGGCTACATGGTCGCTGGTTTTTATTGAAGGTGGAGAGTGTTTTGTTTCTCTTGTCAGGATTGTTAGGGAACTGACGATGGCAGGTAATTTGATATTCAATGGTAGCTGGTAGGATGCGCGCGCAGACAAAGGAATGTAGACTCGCACAAGACTTTTATTTAAATCGGGTGTAATTATTTACATTTCAGGTAAGTATTAAATATTACTTTAACTAAATATAACCTAAATTAAATGCAACATATATATAACTCCCTAACTAAATTTCTAAAATTATTTCTGTCATTCTGCTATTCAACATACAGTATTAGATTAGCAGTTTTGATAAGATTTTTTTTTTATATAAGCCCATGTGACTGAAGGCAGAGGCAAGCTTGTGACGATTTGTAACTATATGATGTATATTTGTGGTACCGGTATGCTATTATTCCCACAAAAAGGGCCATGCAGTAAAAAAAAAAAAAAAAGTCATAGATATGCATTACCTTCTAAGTCTAATCCATTCATTTGACAGACACCTCAAGAAGATGTTATACAAGCAGTTGTCAAGTTTATTGTGAATCGGTGTGATGTTAATAACTTGTTAACTATTGGAGCCCAAGTATTTGGGTCTGTTAGCGATCCCAGAGTTGCAAAATTCAAAGAGTCTGTCCAGTACTTCCTCAATGGCACAAAAGATGGATTCCTTCGCTACAAACCATTCCCTTCAGGTATGTAAAGTATTAATGTGTGCTGTGAATATTGATGTAAAGGTATTTGTTAATTTTTTCTCTCACACCTCCAAGTCCTTCACTGGTCTGTTGGAAAGTTAATAGCATTGGCAAACACAATTATTCTTCTTTATTCATTGTTGTTCTTTCTAACTGACAAAGAGGTTGTTGATAAAGGAGAGAGAGGTTTGAAGATCATCCACATATTCCATCTAAGATTCCTAGAATATTTTTACTCCCTAGATACTGACCGACAAACCAAACCATGTACTGAATGACATAGTTTATTGTTATCATTTATGTATGAGGAAGATAATGATGATGATGTGAGTTTGACAATAGTAAATAAAAAAACAATTCATATGACTATCAAAGAGGGATTAGTTTTGTGTTTTAGGGAAAGCTGGCAAAAAGATGAAAGGTCTTTACCATTATGAAAATAGTTTTTAGCAAATTACAAGATGGAGTTGTTGTGTTACTACTTGTTGGGAGAATTGATAGAAGTAGACGTAGAAAGAAACGAAACCTAAAATACTTTAGAAAAATGAGGGTGTGTTTAGAAAAATGAGGGTGTGTTTAGCTGTTAAGAGTTGTCAGTAAGATCCAGAGTTGTAAAGTAACTAGATCAATTTACTTAAGAGTACTGGACTCAAGTAACATTTTTGGGTATCTACTTTTAAGAAAGTACAAAATTTTTTTGTACTTAAGTATGGTTTTCTAATACCTTTCTCCAATACAATTGAAAAAGTACAATTTTTACTTGTTACGTGCAAACTAATAATATATATTTTTATTTGATTAATTATTAACCATAGTAAAAGAGGTGTGTGTGTGTGTGTGTGTTTTCTTTCATAGACAAATGCCTGAACATTACTAAGAAATCTTTTTATAGAACTGATCCCAAGCCCACCCATGACCATAAGAATCTCTTAGTATTACCATTTCACAAAAATTTCTCTCAAATTCCTTTACAACTAAAAACCTGGAACGTCAATGTGGCATATAAAAACTCATGCACTGTTAAACAAATGTTAATCAAGAACTCCCCCAACAACACAATTGGTTGCATTTATAAAGTTCCTTGCAAGGAATGTAATATGTTTTACTTAGGCCAGACAGGTAAAGATCTTGTAACTAGACTTAAACAACATAAATATAGTGTTAGGACAGGCCAGTGCTCTGTTTGTTCATTTGAGGGATAACAAGCATTGCATTGACTGGGATAATGCCTCCTCAATATTACCTTGTAATTCAGTTGACAGTAGGAACATCATAGAATCTGGTCTCATTAAACATACCGAAGCATTCAACATGAATTTGAGTAATGGCCTGTACAAACTGGACAATTTTGTAATTAAGAAGATTTGTAACCAGGTGAGAAGGTTGGGTCACCTTACCCTCTGACCTGACTACCAACCGTTGCGGTACTATTTAAAGATTAGTAGGGTCATTACCTAATACCTGACCATTGTGGACCTGATCTCACCCTCCTCTGTATATATACACCTTGTTTTGTACTTCTCCTTAGTCTGTACCCACCCCTGAAGATGTGAATTACACGAAAGCGCTTGGGAACTTCGTGTTTTCTTCTTTCCTTGTGGTTATCAGCACACACACATATATATATATATATATATATATATATATATATATATATATATATATATATATATATATATATATATATATATATATATATATATATATATATATATATATATATATATATATATATATATATATATATATATATATATATACATATATATATATATATACATATATATATTTATACATACAGTTGTACCCCGTTTAACGCAGTCAATTGAACCCACAGGGTACCGCGTTAAGTGAAAACCGCGTTAAGTGAACAACAGAACATATGGGATTAATTCCAATAGAGACTGGCCCGACCCCCAAACTCCACTTTTTGACGACACACAACTATGTTGTAGTAAAAATATTATCTTAAGTTTATGATGGTATACACACACAATTAATAATTAAGAGAAATATCAATAATATTAGGTTTTTTAACACTTACATTAGTAGAAAAGATGGCTGGGCACACGGCGATGGGCGGTTGGTTCCGAGGCAGAGGGCAGATTATTGGTCCTCACCTGTATCACTTGTATCAATTGTATCACTATCCACCACAGAGGCTTGCAGGGCCTCTTTGTCAAACCCCTCAAAGTCCATACAAGTCCATATCCTCACTATAATTATCACTATCACTGACTTGGGCCGGCTGTGGTGGGTGGCGGGTGAAGAACTCGGTAATGTTTTGATGACTGGGCGACCTTGTGCGCATCGTGCCCGCGCCGCTTCCCGCGTATATGAGTAGATGAACCGCGTTAAGTGAAAGTTCAGTTCTGGCGAGGCACCGCGTATATGAGAAATCGCGTTAAGTGAAACCGTGTTAAGCGGGGTACAACTGTGTGTGTGTGTGTGTGTATATATATATATATGTATGTATGTATGTATGTATATGTATGTATGTATGTATATGTATGTATGTATGTATACAGTTGGCCCTTAACATACGCGGGGGTTAGGTAACAGAGATACCCGTGAATGTTAAAAATCCGTGTACTTTTGCTCCCCCCCCCAAAAAACCCCTGGCCCCCCATGTCCTTATTTACCGTATATACGTATGTGTAGTTCGAGTTTTTAAGACCAAATTATTTTGCAAAAAATTGGGGGTTGACCTCTAAAAGGGTAATAGTTTCGTTAGGTTGAAAAATATTTACCAGTAACTACCAGTAAACAATGGAAATGACGCACCAACGCACCACCAGCTGTGAGTGTCGGTACAGTCGCCAGGGCAGTCTCTTGCGTCATCATAGCAAGCCCGAAGTAGCCAAATCCATGGTATGGTATACACAGGACGATGTAAAACAAAGTATTCATTTGTTAAAGTTTATTTATAGATACTGTACATAAATTTTTGTTCATTACATTTGAAACATCAATCTTTGTTAATTAAATTTGATACAAAAGAAAACTACGATACCGTATTTTCATTAAAATATTACATCTCAAGTATATTTTACCTTAACTGTGACTGAATGAATATATTCTTAGAAATAAATATGGAAATGTAATATTTTGGCTAATGACGTACATATTACTGTACAGTGGAAAGTGGGATAAAATTATGAAAACAATGACTTTCGCTTTCTTTCGTTGTTCAAAAGATTTTACCGTAATCACTTTTCGAATGGTTTTCAGTTAAAAAACTGTTGTACTGTACTCGTACTGTATTACAATAATATTCTATCCTATCATTAGCCTTATAATCCCACAACTGAAAACCATTCGAAAAGCGATTACGGCAACATCTTTTGAACGAAAGAAAGAGAGAGAGTCATTGCTTGCGTCACAATTTTATCCCACTTTCCACTGTAATATGTACATCATTTCAGCAAAAATATTACATTTCTATGTTCTCAGAAATAAATGGTAGTTTTGTTGAAATGTAATGTACAATATTTAATATTAAAATGCAAAAATAGCTATAAAAACAATTAATACACCCGAAATATACTGGCTGGCATCTCCACTCGTCCCTGCTCCTGCGTCCAAGGTCACCTCACCACTCCTTCCAACTCGCTCCCTCCTCCACCTCTTCCTCCTCACCGTCACTACTGCCGACAACAAACACAAATGTTTTGTGAATAACTGCACCTCCACTTCCTATGTACAGTACTTGTACTGAACTGTGCTGTGCTGTGCATTTTTACAAACAATAAACATGGCAAGAAAAGCTATTAAAAAACAGAGATAAGAATTTCACTTTACTGTACCGTACCTCTCCTCGGCGACAGGGCGGGGGTCATCGGGCTCATCGTCACTCAATTCCATAACAGGTGGTGAAGTGGCGGCGACGGTAGATTCAGCTGCTTCCTCACTGCCGCCAGCGATTGATGGTGTTGAATCTCTCCTTCGGTGATCAAAGAACATGGTGATGGGGAGTTGTCCTCTCTTTCTTTTCATTTCTTCCATGATGTTTTTGTATGGAACAAAAGCATCATCCATCCCTCGCATGAATTTCAGGACACGCACCATGGAGGGGTCCATACTATAGGCCAGGTTTTTCAGTGCCTCAATCATCCTGGTCATCTCCCCCAACTTCTCCAACGTTATTTCTTGGTGCTCTTCCTCATCCTCTTTCCCTTTCGCTTCCTCTTCCTCTTCCTTGCCTGAGTCTACTAACTCTGTAGATCCTCCTCGGTTAGCTCCCTAATCTCGTCCTCTGCCATGTCCTGGAAGCCTTTAGCAGCCACTTTCCTTGACAGTGCCAGGGTCTTTCTGAATATTTTCATTAAAATCCATCAAAATCATTTTCCTTGTCATCGTCTTAAGCACCAAACAGCTCCTCCCAGTCTTCTCCTTGAACAGGGCTAGAGGGTACGTGTTTTTCGAATCGTTTTCAATTAAAAAAATGTTACAGCACATGTATATTTTACCTAAACTGTGCCTGAATGAATATATTCTCAGAAATAAATAGTAGTTTTGCTGAAACGTGATGTACTGTATTTCAATGTAAAATAGGATAAAATACATGACGAAAACAAAGAGACTTTACCTAACCTTCTGATGTTCAAGATATGTTACTCGTTTTTTTAGTAGTTTTCGGTTAAAATACTCTTATATTAGTGATATTCTATTCATACTGTGCTTGATATAATACATTCACGGAAATGTAATATTTTTGCAACTACAATGCTGATGTCAACACAAGCGTGGTTACAGCGAGACTGACTGAGTGAGGGAGAGCTGTGTGCGTGCGTGCGTGCGTGCGTGTGTGTGTGTGTGTGTGTGTGTGTGTGTGTGTGTGTGTGTGTGTGTGTGTGTACGCGTGCGTGCGTGCGTGCGCACGGGAGCGGGGAAATTTGCTGTTGTACAATGGCCACAGTACATTTTGAGGTATGAGTTCCCAGACTTAGTGTTGCGGAAGAATGTGGAAATTAATGGTGAAACCTATGTATAACGGACTTCTCTCCATATATTCCATTACATGGGGGTTTTACATCTAACGGAGCCATGATATAACAAACTTTCATCTCTATACAGTTCTTTAGATGGAGGTTTCACATCTAATGATCTTTCAATATAATGGACTTTCCTCTCCTTATAGTCCGTTAAATACAGGTTTCACTGTATTGATGTATGTTTTAAATTGTCTTAATATGAATATGTAAGGTCTAGTTCAACGTTTGGCATTTTTATCATACAGGGAGAAGAGATGGGGGTCCAAGGCATCCACACCAGCACTCAATCCACAGGCCAGAGATACACGAGCCAAAGGTAATAGTAATAGTTTTTAACAACACCATCATGACTAGTACATAGGGTTGTCCGTTGTACCATGTGGTTAACATGCTGATGAATTGGTTATAAATGGCAAAGTGATGCAGGTGTCATTAAGCTTTCAAACCTTGTAATTTTGTATAGAATGTTAACAATTTGTTGCTGTTATTTCCATCTTTCTTTTGAGATATTTGATACTGTTGGCAGCAGACTGTAGGCAGAATAATACAGTAAATAGTATTGTGTATACAATTGTTTCACTCATTTAAGAACTTCTACAAAGTTTTCATTTACTTTATGTAGCTCTTGCGAGTATGTATAATAGTTTCTACACATTCGTAACTATTAGCTGGCAATTTAGAGTAGCTTCATCAAAGATATGTAATGTGATGGTCATTATAAACTGTTAATGTATCCCATGAAATAGACCAAAAATGTTTTAAGCACGTGCTTAGAGTGTGTATCGTGACTGACAAACTTGAATGTGTAGTGAAGGGCTGTATAGCATGAAAGATGTTTGTGAGATGGGTTGGATGTTGATGTGATATAACAGGTGGTGTCCCACAGCACTCAGAAGGCCTAGGCAGACCTGACCTCACACTAAAGGGTGAAGGGTTGTTGGGCCTGCCAGCCCTAGGCCTGGCGGTTGTCCCCGAGAGAGAAAACGGGGACAGCGGAACTGGGAGTAGCAGCAATAGAAGCTGCAACATGAACCTGGTGGCACCTCCTCAAATAGTGATTGAGGTGACAGGTCCCGGGAGCCCCCAGAGTAGCAGTCGAGGGGGCAGTGGGAGTGGCTCTCTTTCCCCCGACGCCGCTCAGTTGGAACAAGTACTCGAATCTCGTCTAGGAGGCTTCACCATAGTAGTAACTGGGGAAGATGATGAACCACAGCAGCTGCAAGAAGACGTTGATAGTGAGGAGAAGGACGAAGAAGAAAATAGAAAAGTAGGGGAAGGACACTTGACCGTGATTACCGTAGGAGCAAAGGAAGAAGAGGAGGAAGAAGGACGAAAAGGAGACCTGACCGTGCAGCCAACAGACCTGGATGACCATGACCACGACTCAGGTATATTATGTTAGTATCACAACTACACTGTAGCTCTGACATTTTTATGTGTAATCAACCTCTTTTATAATGAATTAATAAAGTAAAACACATAATTGTTGCATGCTGTCGTAAGACATTTGGTGAACTTTGTTGCATGGAACACATAACTTGAGATGAAATGGAAATACATGAGTTTTTTCATCTCTTATGATTATTGTTAAATTCCGTATAAAAATTTTCATTGTGTGTGTTTGTTACTTTCATTTAACCAGTTTGTTTACCACTTGACCTCTCTTTATATCCAAAAAAAAGCAATTTGACTTACCATATATTACACTAAATACTGTGAGACTGTTTTCCCCCAAAATGGCCCCAAAACTCACCCTGCGTCTTGATGGTTAACCCTCGGTGGATGTCAGAATGATATACATATGATCGTAAATTATTAAATAAAGAAAACTGTTGACATATTTGCTTGTATAAAAACTCAGTTTCCATCTCATATTTCCCACTACTTAATAATGTCACTATCCATATACAGTATATCATGAATCTGCCTGAAGTGTGAAATTATTTGTCCCACTAATCTTCTATCATGGTGGTAGACTTTGAACAAAAGATATTCCGTCTGGGGAAAAGTTCAATTCATAACTGCACTGTTTACTGAATTTTTAGTTGTTACCCTAGAAGGGGACATACTCGTAAGAATGCATGCTTCCTCTTTGTGTCACCTGTCTGTCCTTTTGTGCATCTGTTTATTCAGAAGTTGGGAGCATAAATTGGACATATCCATGGATGTTAATCTGACTTGATGTGTAGGTTTATTGTAACACAACCTTGGTAGAATTCAGTGGTTAAAATTTTCAGTCTTTATTGCCCAGTCATATTCCTCAAGAGATTTTTGTGGACTGGCAGGGGATGTCATCCACCTTTAGGATAAGCTGTACAGTATTTACTTTAGGAACAAGTAATGATTGAGACATCAGCAGTTAATGATAGTTCTTTGTTTTACTTTACATAGTCCACTGTAGTACAGTATATTCTTTAAGGAAGTTTTGATGAAGTACTGTACATTGCGGAGGAAATTGGGATGTTAAAGTTCATTTGACTGACAGGGTTTTCTTATTAGGTTTTAGAACAAAAGATCATCTCGGTTTTAATTACAATTATTGAGTGTTGATCTAGTGCAGCGGTTCCCAAACTGGGGGACACACCCCCAAGGTGGGTACAGGGGAGGCGTGAAGCCATCTGCCAAAATTTGCTATTTTTTGCTAAAAAAAGAATATAATGAAACTATTTCGGGAGTAACTCTCTCTCCGTTTGAATCTTCCACACATCCGTGCAAAACCAAAGTATAGCAGTCACCCCTATCTGTTTTCTATCATTTCATCTTTCCTCCTTACACGCCTTATACATGTCATGGATACCATACTGATTCTCACACTACTCGTATCTTTCACAACACTGCCAGCCATTGATCCTTCCTCATTGAAGCATATCATTAAAGTCTTTTATATTCGTATTATTTATATTTTATTTGTTTTTATCCATGTTCACTATGCAAGGAGTTATTTGATCCTCAACAATACTAAAATATAATTACCTGTATAATAAAAAAATAAAATCTATGAAGATTTTACATGCAAAAATATATGGGGGGGGGGGAGGACTTGGTAAAAAGCAAAAGGGGCATCATGTTAAAAAGTTTGGGAGCCACTGATCTAGTGTACAGTAAATATTTCCTCATTTGCAAAGTCCTAGATTATAATTTTGAACTGGTCACCAGCCAAATCCACTTATTCAGCAGACATATGGGTAGGATTAAAATTTTTCCTTAAACAAAATTTCCAGTTATGCAATAAAAGAAGAATGATAAACTTGATCTTAATTCACTTGATCACCCAGTTGTGGCCGTTTTATTTTTACACCATAAACCATTTTGTTACCAGCCTCTACAAACCTTTGTAGATCTTCTACCTTAACACAGTGAACACCCAAAGTTTCTATTATTCTTCTGTTCATACCCAACAAAATTTGAAGCTTAATTAAAGACCGTCATCTCTATGACTGACAGGAGTAGTGGATTCAAATTGGAGACCTCTCAATGGTTTATACAGGTATTCCTTTAATGGAACTGTTGTGGTGTACAGTATTATATAGTACAGTACTGGCAAGAGTGGGAGGAATCACACTTGTTTACAGAAAATTCCTTCTGCTAACAAATATTCAAAACTTCCGACTGATTATTTGGTACATACATGGGCTCCTGCGCCTGGAGACCAGACTGAATGTGATATTGGAATCTCTCTTGTTGGATGACATGCACTATGTAAGCCACACCCTCTGTCATCCCCAGCCATTTCAGATCCTCTGAAGACCTTAGCATAAATATTTAATGAAAACCCTGCTTGTGATGCACGGGAACTCCCTTTAAAATTATCAGTAAGTTTATTTGTACATAATTGATTTTTGTTCACACTTTTTGCATGGTAATGTACATCTTTAGTTTGCCCCTGGTGAAAGTAAACATTTATAAGATAAAGGAATTAACTATGAAAAAATGTTTAGGGTTTGTGAAAAAGTAACAATGCTTAATGTGCGAGTGCTATACATACAGTACATAATCTATTTGATTTTTAAGGAAAATAGCCATCTACTTTTTCAGTTGAAAATTCAGCTTGTGCATTTCATTGACAAAAATACATAATATTAATTTCCATGTGGTGAAAGAATGTCAATTTTCTGATCTCATAAAACCATGATGTTAGTGCTTGTGCATCTCTGCTTGGGAAGATCCCCTGACCCCCTTGCCTTTTGATATTAATTTCCAGCCTCCCATTTTAAAACTAGATGAAAAGGCTACTTCTGCTGCTTTTGACTTCAGTTAACAATACAGTACAGTATAAACAAGAGAGTTATCTAGGGGGTGTTTTGCCAGCCATTCAGTATAAGTTGAGTGGTACTGCAGGTGGTGGGTGTCTGGGATCAACTGCATCTGGTTCTCCTGGTGCGTCTCTCTTGTTGTCGTCATCCTCCTCGTCCAGTAACAGTTCTGCTGCGTCGCCGTACCGCCTCACACCCGATGTGTCGTGGGCAGCTCAGGTTTATCGCTCCAACCACACCTCTGTGAGTTACCCATGTATAAAATCCTAACTAAGCTGATTTTTATTACTGATTGATACCCGACTAGCCAGTTATTATTACAACATGATACTGTACTGTTCTGTGCTTTATCATCTTTTAGGTCATCTTGTTTTGAGCCAGCTGCTTCATTATCAAGATTTATGATGTAATTGTCTTGGCATTTCTATTTTACTTCATTTTTACAATATACACTATCTCCATTTGTAAATGCTTATGTAAGATTTTTTTTATCGAGTTTAATGTATTTTTATTTATTTTTATTTTTTTTTATTTTGAAACTTTTTGGGGCCTTTTGCTTTATATACTGCAAGACTTCATATAAAAATCTTTAAGTACATGTGTGTCTGTATTTATATGTTCTGGAACTATTTCCATACAGTTTGTCTCTTGGTCTGTCCTTGTACTGTCCAGCTGCTCTCTCTGCACTTGTTTTTTCTTCTCATTTCTACACCTCTTACAACCTTTACTGAGTACACTGATATCCCCGTTAGCCAGAACAATTGGTGCAGAGCATTTCTGGGGATGAGAGATTTCCGGCTAACGAGACGACTTTCTCAAACCTGGAAAAATTGCGTATCACTGGAATTTTTTACGATGACTGGGAAAAGTTTCAGAGTGTCTAAACTAGACATCTTGCACAGAAAGATACTAGCCCACTTCCCCAGAATGTTTTTGAGTGATGGGGATGTTTTCCTTGAGTCTAAACTACTGGAGTATAAATGCAGTTCTAATTAAATTAGAAACTCCATTTCCTTACTATAATAATCCAGAATATTTTATCTGAAAGTTTGGTTAAATTAATATAATTAAAAATTAAAATTCTATATAATATGGGTCTGAATAAAGCTGTGTGTTACAGCAAAGACTGGTATTTTCCACTCCTATGGAGCTGTGTGGGGATTAATGGGTCTCGTGTAACTAACCTGACCCGACGCAATGTCAGGTGGAGGTAGGGTGGGGGTTTAGTGGTCTCATATTACTGACCTTTGATGGAATTTCAGGTCACCCTTTCTTGGATGGATAATTAGTGGGTTTCATGACCCGAAGATGTTTTGGATAAACACAAAACCTAAAGTAATTTTAGGGAGACTGTGAGAAGTACAGTGTAAGTATAAATGAGCAAAGTTGTATCCCTTCAACATTACATTACATAACATTTTAAAATATGGAGTAAGAAAGCAGAAAGGTGTGGGTGATTAGAGAGATGGAGTGGTAATATACACCAGTGTTGCCAAGCGATAAGCTCCTCAACAGCTGATATTTAACTCGCTACCACACAGTGACACACATGCAAGCTTGTCATACAATGAGACCCTCACTCCTCATGCTTGCTGTCTTAATTCCCTTCCTCACAGCATTTATTATAAGCTTCTATTTATGTTAGAGAGATGAATTTGCTACCATGTTGATCCTGAATAGATTCTCCGAGATGTTTCCAATTTGATATCCTTAAATGACAAGCTGAATAATAAGGTAAAAATAAGTATTCTACAGTGGTCCTTCGGTTAACGAGCGCCTCGGTTAACGAGATTTCAGTTAACAAGTTACCTTCCATAAGATTCTTAACTTCGGTTAACGAGCAATCCCTTGATTAACGAGTTTCTTACGAGCCGACCTCAACATGTTTTTGCTTGCATTTGGCGGTCCACCAGCTGTAGTATTAGTCCGCCAATACAGTAATTGGTTCTAGGGCTTATATTCCTTACCATTTTAGTAAATATCAAGAAGTTTATACAATTCAATAATTTAAAATGTTTAATATTAAATTTTTTAGTAATTTTAACAACTATTGAACATAATTGAAGGTAAGGAAATTATGTTTATGCGCGCCATCCAGCCTGGCAACACACGAAACAGGCGCCAGTCTCTCTGTCTTTTCAGTGGAGGTAACATCTTGCTTGAGACTCGCTTCAACTAAACGCTTTTTTTATGTGTTTGCAAGCAAATTATTGGTCATTTTGAAATTTATTTTACATATTGACAATATATAATGCAGTGCAGTGTTGATTTAAAGAAAATAAAATTGAATTACACCAAGAGAACTAAAATTTTATGGGTGAAATGGTGCCATGGGTGACTTCTCTTCCACCCCAATGCCTTCTCTTTTCCCTTCTCCTCCACCCCTATTCAAATTCCCATCATCATCATCATCCAGGAGCCTTCTACATACACACCTCAAAGTAGGTGTACTTTTCTACCTTTTTTGTTGAATTTAGGCAATTTTCGGTGAACTGGAACCAATTACCCAAAACCCCATTGAAACAATGGTTTCGGTTAATGAGCAACCTTCTAGAACGGATTGTGCTCGTTAACTGAGGGACCACTGTATTGGCGGACTAATACTACAGCTGGTGGACCGCCAAATGCAAGCGAAAACATGTGCAGTGGCGCTCGTAAGAAATTCGTTAATCGAGGGATTGCTCATTAACCAAAGTTAAGAATGTTATGGAAGGTAATTCGTTAACCGAAATTTCGTTAACCGAGGCGCACGTTAACCGAGGGATCACTGTACAGTACATTTGAGTACAGGTTGTGATAATTTATGCAGTTGTTCAGCAGTTGTGGTTGCAGTTGCAAAGCTTCATGACATCACTGGTGTATGATGCGTCTCCATATGCCCTGGTTTATTCACTGATCAGTTGTCTAAGTGCAAAAGTAGCCAAATTGAGCTATCATTAGGGTGTGACCGTTACCCTCCAAAAATAAAAAAAATGGTCCTACAATGCTGTTCAAAGTTTTAGTGTTGTGTATTTATCTAGGAAACACCCCTGTAAATTTTCTTGGAGATCGGTGCATGTTTGAGCTAGCACCGTCGGCTTTACAAAATAACAAGGAATATTATTATCTAATGAACAAATTTAGTGGAATTTCTTTTATTAGACTTATAAGATATACTAACACCAAGCAAATGATCGATCATATCAATCTTAATACCCCTAAAACAATATTGTAGATTAGTACGAAATACAATAATCCCAATAATTGCATTTCTAGGTTCAAGACCCATTTATCTCAACTGGCGTACAATGAAAAAAAGAAATACTACTACCCCGCAATGCCTGGAGTGTTTGAGGAGCGCCAGCAGGAGATGGCTGACTTCTTCCGTGAATCTCTAGCCCAACCATTTACACGTGGCGACTACAAGGAGCTGGTAGAGCTTTGTCTGCTGCTTGTAACTAAAGGATCCGAGCCAGTGAACTTCACGATGGTCTACCCCGGAGCACTCCACAAAGTAAGGTGGATGGCTAAAATGCTCTATACCCTCAGGATTGTTCTTTTGGCAGGCCAGATCAAAGAGCAGTTTCCCAAAGCCGAGGTTGTGGCTAAAAGTCAAATCAGCAAGTTAGAACGGTTTGCTGTGTTCACAGTCGCTGTTTATGTCCCATGGTGGATTGTTTGCCCCGTTCCAGCAAGTGCGCCACTGAATGACTTGAATTTGGTCGAAACCTTGGCTGAATTTGCCCCATATGATGCCACAATAGTTGACAAAGCACGTGTGGCACTCGGTAGACACACTTGGTACCAAACTGAGGAGTTGGCCCCACTGGCTTTGTTCTCGTCCCAAGTATAAGAAAGGACAAAAGAGGAGATGAGGAAGGCCCTTCTTTGTCATGAAGGCACTGAAGTTACTAAGAGAGTGGGGCTCAATCATGGGGGCGATGGAAAGCCATATCTTACCCCTGTCCCAGAAAGTGGCACTGCCCTGGCGGACCTAATTGGGCCTGACTCAAGCCGGTTCTTCACCAGTGAATGGGCGGATCATGACGACTACCTGAACATGAAACGGGTTGTGGACAAGCTTCAGGTCGTCAATGAGGCTGCAGAGCGTGGTGTAAAACTTTGCCATGACTTTCTTAATGTTGCCAGGGATGAGGAGCACTTTCAAGAAGTCCTTCAAGTCGTTGAAAATGACAGACTCTGCGTTCCTAATCAGCGCAAACGATCATCTGTTTCTGAACAGAATTCATGGTTTCTTGCTTTAGAGAAATAATACAGTACCTTGTGAATATATGATAAAACTCCTTAATGTACCATGAGAGAATAAGAATGATTAACTTTTTTGTGTTAGTGATAACAGCTTTTAATTAAGACAGGCAAATGATTTGTGTTAATATCCCTTATGATGGTTGTGTAATCTCATATATAGGCGTGTATGCTGTATAAGCAAAATTGCTATTTTTCAAATTGCTGGTGCTCACTCAAATATGCATGAATCTTCAAAAAATTGCACGTGGGTATTTTTTATGTCAATATGCAACACCAAAATTTTGAACAGCATTGCAGGACAAAGTTGGGGCAACTGTCACACCCTAGCCGTCATGTATCAATTGATTTTAAAATATAAATTATGAAGTCAAATGATATAAGACAATGGTTTAGTAGTGCTGTTAATATGTGTGCTGTGTAAGTGTCTTGGCATGTCACCTCACCATCTGACTCCGTCACCTAACCACTTGATTCCTCACCTCGCCCTTTGCTTCGTTAGCTCACCTCAGAATTTCATTGATTTATTACTATCATTTTACTTTTTTTAGTACTGCATGTACATTTAAAGAAATATTTATATTTGCACAGTAATTATAAATAATCCACAAGCAGAAAAATCCAGTGTTACCCAAGCGGTTGGTCTTCCCACCCATGCACCAACCATGTGAGGATGCGGCTAAACATGATGCAGTCTTTCATAATGCTGGGAACCCTTGTCCCCAGGCCCTGAGCAGAAAGGTTTGAAGTGATTTTATTGCCATTTTCTTAGATTTTCCAATAATTGCACATTATTTCATAATCGACATTTGCTCCCAGACCCAGAAATAAAAATTTGGACAGATTTTATTTATTTTTTTTTTTTTTTCAGAAAATGATCCCGATTTACAATCTCGGAATAATTCGTTCCTTAACCTGGAATTTAGGGAATTTAACAGAAAATTTTCGAGCAAATTTCAATTCTGCTTATTGGAGAGTTCTGGGTTTGAGGCATTCCAGTTAACGGAGATATTACTGTACTTTGTACTTCTTCAAGATACTCGAATATTTTTTTCCATTCAATCATTAAATTTTTTAAGTGCATGTGTATATGCAAACTACTGTTGCCACATTTGTAACTACAGTGACTATTTTTTTATTTAGTCTTATTAGTTACATCCTCATACTGTACGAGTAAGTTTACACTCTACAGTACTTTTAACTTTATTATGGTAGAGTAATTTAGTTTGCTGGTAAAGTGGTTATTGTATTGGGGTGGCAGTCATTAATTTGTAATTTCAAATGTCCATTGAGCAGACAATGTGTAATTGATATCTGGTGATTGCCAGTAACAATAGTTTAATCATGTCCCAAACTGCTTGTCTCACAAAATGAAACTTTCGTACATACCTCTAGAATTAAGAGGGATATATACCCATCTTATCTCGCCTTGTCTGTGGCTGAAGGATGTCCTGGGTTGACTTGTGACTTCCCTGCCTCTATGGCTTCTGCAAATTTTTATGATTTCTATCTAGCTTTTTTCATTTGTAATTCCATGAGTTCTTTCATCAATAAATACACAGTCTGACACAGACTGCCCATGGGATGCTCTTAATTTTGGTTGCTGAGGTTTTGTATATTTACTAAGACAAACTATTACCTGTTTGAATGTGGACAGTATTATTTTCATTATCCTAGTCTATTTCCAAGAATAATAAAGATGCAATGGGTGATTTTAAACCAAGAATTTACAGTTATCTTATTTCCACAATAAAAATCCCTTGCCTGGTGCTTGTTTCCTCTTCTCTACAGTTTTAATAGAATCACTAATTATAATTGAAAATTCTATAAATGTTATCACAGTTCTTTTTAACTATAAAACTTTTCAGAAAACTCTTCCTGGCTATCACATGTTGGCAAATAAACCTGCTTATGACTAGGTTCATAGGATTAGCATTAAGCTTGACTAACTGAACTACAGTATATCTTACCCTGTCCCTTATCAGTACAAATAATTACTGTACAACTTTTACTGTACTAAGATACTTATACCTGTCTCATCACCATCTGAATACATTGAAAGTGATAGTCATCTTTAATAATATTATAATCTGCCCTTCTAGCTTCTATTTAGAGTTCATACCCACACATTCTTAAGCTTTCCAGAGTATTCATTGATGTTCAGAAAGTACTTGCTAGTTCTTGGTGGCACACTGCATGCAAGCATGGGAGGTATTGTACCGGGTATTTTGAGTTGATGCCAATCTGCGAGGAGTGCCTTTATAGTCTTTGCCCTTGATTGTTTTAAGGCAAGAATTGTGATTCAGTGAGGTTGTAAGTTGAATGCTCTTCCTCATCACAAGAGTAAATTGTATAATGAAATGGAAAAAAGTTCATAGTAAGCGATGGAATAAAGGTCACTCATACCTCAGTGTGATTAAGGATTAACCTACCACATTTTCCACCATGTAAGACACATTTTCCCAAAATTATCTTGCATGTTATCTGTCAATTCCATGGTTTTGAAGATTATAAGTCAAGTGAAGAAATGGGGGAAATATTCTCTTTTTGCTATCCTTTCAGCAACCAAGTGATTTGAACTTATGAGCCAATCGGGAACACTGCATAGGTTGTCATAGAATTTCTCACGTTGTGTTTGGGGTAGCCATTTAATGGCCAGCTGGGCAACACCAAACTGCTTGTATGTGAGCCCCGGGATATAAGGAATACACGGTATCCTCATTATTTTGAATACCCGGTAGTTATAATTTGGTTTTCAGCTTAATTCATATTTGTTCTCAAAATGAATTAAATGATTTAAATTTGGAATGAATCTGAAATAACCGATTGGTTCTGAAAAATCAATTATTATTATTGGAATATATTATGAAACGGAATAAGAGGAATGAATTATAGGAATAGAATATGAATTATATTAAGCTAATGTACAAAACTACTTTTGGGTGCATAGCCGGGGAGAGGAGGTGGCAGAGGAGGGGAGGGAGAAGAAGACAATTTATCTCTCTCTCTCGTCATCTTAAGATCCTTCTATAACAACAGTATACAATATCACCATAATTCCCATATTGTATTGGTTCATTTGGTGCCGGGTTAATAAAACATTATTGAAAAGTAATTAATTTTTACCTAAAAATTCTCAAAATTAGTCCCAGGTGAGCTATTGTGCTGTTGTATATTCCCAGGCTCATGTTTATAGAGCAGTACCAGCTGATGGGTCCCGCTCTCCCAAACAATGTTGCCAGCACTCACCATCTCTCAAGCACTGTTGTTGTCACTGTTCTAGAGGATTGGTGCTTACCACAGGATTTGTCTTGAGCGCTTAATAAATACTGTAATACAGTATTGTAGTGTATGTATCAGGACTTATAAATGTTATAATGCATCTCCATATATCCTGGTTTATTCACTGATCAGTTGTCTAAGTGCAAAAGTAGTCAAATCGAGCCATCATGAATCATTTAATTGTAAAATAGAAATTAAAATATTATAAGACAATGGTTTAGTATTGCTGGGTGTTATGTGTAAGTTCCTTGTCACATCACCTTATCTTGCAGTGTTACATTTATTTATTACTGTATTATTTACAATACTTTTTTATTACTCTACGTACATTTAAAAAAATTTTGTTTGCACAGTTATTATAAATAGATTATTTTATGTGGCAGCCAAGGCAGAGCGTAAAAACTGAACAGAAAATGAACGAATAACCGAACACAAAAATTCATAAAAAGTTGTCGAATGTCAAAATACAGTATTTCGAACTCGGTTAATTTGGAGTTTTCAGTAATTCGAGTGAACCAGAGCTTTTTTGTCAAATTAAGGAGAGTACAGGTACTCCTCGACTTACGACCACCCAGACATACGACCGCCGCAGTCTGCAGCGGTCCAGAAAAACACAGATACAGAGTGGATAATAATAACCATATTAACATGGTGAGCACACAATACCTGTAGAAGTGATTAGGATGATTGTCAAAATAATAATATACAGTACTGTATATGTATAATTGTATGTATGCCAGGTGGACAGTGGCAAAGTTACATACATTCGCGAACAAAAGTCTCGTTGCCTCTTGTGCTGCTCCACAAACCCATAGATAAACACTCTTGAATCTGAAGCATTTATGGACAGAATAATCCATCACACTACTTTTTCAGGTTTCTTTAACTGCTTATGTTTCACTGCCATACAACATCACGCTTCTCTTACCAGTTGCATACATTTTTCCCCTTAAATAGAGGGAAGGTCCTCTTGCTGTCAATAAAAGCTGCAACTATATGCTTCCTCCAGGCACTTTTGATTCTTCTAACTAAGCTAGCTTCAGCACCCTCTCCAGTTCTGTTCATGTCATCCAGGCAGCAGAGCTCATTGACACAGTCCAGGAACATATCCTCAGTGTTGAGTTTCTCCAGCCTTGGTAAGGACATATGTCTGACGTATGTCACGGATACCCACAAAATGTTCTATACTACTGAGGGTATACACAAACACTTGTTGTCTTAAAAGTAGGTTCTATTCTCGTACGGGAGATATATACAGTAGGACGCAGAAGCTCGCGTTTCCACACCACGAGTACTCTGTCTTCACTCTCTATCTATCTATGTATTACTACGCGCTGGCCTGTACAGATGCCAGCATTCACAAGCTAAATACATAAAGTATAAATATGATAATTTATATACATAACATGGTGCACAATAAAAGGAATATTACATAGAATTAATACATGTTCTGTAATACTTTACATAATTAATGGAGTAATATAAGAGTAATATAATAATACACAGCTGAAGGTACTACTTTGTGTCCATATATCATACAATATGCTCATCTACACATACAGAACATTATAAAGTCTGTCATCCACTCCACTGCATATCATGGTTCCCACTGTCCACAGTCACTGCATGTTACTGAATTGCTGCCAACACCTTTCTTATAGACAGCACATGGCCATTTCCATTTTCCACCTTGGGTCCCTCGTGCATGTCACTGATTAATACTTTTGTTTTTACCACATTGTCTTATCCCTTTGACTCGATTCCTTTCTTTCATTTCTTAAATTTCTCTATTGCCTCTTCCATGATATTTGCTATCAGCTTAAGTCATCAGCATACAACAACTCCCAGGGCAGACCAGTCCCCAACTCCTATGATATTGCCTCCATGATAAACAGAATGGGGTTCAAGACAGACAGTAGTTTTAAGCCTTCATATACAGTAATGCCATAACCACTGAGTCAAGACACTCATCAACCCCAAAATTTTTCATTGTCCACCTTATAACTTCAAATGGCACTGTCATATGTTCTCTCTGGGTATACAAATACGAATTGCAGCTTTTTTCCCTCCTAGAAGTTTCTCTTGTAGTTATCTGAATGTAATATTGCCTTTGTCCTCCTACCTGGCATAAACCCAAACTGCATTCCATTTAGTCTACTCTCTCCCTTATCAAATTCTGTTTCTCTTTCTACAACTTTGATAACCTCATCTAACAGCTTCAGGTCCCTGTGGTTCCCACATTCAACTGCATCACTTTTACCTTTGGAAGTGTTCACAATCACACTCTTCAGCCAGTTGTTTGGAACAGTACAGGGGGTCCCGAGTAACGAATGCCTGACTTACGAACACCCTCCGTTACGAATGAGGTCCCATAAGGTCAATTATTTTAAGAATCTGACATGGGTACAACTGGTTAGTAGCATTAATGTATGAGAAGTAGTTTGCGTGGCGTAGCGGTGAGGGAGGTGGGGAGTAATGCGTCATCCAACCACGTTCCTTGAGGGAGTGTCAGTGCACCTTACCCTCACCTCAGTAATGTGTGTGGTCAAGTGCAAACTGTTGTTTTTTGCTTATTAACTTATTTTTTCTGCTCTCATCATGGCTCCCAAATGCAAACCTGATGCACGTGATAGCAGTGCATTCAAGAAAAGGAAAACAATTACTGTACAATGAAAGTGAAAGTTGACATAATTAAACATTCTGGAAAAGGTGAAACCCCCCTCATTCTTTGGTAAAGCTTTGGGCTTCAGTCGGTCAATGGTCGGAACAATTTTTAAAGACAAACGGAAAATTCTTGAACATGAAAAAGGATCTACACCAATTCACTTAACTGTGATAACAAAACAAAAAGTAGATTGTTAATTGAAATGGAAAGATTGTTAGTGATAGGGGTGGAAGATCAGCCAGCCCAAGGTTTCAGTGTAAGTGATAAATTTAATTTTTACTTTCCTTTACTGTATTTTGTCATTCAATTTCTTCTTTTCTTGGAATTAAGTGATTTGAGATGTATAAAAGGACTTAGGCTATGATATAATGCACATAGGGTGTGTGTTCCGACTTACGTACATTACCGGGGACCCCGTTTATTGTCATAATTGGATTAGTCCATTCAGCAACCATCGATGCTCCTACATCATATACAGTATTGCTGAACTACCCCCCCCCCCTTTCCATTCTTCTTTTTGTCAACTTTCTCCTTCACCCATTCTCTTTCAATCCTTAGGCAATAATTTATCTCCTTTGCAGATTTTTAATTTATTTTATTTATTTTATTTTATTTATTTATTTTAATTTTTTACTTTATTAGGAATTTATTCTTTTCCCACCATAAGTAGTGTTGAACTTGTTTCTTAAATTATGACCATTGTTGTTGGAAAAGTGGTGTCCATTTAAGTTCTGATAGGTTTGGTTAAGTGTGTGTGTGTATTTTGTAGTCAGGTTTAGCTTAAAGTAGGGATGGGGTTTATGATGCTGTTATTGAATTTTAACCCACCTCCTGAAAAAAATAAAAAAAATGCATCCCTAGATTCTCAAAAAAAAAAAAAAAACTATAATGTATAATTCATGTCAGTAGTTATTAACCATATTTTACACAGAAAAAAGTTCCATTAATACCATCCCCAAAAGTTTCTTATTATGTAAATACCAGGTAGTCGGTAGGTAATTTTATTGCTTGAATCACATTTTATTCTGAAAGCTGTGTATGGTGTTTTTAATTAGATTCTTCTCAATGTTATTTATGATAAATTTTTATTACATTCTATTCTCCTTTTGATGTTCCTCACTTTCAAGTTTATTAATGTTTTAATGACCATTGATGTAGTGTTTTATACATGAATTTATATCTCTTCTCTATATTCTTGCTAACTTCTTATGTGACTTGATTTGTGTTTATAATTTTTTTGCCACTTATTTTTCTTTCAGATTATGTTAATAGCCTTTTTCTATTCTTATTGGTGAGGTAAGTGATCCAGTAAGAGGCTGTGTGAGTACTGTACCTCATGTGTTTCTGTATGTGCGAGTCAGTGATGCGAGAAAGTAACGTGAGAGTGATCTAAAGGATGTGTGTGTGCTGTACCAGGGTCCACTACTTTGTCACAGGGCACGACAATCTGCTGTCATTCTGTCTGTCAATGTTCAGTTTGCCGTCTAGGCCTCTTGTCTGAGTCACGCCAATTTTTAAGCAAAAGCCTGCACCACTTTGCCTTCTTTTCATTTTGAAAATTCTGCGGAAAGCATTCTCCGCCTTCCTAACGTTGTTTTGTTTCAGCACACAGGGCTGTCATTTTCTTAACTTGTAGATAGTAATGTCTTCCTTTTATCTATTTTTAACCACTTTTGAATTTTATATTTCCTCCAATTTTGAGAATTTTTTTTTATGCTGGGAGATAGTAAAAAGGAAGCGAAAACTATATTGAGGTATAAAATGGGAAGGATGTACGGTACTTAATGAGACTTATTCCTGTACAGTTATAACATTATACTAAATGTGAGTCTTAAGAAAGACTTGCTTTTATGGTCATTCACATTGTTTTGTGCAGGAAAACTTAATAACATTGTACTTTAAATGGCATCCTGATGAGTTCAGCAAAGCAGTAAACATCTGAGGCATCCATAACTGAAGAAACATTTTCCTAGCATGGTATTCTGTTTTATAATACTGTACACTGTACATTGAAACCTCAGTGATTCAAATTGAATAATTCTGAAAAGCACAAATTTTAAAATTCTTCTGATAATTATTATTATTATTATTATTATTATTTTATTATTATTATTATTATTATTATTATTATTATTATTATTATTGTTATTGTTATTATTATTATTATTATTATTATTATTATTATTATTATTATTATTATTATTATTATTATTATTTTAAATCTCTTGTTTGGTAACTCTGTGTGTTTTATGCCCATACATATGAGACAGGCATGGATGTACAATTATGCAGTATGTATGTGTATACATAATATATATGTAATATACATACATACATATGGTAGCTTTACATGCACCTTGCACGAATGTACCAAATAACCTTGCAGGAGCAGTGTGGGTACAGTATTCCCTTTGTAATTCTGTATTCTCAAGTTCAAAATTTCTACTTACCCCTGTATTTAGAAGATTTTGGCAGATATAAAATGCAGTACAGTGTTGGTCTCAAATAATTAGTAATATTCCTAATTGGAAGAATTATTCTGAAAAGTTACTCGTTAGTGTTGCTCAGTTTGTAACCATTCCAATTGTTAGTTTTGCAGTTCATAATATGTAATTGTTTCAGGGTAGTTACCATATGATAGAAATAAAGCAATACATTCTGCTGTACAATATGGGTGTTTTACAATCCCCAAACTGCTGTATCCTGGATTAGTACTTCCTGCCTTACATGTTTTTTACTGTGGTTGCCAACACTTACATATGAAGACAGTACTCTGATTGATAACATACATCAGCTCAAATCATCTAATATCAAATATCTTTAGTCTTTAGCAAGGATTGGTGCTCTTGTTCTCAGATGAATGCTTGTGTGACTCATTCCTGCCTACAGTGGTATGAATCCCAACCAGCACTGTGCTATAATGATTCATTCATTATCGCTCATTAACCTTTATTTGGTGTAAAATTTATTTATTTAAATTGATCATTTACAATGAATTGTTTGTTGGAGTGAAAGATACACAAGAGTGTTTTCACTACATTAACTGTACAGTGTTTAAGAATTGAGTTGCCATTTCAGAATACAGCATATTTCAAAATTTAAAAAACACTAGCAAATTTCATTGTTTTGGGAATCCTCCCAGTACGGTACCTCTCCGTCAACCCATATGCCCAGTGTCAGAAACTGGACAAAAAATTAGACTAAAAGAAGATGGACTTGATGTGTTGTTCAAAGACAAACTAATTTACAATACTGTAATTATCTACACCTAAATATATCTTTTGTAAGGTAAAAGTGATGTTAAATGTAATAAGAAACATGCAGGATAGTGTATGCTCATCTGGGCCACTGATACTGTACTCAAAGTCTTTCTTTTTCTAAGCATGAAACTGTTAACTGTTTTGGATAAACTGCTTGATAGGATAAAATTCACCAGAAGAACACCATGTTTAATAATGTACACTCACCAAAATATATCCTGTCAGTCCTCTCTTCCCTCCATGAACCCTGAGACTAATGAACCTGGTAATCTGAGACATCACACATTGCACCTTCAATAAACTCAACAATGTGTGATGTCTCTGATTCACAGGTTCATGAATCTCAGGGTTCATGGATAGGAAAGAGGACTGACAGGAGTTTTATTTTGGTGAGTGTACATGCGTGTGCAGTCATTCAGTAAAGCAGTGTGAAGTCATAAAATAAAATTGTGTGTAGGCTTCAAAGTTCCCAATAACATAAAGAAAGTCGGGAAAATTGCTGTGGTTATTGCCTCATCTACACCGTTAAATCTAGTAAAGTTGCACCAATTATTATCATGGCTTTAAGGTTGTGCTCTGGGTATGTCTCAACTCTCAAGTTACTGTACAACACAATGTCTGACCTTGGAGTGTGAAAAAAGGCCATCGTCAAAGAGAACCTTATAGAAGCTGAGATGCATGTGGGAAGTGTTACTTACATATGTATTTATTTCTCTAGAAATTACTCTAAATCATGTGTAATGAGTACTAAAGAGTACTAAGAGACCTGCTAGTGCTTTGCCAACTACACCTGTTACAGGTATCAAGAAATTATGAAGGAGTGTCATTATAAGGGTGAGATCAGACATTAGTAAACAACATGAGCAGGTGAAGGAACAAGAGTGAGAGGAGATCATCCACACGCCTCTCAAGAATATTTTATACATTGTATGTCATAACATTTTTATGTACCATAATCAGGTTCCTGCACCCGGTTACTTAATCAACTTTCCGATAGATTAATGATATAAAAAGTACTGTACAATTTACTGTCTGAAAATATTCTTTAATAAGTAAAAGTAACAAAATTCCAAAGTAATAAGGTAAATGTCCCCAAAGTAGAGTAATATATATAGTATTACTTTGTTACTTTTAAACAACAATGATGAATTAACACTTATCTTGTGTTTGGTTTTATTTCACCTTTTAAGTGCATGGCAAGTGTAGCAGCTATGATGGGTTATAATTGCAGTTATGATAGGGATACAGTGTGGTTTGACTGTCAGTTGAGCCTAAGGTTAACATTTAACAAAAGAGGGTTTACTATATTTATATCACAGGACTTGAGAAATTCTTGCTTAATCTGCATGCACAATTTTTTGTATATCATTAAGAAAATAAGAGTACAGTACACCTGAACCATTAGGCATATTGACACCAGATAACATCATAATGTTCTCTCTGCAGCAGTCCAGTAGTCCAGTTGATGGGGGTCAGGAACCAGGCCCTCAGATTGACCCCAACCCTCTCCCTCTACCTCCAGTGCCCCATGAGGTCATGCGTACAGCCTCGGAGCGCCACCAGAAGGGTCTAATGTGTCCCTGGATATATCAAGTTTTAACACAGGTTTGTTGTCTCAACTCCTTTCACTGGCTCTTATGAAGTTTTCTTGATATTATCTACACATGTGTCATATCTGATTGTTTTAATAATTATCCATTTGTATCTGAAAAAACAAGTTGAACAAGATAATCTTAACTTTTTGAACCCTAAAAAGCATGTATAAGAGGTATGCTGACTTGTATAGTAGGTTGACATGAGCATATATGTATATATATATACAGGCATCCCCCGCTTTGCGGAAGCCCGGGTTACGGAATTTCGCTCTTACAAAATTTGTAAATTATGACCAATAATTTCACGTTACGGCCCGTAAATCCGCCCTTACAGAAATTGGGGTAAATTTTAACAAACACAAGGCCTCACACATGCCATTCAGACTGACAGACTTGACAAGTTTTTCCAACCATAATGACAGTTGAAACTTTAAACATCACTCACAATGGATCTTGAATATTCCAACTGTAATCAGACATACCTAAGTTGTCTCAACAATTGCAACCCCAGTTGTGATATCAAATTCTGTGTCACTACTAAATAATAATAGCCCCTGGTGCACTCTTAAGATTAAGAGAAAACGGACGATTCAGGAGTGCTGAAGTGAGAGAAAACAGACTCCTATGACGGGGCACTCAAATAAACATACACATAGCTGTATAATGCAATATTATGCAATATTAACCCCTAAATTGGTGTTTTAAGAAGGTATATCATAAACTATTTAATGTACTGTATTGTATGTGTTTATAAATGTTTATTTTCATTAATAAAAGTGCTTGAATTACTTTTTTGGGGCCGAAAAAATTCCTTAGGAACGCATCTCCAGTTTTATAATGGAAGTCAATGGGAAAATAGGTTTCGCATTACGGAATTTCGCGATACGGTCAATTTTCCGGGAACGAAACCCTTCCGTAACGCGGGGGATGCATACATATATATATATTTTATTATCCCGCTTTGCACGTTTTTTTTTTACGAGTTTCCACGTTTACGTGGTACTCTGCCAGACCCGGAATGCTCACTTTACGCGGTGCATGTACTCTTTTATGCGGAGAGCGGCGCGGGGAGGGTGCGCACAAGGTCGCCCAGTCATCAAAACATTACCGAGTTCTTCACCCGCCACCCACCACAGCCGGCCCAAGTCAGTGATAGTGAGGATATGGACTTATATGGACTTTGAGGGGTTTGACAAAGAGGCCCTGCGAGCCTCTGTGGTGGATAGTGATACAATTGATACAAGTGATACAGGTGAGGGTCAGTAATCTGCCCTCTCCCTCGGAACCAACCCCCCCATCCCCGTGTCCCAGCCATCTTTTCTACTGATGTAAGTGTTAAAAAACCTAATATTATTGATATTTCTCTTAATTATTAATTGTGTGTGCATACCATCATAAAATTAAGAAGTTATTTTTACTACAACGTAGGTATTGTGTCTGAAAAAGTGGAGTTTGGGGGTCGGCCCGGTCTCTATTTCAATTAATCCCATATGTTATGTTGTTCACTTTATGCATATATATATATATATATATATATATATATATATATATATATATATATATATATATATATATATATATATATATATATATATATATATATATATATATATATATATATATATATATATATATATATATATATATATATATATATATATATATATATATATATATATATATATATATATACAGTATTACCCCGCTTAACGCGCTTTCACTTAACGCGTTTTCGCATATACGCGGTGCCTTGCCAAAGCTGAACTTTCACTTAACGCGGATTTTTCCACAGCAACGCGGTGAGTGTCCGGCTCGGATGCTATTTTTAGATTTTGACCACGCGCCACCCGCCCGCCCGCCCTCCCGCCTGCCTGCCTGCCTCTCCCTCCTCCTCCCTCCGCTTGGGCAAGCGGCGCGGTAAGGTTGCGCAGTGTGTGTCTTTGTTGCGTTATCACTGACGTCATATGACGTCTCGGACTGTGATTGGCCATGCAGCCCTACCCCCCTCTGCTGCTAGCTGTAATTGGCTTAAAGTATTATGACGTGACTACCCCGGGGAGGGAGGGAGGGAGGAGAGACGACGTTTGACCTAGCCACGGCAGTTTCATCCCTCAAGGCCACGCCGGGTTAACGCGCATCCATTGTTCCGTAAAATGGCTTCCGCCGGACCACCACCCCCAGAGAGAAACCTTTCCTTACCTGGACCCAGCGGCACTAAACCAAAGAAGACACGACGTTCATTAAGCTACGAGCTGAAGTACCAAATTGTTCAAGATTTGGAGAAAGGAAGACGCCAAGTTGATCTCGCGCGCCAGCATGGCGTCAACGAATCTACGATTCGTACGATCAAGAAGGATGCTGCCAAGATAAAGGAGCAAATGAAGCTCACAAAGTCTGCAGGTGCTTCAGCTATCAGGTATTGCCAGAACAGGGTGCTGGCAAAAGTGGAAACTTTGCTGGTGAGTTATTTGGTGCGTCAGGCGCGACGCAACATGGCGGTGGACACGCGCTCAGTGCAGGAGTACGCACGTGAGCTATACGCAGCAGTGACACGTAAAATGGGAATTGCAGAGCCCAAACCCTTCAATGCTTCCCATGGTTGGCTGCATAGGTTTAAGAGGAGGAACAAGGTCACCAATATCAGCATTGTTGGTGAGGAAGCGAGTGCTGACCGTGCGGCGGCTAGAGATTTTCCTCCGTTTTTACGTGAGATTATGGAGGAAGGACAGTACACTGACGACCAGGTGTTTAACATGGACGAATCTGGTCTTTTCTGGAAAAAGTTACCTTCCAAGACCTTCGTTGTCCAGTCTGCGAGCAAGGTAAGGGGCCGGAAGATGCAGAAGGAACGCATCACCGTCCTGTTTACCACCAATGCCTCCGGTACCTGTAAACCAAAGTTATCGGTGATTCACAAAGCCCGCAAGCCGCACGCCTACAAGAATATGGACATGAACAAGCTTAATGTCCACTGGCTAACCGCACGTAAGGCGTGGATGTCCTCTTCTCTGTCCCTCTTCTGGTTTGACAACTTTTTTGTTCCTGACGTGCAGAAATTCTGCGAGCAACAGAATGTTCCATTCAACATTTTGTTGCTCCTTGACAACGCACCTGGACACTCGCCCCTACTAATGGATCGTCACCCCAACGTAAAAGTGGTCTTCCTTCCTCCCAACACCACGTCATTAATCCAGCCTATGGACCAGGAGTTAATCTGCAACGTTAAAGCTGCATACTCGGCAAAGAAATTCAAGCTCCTGAACGACTCTACCAACACCAAGGATGAGTTGCGTAAGCTGGGTGACACCGACAGCGAGAGTAAAAGCGACGAGGACAAGGAACAAGAGGCGGCGACTCAAGAAGTTCTCGTCAAACAATTTTGGAAGAAGTTTAACGTCAAACAAGCTGTAGACTTCTTGGTGGAGGCATGGGATCTGCTGTCTACTGCTACGATTCGTCACGCATGGAGACATGTGTTGCATGGCATACCAGGTGAGAGGAGGAGTCAATCTGTTACTGGTCAGGTTCAGACTGTTGCAGTAGCAGTGGACCTTGCCAGAGAAGCTGCGCAGACTGTTACAGCTGAAGGCTTCTCCGAGACCACCAACGAAGACATCATGGAGGTGATCAGAGATCCTGAAGTGACTGCCGACGAGATGTTGGAAGAAGAACCCGCCAGTGAAGAGGAGGAAGAAGGTGCGTCATTCTCCGAAGAACCTAGTTTAAGTCATAGTGATATTAAGTGTGTCATAGAGTTAACAGAAAAAATTAAGTCCATCGTTTCCCGCGACACTGACGATGAACGCCATGACGTCTTCCATAACCGACTGGTGCAGGCTATGGAGCCGTACATCAAGGTGTATCACGACAACATCAAAGCCAGCCGTCAGAAAAGCATAACCGAGTTCTTCGCCCGCAACCCACCACAGCCAGCCCAAGGCAGTGATAGTGATAGTGAAGGTGATTTTGAGGGATTTGTCAGGGAAGCCATGACAACTGTAAGTGACAGTGATATTGATTCACCTAGTAATGGTGATTCACCTAGTAATGGTGATTCACCTGAGGGGCAGTAATCTGCCCTCTGCCTCGGAACCAGCCTCCATCCCCGTATGCCGACCCATCTCTTCTACTACCGTGAGTGTTCCTTAAACCTTTTCGTTTTTTAACCTATTCTTTATTTTTCCTATGTTAACCTTTATCTTTCCTAACCTAACCTCTTCTATATTACTTGTTTTTCATGCCACCATAAAGTTAAGATAGAATTTTTACTACAACATAGTTATTTGTCGTCAAAAAGTGGAGTTTGGGGGTCGGGCTGGGTTCTATTGGAATTAATCCCATATGTTCTGTTATTCACTTAACGCGGTTTTCACTTAACGCGGGACCCTCTGGGTTCAATTGACCGCGTTAAGTGGGGTACAACTGTGTATATATATATATATATATATATATATATATATCTTGATAAAATCACACGGGAAAATGGAAACAACGGAGTACCTTAGCTTTCGTCTTTATTCAAGACATCTTCAGAGGCAACTAGATTACATGGACAGAGAGAGGCTTAAATATACAGGGTGACCTAAAAACATGAGGTCAGGTCATAATGATGACATCCACTAATCCCCACACCAACACAACCGTAGAGGAGCTTAAGAGGAGGGTGGTGACGTGACTAAACAGGTCAGGTCAGAAAAAAGGGACCCACAAAATAACTGTCATACATCAAGATCAAAGGTTTTCAAAGCAGTTTTAACCTTGGGCCACTGACAAATAAATTTATGTAACATATTATCAGTTTTGAACTGACCATCACTAAGGTTTATTGATTTTAATTCCTTAATCAAACTAGCTTCAACCAGAAGTCTTTCTGTGACACAAGATGATTTGAATACTTCTAAGCTAACCTCATGTTTTTAGGTCACCCTGTATATTTAAGCCTCTCTCTGTCCATGTAATCTAGTTGCCTCTGAAGATGTCTTGAATAAAGACGAAAGCTAAGGTACTCCGTTGTTTCCATTTTCCCGTGTGATTTTATCAAGATTTATCTTATCCACGTTTTCATTGTGGATTTACATGATATATATATATATATATATATATATATATATATATATATATATATATATATATATATATATATATATATATATATATATATATATATATATATATATATATATATATATATATATATATATATATATATATATATATATATATATATATATATATATATATATATATATATATATATATATATATATATATATATATATATATATATATATATATATATATATATATATATATATATATATATATATATATATATATATATATATATATATATATATATACTGTCAATGACATATGCTTATTATCTTGATCAGGGTGAAGTGAAGTTTGGTGTGTGTATGGAGGATGAGAGTACTGATGATCTGCCAAATGCTGTGCTTTTCTACCGTTCAGTCCGCCAGTGTGTATACGCCATCCTCTATAACCTACACCATCACAGTTTCATGTCTCGTAAGGCAAAGGAGGAAGGCCACAGTAAGTGTTAATGTATTTTATGTTAATATATATTTCAAAAAGATGTTCTACTGAATATACACCAGAATTCACATTAAATACATTAGAGGCTGTAAGTAGAGTATTCTCTTGGTTATCTTGGTCCCTTACAGTCAAATTTTCCATATGTCTTCCACCACTTTCCCATATTATTTTCCCTTGAGATTTCTTTTCACACACTCCAACAGACTGATACACCCACACACTCAAACAGTGTGTGCCCTGCAGTGGTTCCCAAACCCATGGTTACGGCCCATGAGAGGGTAGTGTGGTTGTTCCCGGGGGTAGTGTGGTTGTTCCCGAGGGTAGTGTGGTTGTTCCTGAGGGTAGTGTGGTTGTTCCCGAGGGTAGTGTGGTTGTTCCTGGGGGTAGTGTGGTTGTTCCCGAGGGTAGTGTGGTTGTTCCCGAGGGTAGTGTGGTTGTTCCCGGGGGTAGTGTGGTTGTTCCCGAGGGTAGTGTGGTTGTTCCCGGGGGTAGTGTGGTTGTTCCCGAGGGTAGTGTGGTTGTTCCTGGGGGTAGTGTGGTTGTTCCTGAGGGTAGTGGCTGTTCCCCGGGCAGTGTGGTTGTTCCCTCGAGGCAGTGTGGTTGTTCCCCGGGGTAGTGTGGTTGTTCCCCAGGGTAGTGTGGTTGTTCTTGCGGCAGTGTGGTTGTTCCCTGAGGGTAGTGTGGTTGTTCCTCGAGGTGTGGTTGTTCCCCGCAGTGTGGTTGTTCAGTGGTTGTTCCTTTGAGGGGTAGTGTGGTTGTTCTAGGTAGTGTGGTTGTTCCCAGGTAGTGTGGGTTGTCTCGGAGGGTGTGGTTGTTCCCTTTTGTGGGCAGTGGTTGTTCCCAGGGTAGTGTGGTTGTTCTTATGGGTAGTGTGTTGTTCCCGAGGGTGGTATGTTCCCCGTGTGGGGTGGGTGTGGTTGTTCCCGTGTGGTTGTTCCCCGGGTAGCGTGGTTGTTCCCGGGGTAGTGTGGTTGTTCCCGAGGGTATGTGGTTGTTCCCGAGGCAGTGTGGTTGTTCCCGGCAGTGTGGTTGTTCCCGAGGGTAGTGTGGCGGTTGTTCCCCGAGGGTAGTGGTTGTTCCCGAGGGTGGAAGTGTGGTTGTTCCCCGGGGTGTGTGGTTGTTCCCCGTGCAGCGTGGTTGTTCCCGGTGGGTAAAGTGCGGTTGTTCCCTGCAGGGCAGTGGTTGTTCCCCAGGGTAGTGTGGTTGTTCTTGAGGGTAGTGCGGTTGTTCCCCGGTGCAGTGTGTGGTTGTTCCCTGCAGTGTGGTTGTTCCTGCAGTGTTGTTCCCGGGGGTAGTGTGGTTGTTCCCGAGGGTAGTGTGGTTGTTCCCGATGGTAGTGTGGTTGTTCCCGAGGGTAGTGTGTTTGGTGTTTTGGTTTTGACCGCGTGAGTGCGTGTTTTTGTTTTTGTTTTTTGAAGTGTTACATGGTATTTTCCTCTTCTTGCTATGTTAGTTTGCTATTATAGTAAAATAGATGGTTACATATACTTTTCATTTGTCTGATTAAAGAAAAGTTACTGAAATTAGTTTTTATAATTATTTAAATTTATCTCTATATAATCAAAACTCAAAAGAGCTCACTCTAAGAATAAAGCAGCATCATGTTAGCCACTGAAAAGTTCTTGTTTTGTCACTAAGGCTATCGAATTGTGTAGTGAAGTCTCATTTTCATGAAAACTTGTTTTTCATTGTGTGTTTAATTTAAATTGATTCAATAAAACTATATGAATAAACATAACAGATCAAAATGATTGGTAATTAACACTACGTATATCTACATTTTGGGTTGCCAGGCAGGACAAGATTGTATTTAGGGTTGCGACCAAAAAAGTTGGGAACCACTGGTGTACTGTCTCTGTATAGGCTTTCAGTCCTCTGTTAAAAGGTGACAAGGAAGTTGGAGAAATGGTGTGGGTGTGGCCTGTCTTGGGGAGGGCTGTTGACTAGGGGCCCTCTGCTGGCTCTGAGTGGCATGGCCCTTAGCATTTCTGCCTCACATGAGATAGCTCGTGATATGTCTTTGAGCAAGGTATGGGAATTACTTTACATTATATGCAAGTTCTGTCTTATCAAAGAACTTATATTTATTTTTATTTTTATTTTATTTTTTTTGAGTGGATCAGTAGATACAGAGTCCTCAAAGAAAGGAAGGAAATAATTGGGAAAAAGAGCAAGTCAAGGAAAGCAACTACTAACAGAATCTCCCATACAAACTTGTCCTTATTGTCTACTTGTATACAAAGTGAATCCTAAACAGGGAAGCCTCTATATAACCAACTTCACTCTCCATATCTAACTGCTGCTTGATATTACGGACTTTCATCTCTCTAAATCATTAGATGGAAGTTTTACATCTCATGGACCCTCGATATAATGGACTTTCATCTGTGTATAGTTCATTAGATGGAGGTTTCATATTTAATGGATCATTGATATAATACACTTTCATTTCTATATGCACCCTGATGCCGAAAATTTGTGTTTCAGACATCCGTTTTTCTGCAAATCAGTATATTTTTCTGACTTACTTAATTACCCTGTTTATTGCTCATCTGTACTCGTTTCAGAAAATATAAAATTAAATTACTTTGTAACTGCCTAAAATATTACAATAATTGTTCTGAAATTTAAGAAAATTATTGCAATCATTCTGACCGTAATAAATTCAATATTCGGTAGTAGTATTAAATTAAGTTTAGCTTATAACCCATACCCCTCTTATGATGTCACAGCTCCCCCCTTGTTTCTGTTTACTTTTTCTTTAAATATAATTCAAATCTAAGTATGTAAATAAACACGTAACTTATAATACTCAGGACATTATCGTCTACCCCAGTAAAAATATTTTCTCTAATACAGAGCAAAATAGTAAAATTTACAATATTCTAATGTGGTTTACAAATAAAGAAAATGTGATATAAAACCACAAAATATGAAAAATGAAGAGCATAGGTGTGTGTGTGTGTGTGTGTGGATGTGATAAGCTGTACTTTGCCGTCGACTCACTCATATCCCTCCCCCAGATGTGATGCCATGACACACACACACACACACACACACTTATGTTACTTGTATATTATTTGTAATTCGAATCCCATTCCCCAAATATGTAACTGTATATTTTCAGCCTTCTGGCTGCCAAGCTCTTTCAATAAACCGTTAATTATTTATTATTATTATTATTATTACACACACACACACACACACACGTATGTCTCAGAATCAACTGGTTGCCTGCCTGGCTGACCTGTGTGGTGTCGTTTAGATGATGGTTTGTGTGTGAAAGGAGCTATTTTTTGTACATAGAATGTGTGGTGTTGTACCTTTTTTTTTTTTTTTACGGGAATTAGCCCACCCGGGCACAGGTCAAACGACCCACAACGGAGCCTGGGGGGCGAAAAAATAATAACAGAAAGAAATTGAATATAGAGAAGAAAAAGGTTATACTGTGTTAATCTACACCATGAAGATGCCGGAAAATCATCTTTTTAAAGTGAGACAGATTGTATACCATATGTATGGAAACACGGAAGGCAGCAGAGCGTTTCACAGTTTGGCTGTGTGAGGAAAGAAGGAGGCACTATAACGGGTTAATCTCTTGTGACCGACATCCACAGAGAAATGGTGGGCACCTCGGGCAAGGTGTGTGTTATGAGCCCACGGCCTTGCCGGCGGTACACAGGATGCCAAATCCACCGAACATTGCCTGTTAAAGTATCTGTAAAAGGAGAGAGTGAAGCAACATTGTGGCGAAGAAAAAGGGAAGAGAGATTTACGACTTAAGGATGAGAGTTAATAAGGCAAAATGCCTTTGATTCCACCCTATCTAATAGTTGGACAGCAGAAGAGCCACCCCAGATACAAGAGCAGTACTCCAAGTTAGGACAAATGAATCCCTTATATACTTCGAGCAACTGCTCAGTGGTGAAGTAGCTACAGCATCTGTACAGCATTCCCAACTTTCGGGAGGTAGCTTTAGCTATATTAAGGATGTGTGATTTCCAGGACATATTGGAGGAAATGGTGAGGCCTAACATATTTATTTTAGAATTTGCCAGGATGATAGCGTCCTGAAATGTAATTGGTGGGAGATCGTCTAATTTAGAAAGTGTAATTGGTAAATATTGAGTTTTATTACTATTAAATTTAACCAAGTTTGTACCTCCCCATTCAGAGATGCTGCAAAGGTCCGCATTGATAGAAGGAATGATATCAGCTGTAGAAACAGATCTAGTTTGAGAGTTAGGAGGAAGGGGAAAATGTGAAGAAGAGTGAAGAGTAGAATCATCAGCATAAGAATGGATAGAATTAGTTGTAGTGTGAAGTAAATCATTGATAAAAAGAAGGAAGAGAGTAGGTGAAAGAACAGAACCCTGTGGGACACCACTATTGGTAGAAAAAGAGCGAGAGATCAATCCCTCGACAACAACTGCCATGGGTCGGTTCTCAAGGAAGCTAGAGATTAGAAAACAAAGTGGGGGAGAGAAACCAAAAGAGGGAAGTTTAGATAGCAAAGACTTGTGCTATACCCTGTCAAATGCTTTGGAGATGTCGAGGGCCACGATGAAAGTTTCCCCAGAATCCCTAATAGAGGATGACCAAAGATGGGTGCAGTAGGAGAGCAGATCACAAGTAGATCTCGCCTGGCGAAAGCCATGCTGGTGATCCGACAAAAGAGAAAGGCGTTCAGGCGACGGAGAAATTGGGAGTTCAAGATAGTTTCGAAAATTTTGAGAGGGATGAAGTTAGGGCAATGGGGCGATAGTTAGAGGGATTAGAATGGTCACCCTTCTTTGGGATGGGCTGAACCAAGGCATGCTTCCAAGAAGAAGGAAAATTTTGGGTTTTGAGGCAGAAGCGAGCAAGCACGGGCCAGAGCTTCAGAACACTAGGTGGTATTCCGTCCAGTCCATGCGCCTTACTCACATCCAACCTGGATAACACACCAGTAACCCTGGGAGTGGAGATTATAGGAAAGTGCATAGGTTCAGTAGGAGGAGCAGGGGTAGGGGGATAGAGTGGGAATCGTGTAAGGTGGAGTTAGAGGAGAATAAGGTGCCAAAGAGATTAACTTTGTCAGGGGGAAAGTTGGTTATAGAATTATCAGGTCGGAAGAGAGGAGGAAAAGAAGGTTGTGCAGAAGTTGTTAAAGATGTGTTTGGTTAAGGACCAGAAGGATTTACCAGAGGAAGAATTAGTCAGGACAGCAGTCTTTCTTTTCATAAAATTCTGCTTGGCCCTACGAAGAATAGCCTTACAACGATTCCTAGAAGTAATGAAAGAGCAGTGGGTAATAGGAGAAGGAGATAGTTTCATAGCTTGATATGCCCTATCTCTCACCCTGCAAGCAAGAGAGCAGGAGCAATCATACCATGATTGTACAGTAAAACCTCGATTAACCGCCCACATATGGGGGGAAGGAACCGACGGATAATCCGAAAGGTTGGTTAATAGTAAATAAAGTCTACGGAAGTAAAACATACATTTTCAATGTACCTATCCCTAACCTACCTCATTTAAGTCCCTCTATTAATTTTTGTTCATTTGCCATTCATATTTCAATTGAATTTGCTTTAAAGCATTAACCTTTTTAGTAAATAAATATGAACCAGTACAAAAATCGTGAATAAAAAATGGAAAAGTCAAAGAACATATGGCATCACGAAAATTGTGACGAAGTCCCAGGTTGCTGATCTGACTTTCTGCCTCATCTACACACAATTGCAGGGTCTCAATTATTTCTCTTACTATTGACAACACAACATTCATATAGGTATATTGTTTCTCACTCATGATTTTTTTTTTTTTTTGCATTTCTTTATGGTTCTTTATTATTATTAGTATCATTATCATTACATTATCACCCCCCAGGCCCAGATGTGGGTCAGTGACCTGTGCCCGGGTGGGCTAATACCCGTAAAAAAAAAAAAAATTAGGGGTCCGGGATTGGCGGTTAATCCGAAAGTTGGTTAATCGAGGGTCGGTTAATCGAGGTTTTACTGTAATGTGAAAGTTTTGGTAGAAGATGGGTTAAATGCACTCATACCACCCTGTATAACCCCAGCAATGCTGTCAGCACATATCGAGGCGTCCCGAGTGGAAAAGCAACATTCATCCCAAGGAAAGTCGGTGAAGAATTCTTGCAAGGATTGCCAGCTTCCCCTCCGATAGTGCCATAGTTGACGTTTAGAGAGGGGTGGGGGAGGTGGTCGTGCCCAGTTTGATTTAATAGAAATAAGGTTGTGATTAGAAGACCCTAAGGGGGCAGAAATTGAGTATGAATAGTGTGAGGGGTTAAGGTAAAACAAAGATCATGAATGTTAGCAAGTTGATCATGTCGATCAGGAACGCGTGTATGGTGTTTGATTAAGTAGGGAAAAAGAGAGTGCCTCAGCTCCACCTGAGTCATCCCTTGCAGAGCCAAACCACTCTCTGTGATGTACATTGAAGTCCCCTAGGTAGAGGATCTCGGTGTTGGGGTGTGTGGATAGCAACAACTCATGGCAGGAAGTGAGATACTCAGAGTTCGAAATAGTTGGTAGAGTTGGGAGAACAGATAAGGAAACAAAGGAAAATAGTCACAGTAGGTAGAGATATTTTGAGCCAGATGGCATCATAAAGGGGAGATTCAGGATCCGTGAGTCGAGCTATAGGTGTACGTGTGTTGCAGTAGGTGCATACTGTACACCTCCCTTAGGACGGAAGGAGGTGTAAAGGTTGGAGACTTGAAAAGGTTTGGGTGAAGCTGCTTTGTTTGTCATAGTAATTTGGTTAACAAATTGGTTATAGTGCTACTGCTGGCAGACAGGCAAATGAATGAATTTAGTTGCATTCAGATTGTTGGACTAAATTAGAAATTTTACTGAACATGACCAAAGGGGACAAAGTTCAAATACCTGGAAGATTCAGATAGTTGGAATTTTGATAAAAAGAAATGCACTGTAGATTAAATAAAGTCTACAACATTGGATTTACCATAAAAATGAAGACATTCTGCATACAGTGGCCTGACATGAATGGGTGAGGTTGTTGGGTGCCACTGGGTCAGTACTGCGCGAACCAAATTTTACCAGGGAGTGTTGAATATTAATTCTGGTGACCTGGATACTGTTTGGTGCTATGTATAGCATCTTATACTCAAAATATTGAGGTGCTACAGTACCCTCCTTTCCCACGTTCATGTACTGTACTGGGTGGAGTGAGAAGGGAAAGACACACACGAGAGAACGGACTAACCACGCAGTGTGTGTGCAGGAGATGCACATCTGGCAATGGTCGGTCAAACAATTTCTAACTGCCCCGTGGATAGCTGAATTTCGATCGCGAATCTTGAATAAAAGGTCACTAATAATAATTCGTGAATAAGTGAATTCGCAAATACATATTTTGAGTTCGCAAATATGTGTAATTGATAGTATGAAACAATAAAATAAAGATTTATGTTGCACAATTAGATTGACTTTTTTAGTTTAGTTTCCTATGTTTTTAATGCTTATAAAGAAATAAAGATTTATGTTGCACATTTAGATTTAGCTTTTTAGTAAATTTTCATATATTTTTAATTTTTAATCTGCTAATCTGTGACCTTCATAAATTAGGCCATGGTGGGATTAGCATGAATATGCGAGGTGAGGGTGTAGTTCGTTATATGGAGATTTCACATCTAATGGATCCTCAAAATAACTGAGTTTCCTCTCCATATAGTCCATTGAATAGAGGTTTGACTGTACTTTGATTCACAGTGCTTTATAACCTTTCATTTAAACTAATTATTTGTTTCAATCTGACAGAGGGTTTGGCCACAGAGGTACCTGAAGTAAAGATCCGTGAATGGGTTTACACCAAAAATAATCCGTATCGTACAGCGGATATAGTAGATGCCACTCCCATTGATTGGGCTGTGCCTACCGTCCAGAGGTTGTGGTTCGGGTAAGATCATTCACACTGATGATGTTTTTTTGTTTTTCTTTCCTTAAAATATTAAATATTTAAATATTTATGGCCTGGTACCCTTTGTTTAGGCATCTCTAATTATGGATGACAAATCTGTAAGTTTGGACCAAGAAGCCCCCCAAAACATTAGTGGTTGGGACTAATGCATGAATTAGGTACATCATCCAGTCATAATTAAGTCTATGATTGGGGGTCTTTGAAAGCAACACACAGACACCATTTAAGGAATTAGTAGTAGGTGACACACTAGCCATGTACACGACAGTGAATCCTCGAAGATTCGGACCCAGTAAATCCGGATTTCAGAAGATTCGGACAAAATATGGGGGTTCCGGGAGCTAAGAAGTCTTCCAGAGTTGTCATTTGTTGTTTGTGGGAATATTAATTCATTCACTCTAGTAATGATACACTGTTTCTAATTATGTTAGCGTAGGAAAATGCATGGTTTATATAATTTGTTTATCACTGTGCCAGTCACCGTTTTCAAATTAGACGAAATATATATTTCTCCCATATGTATGCCTGGCAACAGGAGCAGTCAGGGGAGTGAGTAACCGCTAGTCTGCTGTTGTAACTCTCCTCGCTCCCTGTCACTGGATTTACTTTTATTATTAGTAGCTGGGTTAGACTTATCACTAACCACCAGGTCTACTGGGCCGAGCTGTGAAGTGTTATACATATGGTTGCTTTTCAACTCATATTTTCAAATAGATATACCTCACTTTTTTGTTTTAATTTTACTCAGTTACATGCACACACCATCCTACATACATATTGTGAAAAAAAAAACTAATGGACGAGTTGACGGTTTTGGGTAAACACAAGAAATACACTGCCATGTTCGTAGAGTGATACGGTATATATAATTTTTAATAAAAGTTTTAAGTCCTGCTATAATAGTCGAGATAGTTTATTTCTCTAGAAACAGAGCCGCCATTTGCAATGACGTCACTAGTTCAAACTCATAGCTGCAGTCGGAGGTACAGGTAGTAGAGAGGATGGCCTCTTCAGAGTTCAGACCCCAAATGCCACATTCCAGTAAGTTTTAGCGGTGTTTTTTTATGGTCTAAGTCATGGACATTTCGTAAGTGAAGAAGTGTGCCGTGAAGAGCAGCTTCAAACATAGGTTGGATGGATATATGAGCGATAGGGGTTGGGTGTAAATGGAACTGCCCAGTATGGGTCAATAGGCCCGCTGCAGCTTCCTTCATTTTTATGTTCTTTTGGACATAAAAAACTCCCATGTTCACACCAGCTCAGCTGTCATGTACTCTTACGTGGTAGACTTTCTCTTTTTTTTTCAGTGCATTCACAGAGTATATCAGTACTAGATGGAGGTACGAGTAAATTTAGAAGTAATGACATTGTCTGGACTTTGTTTGAGGATGCCTGGTGCTAGGTAAACATGACAACATAGTGCTGTTATTGTTTTGATGATTCACTAATGAACCACTGGGATATATCATTTATATTAATTAATGGGTAAAATTTCACTTTAACTACCATGAGCATTTGGATGTTTAGATTCAAGACAGGCTATACTACAGGTACTGGGTAAATTTTAAGTTTTGGTCATCACTTTACTTAGACATGCAGAATATGTTTTTTTTTCTGATGGTTTGCGATGTGTTATGGACGATTTAGACCTTCATTTCTATCGGAAATCATTAGTTTTGAGCTATTACCCCCCTTACCTTATAACTCATCATACCCTAACCTAACATACGATCTGTATTTTCTTATGCGATCGAAAAGTTTTGCGAAAGACATCCTGTAGAGATATTGTGTCTTATTGTTTATAGTACTTAATCCCATAGTTAGAATCTTAAGGTTCCTCAGATGATCAAAACCAAAATAATACCAATATTATTTGGAATGTTTATACTATGAAACTTGTTGTATGGGCAGCTAATATCCATTGAATTAGTTTATGTGCTTTGCAGGGGTGTTATGATTTAAATCAAATGATTTAAATCACATGATTTAAATCGATTTAAATCAGAGTAAAAAAATCATGATTTAAATCAAAATGATTTTTTTACTTATAACTGTTTTTTCTTTTTATTCTACATGATTGAAAAGTATATGCATTGCAGCAGGCTAATAACATTTTATTTGGATTTACATAATTATGTACTGTACTATAGTCTGTTCTCTCCAGTTTTGCGAAACTTTGATCATATCATAAGGTCTCATTATTAATGTATATATTTACACGAAATATATTGTTACCAAAGATAATAAATACTACTGAAATTCAGAAATCATCACATCCCAGGATCTTTGTATAGAAGAGCAGGAGGAACAATGCTAGTAATGCCATCAGACACACGATGGAACACAGTGACAGATTCTATTGAATCTTATTTAAAGAACTGGGAGACCCTTGTTAAAGTGTGCAAAGAAAATAGTGAAGACATTGATAAGAAAATTGAAAGAAAAGTTAATTTCAGATTCAGATTTGCCCCCGAGGGGGCTAGTTTATTGGGCACCCCCTTACATCCTGTGCAAGGTGAAGCGCAGAAGTGTTTACAGCGCCCAACAGGGAAGTATGAAAAGTTCATACTTGCCTTTATGACTCGTACATTAAGGGCATAAAAGCCTGAAGGGTCATAGGTTTTGTCAAGTTACATAAAGTGAGAGAATGATGAGTGTGTGGGGGGAAAGTTCCTGGTACATTTCATCTGTTTATGGCAAAGAGTGGCAGGTCCCTAATAATGTCAAATGCCAGGCCTGTGACTAGGAGGAGGGATATCTGGTCTGGGAGGGAAGAGGTGTTGGTAACGGCTGGGGACCTATAGGAGGAGGTCATAGGGCAAGTGAGGATGTAGTGAGAGAGGGTGTGAGAGTCGGGTTGGCCACAAAGTTTACAAACAGTGCGGCCAGGCTCAGGGTTGCCAATGTACTCCCATAGGTACCTGTACCCTAGGCGCAGTCTCATGTATATAAGCTGTTGAGATCGAGTCAGGGATTGATATTCTTTGTAGTGGTGGTTGTCGTCACCGGTTACAGCGTCATAGTGTGATGCTACCTCGTTGTTTCAGGTGTGTCCAATTTTCGTTGAATGCCTCTCGTTGTGTGGCGTGTATGTGAGATTTGAGATGATTCAGGGAGAGGGCGAGAGTGGCTTCAATATCTTCTTCTTGTGTGGCTTCTTTGGCAAGCCGATCAACAGTGTCACAGGCAAAGGAAAGTTAATGATAAGGCATTAAAAAGAACTGCAGAAGACTATTTAGAGAGACTTAAGCCTATTGCTGTGGCATTGGACTGTGTCCAGAGAGAACATACCCTATTAAGTGATGCTGTAGAAATCTGGGTAAAACTCAAAACTGATATTAGGAGTATTTAGCAGATAAGAAGGATATGGATAATTTTGAAAAAAGAATCAAAGTAGCATTGACACCTGCCCATTTTCTAGCTAATGTGATAGATCCAAGGTATCAGGGCAGACATCTGACTCCTGAGCAGCGAGACATTGCAGAACAGTATGTGTGCGAGTCTCTCCACATTTCCTTTCAACATTAATGTCCTTCCATGGAAGAAGTGCACCATTTAAAGAGGTCTATTTTGGTAAAGAAGTTGTAAAATCTCTCTCACCCCTTGTTTGGTGGCAGTATTTTGCCAATGATATGACAGAAAATGTAATGGATGTTCCTAGGCAATTATTTACAGCTGTTGCATCATCAGCAGGGGTTGAGAAAATTTTTTCCACAAATGGATTTGTACACTCAAAGGTAAGAAATCGCCAAGGACAGGAAAAGGCATCTAAGCTTGTCACAGTACATAAGCATTTCAATGTTCAACTAAGCTAATTTAAATGTTTTGAACTATTTTTGTTGTTTTCAGAATGAGAATATTGTGTTGACTTGAAGTTATTACCGGTAATTCTTAATACAGTACACTATAATCCTACAAATGTAAGAAAATAAACTTGTTACTAGTATTACCGGTATTCTGTTGACTTGAAGAAGTTAAGTTATTAATTTTTGAAACACTGTAATCCTATAAGAGCATTTATGTTAAATTTCATTATTACATTTGGATTTGTGCACTCAAATGTAAGATATGTTACCAGTTTTCTTTTATTTTACAAAAAGAATATTATTGTGTTAAATTCCATTGGTACATCTACTGCATAAATATCTTAATGCCAATTTTCTGTTTATTATCCTGACTAAGCTTTGGTTGAAAAATACTGTTTTTATGGTTTAAAAATACTATTTTAATGCAATTAGTAAAAAAATAAAAAAATCGATTTAAATAAAAAAATCCGATTTAAATCAAATAAATCGATTTTTTTATTTTTATTTTTTTAAAATCATGATTTTTTCCAATCCTGGCACTGCTTTGTAATATTTATACAGTGATCCCTCGGTTAACGAACGCCTCGGTTAACGAAATTTCGGTTAACGAATTACCTTCCATAAGAATATTCAATTCGGTTGATGAAAAAAATTAGGTTAATGAATTCCTTACGAATTTTTCCCAACATGTTTTTGCATGCTTTCGGCTGCTCACCAGCTATAGTATTAGTCCGCCAATACAGTAATCGGTTTTAGGGCTTAAATTCGTTACCATTTGAGTAAATATCAAGAAGGTTGTACTATTCAATAATTTTCCTAGTCTTATATTAAAATTTTTAGTCATTTTAACAATTATTTAACATAATTGAAGTACAGGGAACTAGTTTTTAGCGCGCCAAACAGCCACTTGACTCACCCAGAATGGCGTCAGTTTGTGTCTTTGGTCAGTGGAGGAAACATCTTGCTTGAGACTCTCTTGAACATAAACTATTTTTACGTTTTTACAGTACAATTATTGGTCATTCTGAAGTTTATTTTACATATTGACAATATATAATGCAGTGCGGTGTTGATTTAAAGAAAATAATCTTGAACTACACCAAGTGAACTAAAATTTTATGGGTGAAATGGCGACATGAAGCATGGGGTAACTTCTCTCCCACCCCAATGCTTTCTCTTCTCCCTTCTCCTCCACCCCCATTCTAATTCCCATCATCATCATCATCATCAACCAGGAGCCTTCTACATGCACACCTCGAAGTAAGTGTACTTTACTGCATTTATTTTTACTTTGTATGTAATTTTCGGTGAGCTGGAACCAATTACCCAAAGTCCCATTGAAACAATGGTTTCGGTTAACGAACGACCTTCTGGAACGAATTGTGTTCATTAACTGAGGGACCACTGTATATTCAAAATAGTACAGTCTCTCCTCGACTTAAAATGGAGTTCCGTCCCAACGACCAGGTCGTAAGTCGAATTTGTCGTAAGTCGAAAATGCGACAATAATACATAGAAATTCTAAAATGAAATACGGTACAGTAAAAGTAATCAAAAATGAAAAATTAATAAAGTGTTACTGTGCACTTACCTTTAATGTAGTCAGCACACGGGGCCCTCAATAATTTTTTAATTAAACATGGAGACTACATTAAGTGGATGAAGCAGAGGAGGAGAGGGCTGGGTGGGTCATCAATTTCGCTTTCTTCAGACAGGCTAACATACTTGCTTGTTGAAGGTATTGGCTCATCTTTAGGGAGAGAAGAGGCAGCAGTGGTGGAGTGTGAGGAGACAGCAGTGGGGGGACTTAAAATATATGTTCAATTTAAACTGCACAGTTTGCCTTTTCTTTTCATTGTAAATCTCCCTGTAGCAAGCAAGTGCATCTTGGATCAGTCTCAACTTTTGCAAAACGCTCAACATTTTGATCCATTTCTTCAAACATAAGCATCCCCTTATTAATAGTAGCAAATGCCTCTGCCTTGTCCTTCAAAATTGTTGATATCGTCAAGTGAGAGAAGTCAAGGTCGCATAAAATGGTTGTTACCGTTTTTCCATTTTCATATTGCATTTTTATTTTCATTTTCATCTCAAAAGTAATTGACTGTCTCCTTTTCTTATCAGCACCACGAGAACTCTCACTTTTACGCTTGCCAGCCACTTTAAAGGGAATTAGAAAATTTTTTCGGTACACAGCGCGATCACTAACAACAACGACAGCCAAACACCAACTGAATGAGCTAGGCGTGGATGCTGTACTCCACGAGGCGGCTCAGCCCACGCTGTCGTACGAGACAGAAACGTTTTGGTACTAGAAAATACGTAATTTGAAAAATATTTTATACGACTATGGCGGTCGTATGTCCGGGTTGTTGTAAGTCGAGGAGTACCTGTGTTGCACAGTAAGCACAATTAATTATCTAATAAAATTTATTTACAGAGCTGACCAGCCGAGAAGGTTGGACAACTACAGCTGGCTGCCTCCTGCTGGGAAGCTCGCCCCAACCATTAACGCCACAATCAATCACAGAGCGTTTCGCAGTCACGTGACTTTTTAGCAACTTTAACCCTTATTTTTTTCACTTTTTGGCCCAATTTATTTTAAAATATCATTACCTTAGTGTATTTAAGCATTTTCTTTACCCATTGACCTGCCATCTTTCAAACAAATTTTGACCGTCAACTCGTCCATTGTCCTAAGAGCAAACGCAACTTAGCTGGCTCAATGAGGGAGCGGGAGGATGGCACAGAGTGTAGGGGTGGGGAGCGTTGCTAGGGTATCAGCAGAGGTAGTGTCCCTGCTGGTCATAAATACTGTGGTGAAGCATGGAGTGTATGCAAATGGCAACTGTGTTAAACTTTCATTTAGCTTTTATTTGCTGGTTTGGCAATACAGGGGGCCCCCCAAATTTGCGGAGGTTTAGGTTCTCAAAATGGCTCCGAATCACCAAATTCGCGAATAACATTTACGGACCGGGGTGGGGGGTACATTTTTACTTATATACAAAGAAATGTATATTCCCTTTTATGTGTTTGCCCTTAGGACAATTATTTCTTTTATCTGCATTGTATATATATATGTGTGTGTGTGTGTGTGTGTGTAGACACACAGAGAAAACACATACAAATAAATAATAATGGGAAACTACTCTGTAATCAGAAACAAATTTATTAAAAATGTGACAGTCCACCCTCAAGTCCATGCTCTATTAATAAAGTAATAAAGCAAGGACTAGAGGGTAAACTCACATTTTTAATAATTTGTTTCTGATTATTTGTGAGAGGATTTTCTAATTATTATTTATTTGTATGCATTTTGTGTGTGTGTGTGTGTCTACACACACACACACACATATTCATCCTTGACCACCGTAGGGTCGAGACCTATTCAGGCGCTGCTCCTGCTGAGTAGCGACCCCCCTTGGCCAATGTTCGGCCCATTCCCCAAGTCCCTCTCCCCGACCCATCCTCACCACAGGGATATCAACATAATCAAAAGTGACAATTTCGTTTCGGAAAGAAGTGGGACCAGTGTTGAACAGTGATGAACAGTGTTTAAGCCAGTGAATTCAGCACTAGACAGTACCAGTGAGAGCCGTAACCCACCAGTGGGATAAACACCCCTGGGAACTGACCACCATTTTCTGACCAGGAGGTTCTAATCAGCCCACCATGGGAAGAAACAGAGCGCCAGCCAGCTATGCATTTAACTACGAGATAACAGTACCACCCAGCAGGGCGAGGTACTATGACACCACCCCACACCACCCAGTGTCTCCATGATCACGTGAGGTCCTTCATATCAACACCCGAGGATGAGTTACTACACCACGTGAACACTACACCACCCAGTGTCTCCATGACCACGTGAGGTCCTTCATATCAACACCCGAGGACGAGTTACTACACCAAGTGAACACCACACCACCTGGTGTCTCCATGACCAGCCCAGGCTATCAACTGTAAACTATAATAATTTGTATGTCAATCATTGTTCCTTCTTCTTTCAGTAATGAAAGCTTTTGTTAAACGAACACCCATCCCATATCTTTGCATGTAATAAGTCATTTTTGTCCAATGTATGTTTTCAACCTTCGGGCTGCCGACTTTTTCAATAAACCGTTAATTATTATTAATTATTATTATTACATTACAGGTAAAGGAAATTACTGTCTTTAGAACGAATGGCTCCCTGTCCCAGCCGCGAAAATGCCGGCAACTTTAAAACTACCCACAGACATTCTTGGGTACACCCAGGGTGTCATCCGTGAACAATAGAGGACCACAAAAAAAAAATCCACAAACTTGGGGGGGGGGCGGGGGGGGGTGGCTGTACAGTATTTTTTTCAAATTTTTATTGGTATTTTATTTATTCCTCACATTTACTGGTACTGTATGTATTATTTTGCGAAAACTATGGCTATAGGAGGAAAATACACACTAGTTTTCCCTAAATACTCATTGCTAAAATGGGGGATGTGTCTTACATGGCTTTGTGTCTTATATGCCGTAAAATATGGCACTGTATTTTTTGTGTTTTTTATATAATTATTTATCGTTTTTTATACATTTAGTACTTTTGCCGGAAGATACGGACAATCTGCTTTTTCGGACAGGTGGTCCACCCTTTTAGTCCAGATCTTCAAAGGTTCACTGTATGTCTATCAACTGCCGTGCAGAGATATCAAGATTGCAAATACAACCCAAAACTAGGTTGCACCTATTTGAGCCCGTTGACCATTTGTCTCCAGAATTTTACACATTCTAGATAAATTAATTTCCTTCAGTTTAAAAAAAAAAAAAATGGTGCTTCTACATTACTTACAACATGTTATAAATAAATGTACACATAACTGTATACTCCCAGCCACAAGGGGTGTGGCTGCCTCCCTGACCATGGCATTTAGGTGATGACTATTTTCATGACAACAATAAGACACACAATGTAGAATATGAAAGATGAAAATAAGCAAATTGATTTAAAGAGGTTAGAGAAGGAGTAGGAACTTGGTATGGTAGATGATGATAAATTGTTATTTAAGGAACACGTATGTACAGTACAGTGATGTGAACAAGATAGACTTGGGCTGGAAATCTCCTATGGTTGTCATGGAAACCAGCAGATACTATAAACCATGGTTAGTAAAACAGACTAGAAACATGTAAAACTTACTCTCAAAATCAAGGGTTGTAAATCTAAGGTTGGGAAGGGGTTATTGAATATATTTTCACTTCATAATGCTGTAGTTTTAAATGTGGAAGCACATTTTTGCTATATTGTAGTACTGTACAGAGTGACTAAAACCAAGAACAGTACAGACTTCCTGCCACTTACTGCAGGTCATTATTTAACAGTTTATTTTTGCTGGTAATAGGTCTGTTATAGATGACAAAAAGCGTCGACTACGAGCATTCCTGAGCTGCATGAGGTCCGACTCTCCACTCATGCTCTACACATCTAATGTTCCACAGCATCTGCTTATAATGGCAACAGTTCTTAGGTAAGTTTTTTTTTCCTGCTAGTCTGTCATACTAAGTATTATGGTAATTTTTTTCTTCGGTTCTGTCGAACTTCGCAGCGATGTTTGTCCTGAGTTAAGTGGTGTGTTTTATGTTTGAATTCAGCTATACTTACAAATTTTAATGTGCGGTATGGGATTTTTCTAAAATAGTCTCGACAGCTGAAACCACATAAATACAGTATCTCTTTACTCCCATCATGTATACATGTACTGTATTCTGAGGTTATGCTCTGAATGGTTGAAATGAAAGTACGACTGATGAAATTTAAAGACAATGATTTGTGTGCCATTGTTGGAGAAATCTGGTCTTAAAGGAGCTCACACTTGGTGTCAACACACCATTCTCTGGTAGTTTATTACAACAGTTCACAACTCTTACTGTTACAACATTCTCTGGCGGGTTATCACAACAATTTACAACTTTTACTCCAGTGAGATTAACTTGGACAATTTCCTGTACTTGTGGCTCCTTTAACTTGAGGCTGTGACCTATTATTTGTGTGTGTGTGAGAGAGAGAGAGAGAGAGAGAGCACTTGGATATACAGTAGAAGTCCAAAAATCCGGACTACTTGGGGATTGGGTCGGTCCGGATTTTCGGATTTTCCGGATTCTTAGGCAGTACTTTTAAGATTCAAATTTCAGGAGAAATAAAGAAGAGATGAACAGGTACATTTTGATAGTTTATTCATAAGCAAATATAGCATGCTTCATTTATCAAAACGAGCAGTTTTAAAGAAAAAGCTGTGAATTCAAAAATTTTATTCTTTGCCTTTTTCATATCATAAATTGTAGACTTTCCAATGTCGTATGTTTCCATTAGAACAGTATTGCTCACACCGTGTTCTAGTTTCTTAATTATTTCAAGTTTGTCACTCAATTTCAACGTGTTCTTCTTTCTTTTCACACAACGAAGTTTATCTACTTTAGGAGCCATTATTATGGGCTTGTACAGTACAATGTAAATGGAAAGAGTAGGACTCAAAATTACATACGTTGTCACAGTTTGATTCCTCGTTTTAAAGTGGCGACCGCATGGTCGCTTGTTGTCGCTGTGCAGCTATGGCACTCACGCATGCACACATACACACAAAAGGCAGCTAAATTAAAAAAAAAAGAAAAAAGTTGAGTGAGTTTTCGAAAAGTTCTGATTCTCGGGTGGTCCGGATTTCTGGCATCCTGATTTTTGGACTTTTACTGTAAAATGTGTTTTGCTTGTGGGTTTTCTTTAGACAGAGCCAGTGTGGGTCTTGCTATACTATGTCAGGATGGTAAGACGCATCCTGTTTCCTATCTTGGTGACATCATGCAGGGGTTATAGTAATAATATTTTTTTAGTAAAACCATCATACAGGTCCACAGTAGGTTTGGCATGTATATAGACAATGTAGGTATACAGTTCACTGTGTACTGTATGTAGATAATGCAGGTATACTGTACAGTTCACTGTGTATGTTGATAATGCAGGTATACAGTTGAGCATATTTATCGACAATGTAGGTGTATGGTGTACATACTGTAGACTGTGGAGGTATACAGCAATAGTCAACAATGTGTGTGGTTGGTGTTGGGGGTGTGTGGGTGGTCTTGGAGGGTATATGTGTGTGTTTGGATCGTGGGTGTTGCCACAAACCCTTGAACTTGTCGGCCTGCCTAAACAAGGTATTGGTGATAGCGAGGTTGTGTGCAGCACATTTGCTGAGGAGGAGTAGGCCGTTGGGATAGCACTTGTCTACTCCATTTCTCCCTATGATTCCTTGCCATATGTCAGCATCTCTTCCAACTCTGGTATTGAAGTTACCAAGGAGCACAACCTTATCTTATCTGGGGAAAGAGGTTAGCACACTGTCAAGGGCAGCATAAAAGGCCTCCTTGATGTCATCCTCTACATCCAGTGTTGGGGCATATGCACTGATGAAGAAGGCATAACGTGAGTGATTCAGTGGGACTTGGAGCGTCATGAGGCACTCATTGATCCTACCAGGCATTTCAGTTAGCCTGTGTAGGATGCATTGGCGGATGGCAAGTCAGCTCCATAAATGCGGTATCTCTCCGCAACAGGCTTACTCTTCCAGAAGAAGGTATAACCAGACCCCCGTTCTGTGAGTCGACCCTCGTCTGGGAGCCAGGACTCGCTAATGGCTGCTTTGTTGACGTTATATCTACCGGTAGACAGTTCTTTTGTCACAAGGGCGGTTCTTCTTTCAGGATACTCATTTGTGCCATATCCAGAAGGGTCCTGATATTCCATGCAGTGACCATACAAGGCTGTATTGTTTGTTTTTGCTTTGATTTGTGATTACGATTGTGTTTTCGACCACATAAGGATGACCTTCCTGGGTGTGGTTGCCCAGTCAGGTTGGTTTATTTAGGCAGGCTATGTTTAGGGCACCTTTTCTAGTCCCCTCCCCATGTGGGGTGAGTAGAGTGGCTCCTCGAAAGGGCTGCTCAGTTGCACAGACAGGACCGAATTGCACTGCTGCCTAGATCCCAGTGCACAAACGACTATCTTATCTATGCTGCCCATGTGCAGAGTTGTGACTAGAGACTCTCGGCAGCCATCTCTGTCTGTCCTTATTGCCACTCATCTGGAAGTATAGGGGTTTGATGATGATGAAAAATATGATGAGCTGGATGATGGCTGATGTGAGCCGATTTATGCGGTGAGGCAGGAGTGCAGGCTGCAACCACACATCTTGGCTCTCCCTTTTTCTGCTCCAGTGGTGCAGCAAGCTGCAATGACTGGGGAGAAGGGGAGTTGCAATGGACTGCCGATAGCCTAGTTTGTTGGGTTTTGCCTTAGTAGCCTTTCCATCCTGCATTGCCTTCATCTGTTGGTCTAGCCGTTGGGTTCCCATGGTGGACACCTCTTCTGTCTATTCTGCCGTTCAGGTCTTACTGTAGCTCTGTAAGCATGTTTGCCTGACGCGGTGCTCCGTTGAAGATTTTTTTATACGGGGATTACTCCCGTAGCCTTGTACCTACCAAGGTTAATCCGCAAGGCAGCAGGACAGTGGTTGGTAGGCACCCGGGCTTGTCCACATGCCGGTGGGCCTATGCACCTTCCCTCTGGGGCCCACTGCTGCTCCGAGATCCCCTGCTGGTCTACATGGGGCTGCGAGGAACCCAGTTACCTTGTGTTGCCACGAGGATGCACAGCAAGAGTCTTGATGGTGAAGAGGCGGTGTGCTGGCAGGGGAAGACTTATGCAAGGTTGCCTCCTTGTTCACCATGAGGGCTAGTCAGCGGTGGTAGTTGAAAGCGAAAGGAAGCAAGCAGTGCTGCACCTTAACACTTAACATAATGCTGCCACACTAGATGCATTACACCACCCTGTGGGTACCATATTATTGTGAATATTTTGGCTAGAGGGTGTTTGTGAACCCTTGTAATTCCTACCTAAGTAAGCATTATCATTGCAGGTATATTATGAGCAATCCTGATGGTCCAGTACTGAGAAGACAAGAGTTAGATGCTTTTTTGGTGACAGCCTTCTCTCCTGATCTCACAAATGCCCATTACTTGCAGGACTTACAGGTTAGTCACTCTTTATTATAAGTTAGATTTTTTTCTGTAAGTTTAAATTAATAACCTCATGAGACACACTGCCATAGCAAGTGTAATAACTTGGAGTACTTTAGGTAGACAAGCAAATGCTGGACCTTCCATAAAAGGTTTATTAACTGAGAGACTCCCAAAAGCTGCTGCCCAGCTGTGGGCTGAGGCAGGACTGACTGCTGTGACTCTAACACCACCATACAACAGTTTGTATGAACTCCAACTCATAGCATTCGAAACCCCGAATAACTGAACATGAAACATTACAACACTCCCCCACATTTATTAAAACATTAACTAAAAACTTGAAACACTAACAATAAAACAATCATTACTATTACAACATTTAAGAAATACACAACCTATCAAGTTATCACAAATCGATCTGGCTTCCTTCTGAGTCTTCCTGAATGACGTAATCCACTGCCCTTAGTCGCTGGCTCCAAGGGCGGCAACTGACTAGCCTCGGTCGGGGGGACCTGTGACAGAGGAGACTCCGACTGCTCCACAATGTCCTGAGGCTCCTCCGGCGTGCAGCTCCCTGGTGTAGGTGCCGTCTCAGCGGCACCCGCCAGCAGAGGTAATGATGAGTGCGGCACTGGACCATCCCCTACCAGTGAGGGCACCGCGAGGTCGTCCTCGCTCTCACCGAGATCGATCCTCCTCCAAACGTGGTCTTGATGGCGCCGTACTGTCTGCCCGTCTAACTGTTTCACCTTGACTGACACTGGACCTGATTTCTGCTTAATTACACCAGGCAACCAATGTGGACCAGAACCAAAATTAGAAACATGCAGTGATCCCTCGGTTAACGAGCGCCTCGGTTAACAAAATTTCGGTTAACGAATTACCTTCCATAAGATTCTTCACTTCGGTTAACGAGCAAACCCTCGGTTAACAAATTCCTCATGAATTTTTCCCAACATGTTTTTGCCTGCATTTGGCTGCCCACCAGCTGTAGTATTAGTCCGCCAATACAGTAATCGGTTTTAGGGCTTAAATTCCTCACCATTTTAGTAAATATCAAGAAGGTTGTACTTTTTTTTTTATTGGGCACTCCCCTACATCATTGTGTAAGGTGAAGCGCAGAAGCGTTTACAGTGCCCAAGAGGGAAGCATGCTAAGTTCATGCTTGCCTTTGTCTCATGAGTTAAGGGCATAGAAGCCTGAAGAGTCAAGGGCATAGAAGCCTGAAGAGTCAATGGTTTATGTCATCAAATTATTGGAAGCTCCAACAACTTGTCCCTGAATACTAATTCGCAATTTTCGATTTACACCAGGTACCTACTTTACTGCTAGGTGAACAGGGAATAATGGGGGCTAGGAAGTATGTCCAAACAACTTCCACCGGCCCGGGAATCGAACCCGTGACATCTTGCTTGCGAAGGCAAGAGCGGTACCACTCTACCACCAGCACCCCAGAAGGTTGTACTATTCAATAATTTTAAAAGTTTTATATTAAATTTTTAATAATTTTAACAATTATTGAACATAATTGAAGTACAGGAAACTAGTTTTTTGCGCGCCAAACATTCACTCAACACACCAAGCTTGGCATCAGTTTGTTTACCAGTTCAGAAGAAGGAACATTTTGTTTGAGACTCTTCAACATAAACGCTTTTTTTCTGTGTTTCCAGTCAAATTATTGGTAATTTTGAAATATATTTTACATATTGATATTATATAGCGCAGTGCAGTGTTGATTTAAAGAAAATAATCTTGAATTACACCAAGTGAACTAAAATTTTATGGGTGAAATGGCGGCATGGGGTGACTTCTCTTCCACCCCAATGCTTTCTCTTCTCCCTTCTCCTCCACCCCCATTCTAATTCCCATTATCATCATCATCATCAACCAGGAGCCTTTTACATGCACACCTCAAAGCAAGTGTACTTTACTGCATTTATTTTTAGTTTGTATGTAATTTTCGGTGAGCTGGAACCAATTACCCAAAAACCCATTGAAACAATGGTTTCGGTTAACGAGCGACCTTCTGGAACGAATTGTGCTCGTTAACCGAGGGACCACTGTATACAGAATATCCCACACCTAAATTACGACGTCAAGCACTTCGATCATGATAAAACTTCTATAATTCTTGTTTTTTCCTCGCCACGTTTCCGACATCCGGACGTAACAAATCTAAACAAGTCTTTAGTTTCCGCCCCATTAATAGTTCTGCCGGTGTAACTCCCGTTGTGGTGTGTGGAGTGACACGATATCTTAATTGAAATTTATACACTCTTGACTCAAGCGAGCCACCAGAACTCCTTCTCAAAGAATCTTAAAAATTTGAACAGCCCTTTTGGCTAAACCATTAGAAGCTGGATGGTATGGTGAAGTCTTAATATGAGCTATTCCATTCTGTTTCATAAATTCTTCAAATTCCATACTACAAAAATTAGTACCATTTTCTGTTACCAGTGTGTCTGGAAGACCTTGTGAAGCAAAAGTATTCTTCAATTTCTCAATAGTGCTAGATGAAGTTGCAGAATTTGTTGGATGTACATCCATCCATTTTGAGTGAGCATCTATAATAACTAGAAACATTTTACCCATGAATGGTCCTGCAAAGTCCAAGTGTATCATAGACCATGGCTGCTGTGGCTGCTCCCAGGGATGAAGAGGCGCCTTGGGAGGAAAACTTCTTGATTGCTGACACTCTTGGCAACGTTGCACATTTACCTCAATATCTGCATCCATTTTTGGCCTCTAAACATAACTACGTGCAATACTTTTCACATGTGCTCAGGCCAGCCGCGTAACACATAACCCTTTACCTTGGAGAGTGTCTGGTCCCTCTCCATCCACATCTTAAGGTCTCATAGGAACTGGTGAATTGTCCAGGCGCTCCATCAAACACACTACGGCCCCTGGCACTGGGAACCTCTGGAAGGAGCAAACAGCTAAGAGCATCGGCATGTACTATCTGAGTTCCCGGTTTATAAGTTATGGTGTAGTCGTATCGTATGCCGATAAGGTCAGAGCCCATCGTTGTATACTTCCTGAAGCCATTTTGGGAACTGGACGATTCTCACTGAACAAGCTCGTTAAGAGGCTGGTGATCAAAAAAAAAAAAAAATGGCATCCATACAAATAGCTATGAAACTTTTTCACCCCCAAAAATTACTGCTAAACTTCCTTTTCTATGTGTGCATAGTTCCTATCAGATGTACCTAAGGTCCTTGAAGCAAAAGCAATCGGTTTTTCCTCACCAGCTTCAGTTCAATGAGCCAGTACTGCTCCCAGGCCATATGGAGAGGCATCACAGGACAGCATCAGGAGTTTCTTGCTGTCATAGTGCACCAACACTCGGGAACTCTCCTTTGACCACTTGGATTCTGCCAGAGCTTGCTGCTGACTTGGGCCTCATTGCCACTTAACATCCTTCTGTAAGAACCTGTATAATGGCAACAACACTGTAGAGAGGTTTGGAATAAATTTTCCATAAAAATTTGATTCCTAAATAAGAATTCAATTCAGTGACATTGTGAGGAATGGGTGCATCCATAATAGCCTGAACTTTCTCATCAGAGAGGTGCAGTCCTTCAGCATTTATTTTATGTCCTAAATAAGTTACTTTCGATGCCTGAGAAACTCACTCACTCCTTTTCAATCTTACACCAGCATTCTCCATTCGTTTTAAAACTTCTGCAAGATTATTCATGTGTACCTCTTTGGTCATTCCTGTTATTAAAATATCTAAATACACAACATGAGAAATGCCTTGCAATATATTCTCCATCACTGAAAAATTCCTGGGGCTGATGAAACACCATATGGCAATCTGTTGCACTAGAACAAGCCCTTGTGGCCCTTGTGAGTGTTTATGGTGATGTATTTCTTTGAATCATCCTCAAGTGCTAGCTGGGAATAAGTATAAGAGAGATCTAATTTCGTGAATGTCTTGCCCTCTGCCAGGTTAGACAATAAATCTTCCCGCTTGGGAATAGGATATCCATCTACTTTTGATACTTTGTTGACTGTAACTTTATAGTCACCACAAATTCTTATGGATTTATGCCTTTCAACTCTGGGAACTATTGGAGCTGCCCACTGGGAATACTGAACAGGCTCAATGACTCCGTCACTTACCAGTCGCTCCAATTCAGCCTTGATCCTCTCCTTCGGGGCGTAGGGTACCAGACGAGGCTTGAAAAACTTTGGCTGGGCATCCTTATCCACGTGAATAACGGCCTTCATTCCCTGAATGAGCCCCAGCTCATTTCTGAAATTTCTGCCAAATTTACGAATCACATTATCAGCTGGTACCAACACTATAAACTTCACCCCTGTCTAATTTAATGTGACGCAGTCAGTCACGTCCAAGTAGATTCGCCCCGTCTCCATCCACAACCACCAATGGAAGAGTCTGAAACCCGGTTTTATATTCTTCCATATCCACTTTTCCAAGTACTTTAATGGCGTGACCCGTATAGTATAAGTACGCAGCACCACACCAGTCCTGTGGAGGTCAGGTTTCAACCTTCCATTCCGGACATAATTATAATCCTTCATACTCAAAATGGATACCGATGCACCAGTATCTATCTCCATAGTCACCAGAACTTTATTTAGCCGTAGCTGAACTGTTACCGGTGCTTCACGGGTCGTTTTTACTTTGTACATGGCATAGTCTTCCACTTTCACCTTGCCAATATTTTCTGTGTGTTCCTCACTCTCTCCCTCCTCAATTCTGTGAGTTCTACCCTCTGTGCTTGCCCTCCTTCGACACATTCTTGCTAAATGACTCGCCTCTTTACACACATAGCAGGTAGCCTGGAGGAAACGACAGTCTGGAGCCATATGCTGACCCTCACATCTGAACCACTTCGACTCGGAACGATGCACCTTCCGCTGCCCACACACGTCGCTCTCGCCACACCACCACTCCTGAACCTTGTTTACGTGGCGGCCGCGCTGCTCCCCTGCATGGTGCAAGTCCTGTGTGTCCCTTGCTGCTGCCTCCACCGCGAGTGCCGTCGCCTCTGCTTTCGTGAAATGCAAATTTCCATCCGCCAACAACCTTGATTGTATCTTCCTGACGTCAATGCCGCACACCAAGCAATCCCATAACATATCAGCGAGCTGATTACCGATTTCTCAGTGCTCTGCCAACTTCCTGAGATCGGTAATAAAAGTCGACACAGCCTCGCTGGGCTGCATGAACCGAGAGTTAGACTTGAACCGTTTCATAATCACTGACGGCTTCGGACACATGTGAGTCGACAATAATGTCTTGAATTGAGTGTATAGGATTTATCACTGGGTTTTTTCGGAAGGCACAACGACCGTAGGTTCTTGCCCCACTCACGGCTAATAATGTTGACTTCATCTTCTCCTTGATACCGTTGGCCACAAAAAAAAAATGCTCCAATCGTTCCACATACTGCGTCCACACCTCCGTGTCTTGATTAAATTCTTTGATCTTCCCAATCGTCGCCATGTTGAAGGGGCAGCCTCGTCGCCAGGGTAATAACTTGGATTACTTCAGGTAGACAAACAAATGCTGGACCTTCCATAAAAGGTTTATTAACAGAGAGACTCCCAAAAAGCTGCTGCCTGGCTGCGGGCTGAGGCTGGACTGACTGCTGTGACTTTAACACTGCCATACAACAGTTTGTATCAACCCAACTCATAGCATTCGAAACCCTGAATAACTTAACATGAAACATTATAACAGCAATGTTCGCCCCTCTTCCCTGAATTACGTACATCTAACGAACTGTACATATGTGTATGGGATATGTTATTACTGAAGAATAGTGGTAAGCAGACTCTACATGTGGGTATATCACAACACATTATATTAGGTAATCAGTAATTGGCATTTCTATAATTACTCTCTGGAATCACAGCCTCTTGGTTCCTGTGAATGATGGGGGACTTGCCGAACTTTTCCCTTCACATATTGTTTTATATACGCGCGTATTAATTGATCTCATTGACAAGTGGATTCCCAACTTTTTTTACAAGATATCTTGAAGTGTTAATATACCGTACTGTCTCTCATAAATAAGTTGACCATAGCTTTAAGTGATACCAGTGGGCCTAGTGGAGCATTTGAGGATTTGTGCCAAAATATTGATATGCTATTTGTAGTCTTTAGTCTCATGCAAAGGCTTGTCACCACACTTGGTACCAATTATTCAGTAATATCTAATATACTATAGGACTAGCCGTGTGTCTGTCGGTCTGTTTGTTCTGGGCAGCCGAAACGGCACAATCGTTTTTCATCAAACTTGGTGGAAAATCGCAAAAAATTCGTAGAGTGGAACAAACCTGGTCCCATGTCGATGGTTTCTTTAGGAAGGCACTAATTAACCATTTTATTTACGATGGAAAACGATGCAAGTCTACGAACTTGGCGCACCCTCATTCGCTGTACGCTAGCCAAGCACTAGCGTTCATACTTTCCCTGGGTATGAAGGTGCCTGCGATCACTTGTAGCTACTATATATTGTTCTACTTTCAAATTTTGTGTAATATGATCCTTTCATTTAAATTTTATGGCACAATTATCAGTAAACTGGTATATCTACTCAATATTTATTTTGAGAAAGTACAGCTTGGGATCAGACACTGGTGTGGGATATGAGCATGAACTAATGGTAGTAGAATTACACTAAGACACAAAATGCATCTTTAACAAAGTTATGAAAGAAAAGAAAATATTTACTGTGACTAGAACACCGAAAGTTGCAAGTGACATAACTTTGTCTACTTGTGTTCATAAAGTTGTGCATGTGTCTCCCATGGTGACAAACTCAGGAGTAAGATTCTAAGGAAACAGACAGGGTGTAGCCAATATGATTAACTGAAACTGTGGCTTGAAAAATCAGAGGAACAACCTTGGTGTAGATCAGTGGTTACCAAACTTTTTAACATGATGCCCCCTTTGGCTTTTTTTTGCGAAATCCTCAAACCCCCCCCCCCCCCCCTTCCCCATATTTTTGGAGAGAGTTACTCCTGAAAGAGTTTCTTCATTATATTCTGTTTGAGCAAAAAATAGCAAATTTGGGCAGATGGCTTTACGCCTCCCCTGTGCCCACCTTAAGCCACAATTGTGGCTTGGAACAATAGCAGGTTCAAAGGAATTCACTGGCATAGCCTAGAATAGGCTCTAGTGGAATATGGGGATTGTGTAAGTTGAGGTTCCAGTGGAGAAAGTCGGTTCTCTTTCTTATCTTGGGTTTTAACTTCCCACAGACAATGTGACAATTTGTGTTTTTGATGGCCCAATTTCCTTGATGTTAAAGGTGCATTGCACTAGTGGTGAAAGAGTTGCATTTATCTCCTCAACTTCCTTGGTCTTCAATTTGATGGTTTGAACAGATGCATTCAATTTAAGATGGAGTTTTTATTTCTGTGAAAGCTTGGAACACTGGGAACAATTGTCCCTGTTTGTGGGAAGATTTCATGTAACCAGAAGGATGCTAATATTGTGTTGTTGTTTCTTAGCTGTATGAGAAACAAGATTTGGAGGATAGGTGGACTATTTTTCTTCTTTCTCAGGAAATGTACAGGAACTTGTTCACCTTAGCTTCATAGTTCAGTTGTACTGTACTATATTGCAGGTTACTGGGAAGTCAAACTTAATGCCTGAGTTAGGAATAGAACATCACCTTTTTAGGGAAAATTTGATCCATTCTTTTTCTCTTGGATTCTATCCTTTTGTTTTAGTCCAGAACTGGATTTGTTTGTCATGTTGGATAATCACCACCTTCCATTGTACCAGTTCGACACGGAGGTGGATGTAGTTTTCATGAACTGCGATCCTTAGGAGCAGATCTCCTCCATCCCCTTCCTTGTGAGCTTCAGTTGATTTCAAAGATTAAACGGTTCATGGCTGTAACTTTTGGTGGCCTTTGAGGGTTTGTTTTCCTTAATTGGTTTAACTCTGTCTTAATTCTGTTTCATCTCAGCCTTCCTTCTTCAGTAGAGTTGGAGAGAATGAGGTTTGGTGTCCTTATCCTTGGATTTATAAATAAATTGTATGGAAGCTTTAAGAATATTTTACCTCAATAATGAGCATAGGACCTGACCCTTTGAAGTTATATGGTAAAGGGGTTGTAATTTACCTTCCCTTACCTGGTTTCATTTAGGGAAACAAGACCTTAAGGTTGTCTTATTTGTAGCACAAATTAGGATGACGGCTTGGTTAGTTATTTTGTAACAAAGATATCGGCAACAACTTCTTCAGGCCTTTATTAGTTTTGCACCTCAGGATTGCATGACCAAAAGAGGAACTTAAGGTTTAATATTTGTTATTAATCAGATGTTAGATCAGTTTACCAGGACTACTGCTTCTGAGGGTACAAGTGACCATAGTATGTGGAGCCATTGTATCTCTTCCCCTGAGTTATATATGCTGTACAGAGATGAGAGATCCTATCCTAGGTTATAAATAAAATATTGATGCCAAAATCCTATTCTGCAAGTCAGGATTGAGCAACTTCATAAACCTCCCTTTTCTCATTGGTGTGGTGAAGTGAGCTGAATATGGTCCAGATGGTCAGGATTCATTACTTGTAACTGATGGATTGCAGTGTCTTAGGTTATGATCTAAGCACAACTATCAAGTGTTCACCCAGTTTTATGGTATTTTTGTACCTCGTACATATCCTTTAGCTCTTGAAGTGTTGGCGAAGGATAATCTAATTGTTGAATTTATTCGGTTTTTAGGTCCCAGTGACAAGTCCGGGGCCTGGGGCCTGGGGTTACAACCGTTAGATTTGCTGCCCATAGAGGGTTGCTTAATCCTGATTCAGGTATAAAGTGAAATTTCAGGGTCAGTCCTCTATTTTTATGCTGTATGTCATGAAAGAAGTTAATTTCATGCTGGAAAACAAAGTATGAGAATTTACACTTAAGTTCTGCCTCCTCATTTGTCAAACAGTAGAACTAAGAAATGTATACAGATAAAAGAATCAAAGTTATGATTAATTTCAGTAAACTACATGTGTCTCGCCCTTTTAACAGCTTCATGTGGTGACAGCACGTGGCTGTCAGCTTGCGGCACTCTTCATGATGGGAGTGGAAACGGCACTCTTTGCCAACGATGCATGTGGTGCTCCTGTCCCGTGGCTCATGTGTTGTCCGTGGTTGTTCTTTGATGGCAAGCTCTTCCACGAGAAGCTGGTCAGAGCCCACTATGCAAGAACTCTGCGTGAGGTAAGTGTCAGGTAAAAGGGTTGTGACTTCTGTGGAGGCCTTTAAGAAACAGCTTAGGGCATTCCTTTTTTGAAAGCTTATGATCCTGAACAGAGCAAGAGAATTACTGGTTTTAGGAAGTATTAAAACTTATGGGTATATGAATGATAGAAATAGAACTGTCACTTTTTGTGATCTTTTTTTTTGTAGTACAGTATAATATTTATTTTTAATCTGAAATCTTTGAATTTGTAGTGTTTCGAGCGCTAGTGAATTCTGTAGAAGAACTGGCGCTTTTGAAAACCAAAATATCAGCTATTGTTATTGTTATTGTTATTATTATTATTATTATTATTATTATTATTATTATTATTATTATTATTATTATTATTATTATTATTATTAAATGTTGGGAAATTATGCTCTCTAGGTGTGTGAGGGAGATATGGACCTGGTGGTCAAAGTTGAGAGCTGTAGACGGGCGGTGCTGGAGAATATCAAGGTAGAGTATGCCCGTCCATCCCTGTTCATACCTCCGGTTGGGTGTCACAAAGTGAGACCCCCTCCTCCCCATCCTGGTCTTTCCCACAATGCGGGCCGGGGTAGAGGTCGAGGGGCCCCAGACAGGACCAACGCTCACCCAGGTAAGGCTTAACACACTTCTAAAAGGACTTACACACACTTAAAGTCTGTTATTTATTTAGGTATTTTTTTATGGCTGAGGGAAATAAATAAAATTGTTTGAGGAAGAAATATGTTAATTAATTTAACTTTATTACATATTTGGTAAACCTTTAACATGACTTTAAACTAGAACTTAATGTCTTCATAACTTGTCAGTTTACTACATGTGTAGATGGTTGATCACTTCTCAGACCTTTGTTGTTGGTAGACACTTGAGCATGCACAGGCTTTAATGTCATTCTAAAAGATACCTCTCATCTCTTTCTCTTATTTATTTACTTACAGGTGGTGGCGTGGGAAGGATGTTTTCTCGTGGTGGTCAATTGCAGGTGGCTGGAGTGGTGGTAGGCTCCTGGGGACCAAATTACGGATCAAATGGCAATGACAGCAGACCCCCCCGAGGATTCAGACCGCCGGTAAGTACAGTACAGTAGTCCACTTGAGAAAGATATAAAGTGAGCGACAAAACTATATTCCCAGTTTTGTCTTCTTTTTTTTTATTCTTTTTTTAGTTGGCAAAACATAACCAAAGGTTTACATCAACTATACATGAACAGTTGGTGTGTCTGACTTGGTAGCATGATTCATCTGAAACGAGAAGCTTAGTCTCTATACAGAACACGAAGCATATCGTGGTTCAAAACAATCATGATAAATGGACAATAGCGGTACCCTGGAGACTCTGGATAAGTTCTCTCCAGGCCTGCCAACTGTTCAAACGTTTCACTAGAGAGCGTATCCGAAGGCTCGACTATTTCGTGATACATCCATCAAAAACAGGGAAGATAGTTTGTTGACTCACCATATTTATTTTGTTCATGGTATGGCATAGAGCTGTGTACATTGAACGTACCAGTAAAGCTCAGAGAACAAGACTGTATGGGGAAATGTGATAAGGTAAGCCAAGAACAATAAAGAGTAAAATGTAAACAAGTAATAATAGAGTAGAGTAGATGGTAATGAATAAGGTAGAATTTGTGGTTGCTGTCCTTGGTCAAAATGCCTACGCATAAATGGAAATTATTAATTATTATTATTATTATTATTATTATTATTATTATTATTATTATTATTATTATTATTATTATTATTATACAATGTTACCAGGTAAAATACATAATGCAAGACATAAACACAATATTTACATCGGAAAAAGGATTACATTACAAGACCCCTGTATAGTAGCATATATTTTGAAATCACAAAGCCTTATTTCCAAATATGTGCCCATGGTCCTCATCTCTTCCCAGGACCACCCACTCTACCCTCCACATGACCACCCAATCCCCACACAGAACCACTCACACTAAACACCCCCTTTCCAGCACCACCACCCTCCTTCCACACGATCACTCACGCTACTCAGTTGATGCACAATGCTGAATTTTGTGAGGTGGTAAATAAATCAGATGAAACACTTACAGTAGGATCTTGTTGTGACAGTGGAACTCCATTGCAGATTATGTCTGCTACAGGAGGAAGGGTCAGTGTTACTTTCAGTGAGACAGGGCTTATGCATGTAAAGAAAAATGATGATGAATATTTTTTATGACGGTAAGGTAGTTAAAGTATTAAATTATGTATATGGTATCTGTTTCATACTAATGTTCATATGACATACAGTATATACTGTAGTGCCTTAAATTACTCCACTGTAGACCTTGATTATCCTAACTGTGGACAAGTATGTAATAGTTTTTTAACCTCTTATAGTTTGGGTTGTATTTATATGGAGAAATGGTTGTATGGTATTAAAGGAAAAACAGGACCAAGGACAACTTTACTCCTCTATACTATTATACAGGTTGGACTCCACTAATCTGGGACCCGATAGTTCGGCAGCTTCGTTGGTTCAGGATGGTGTCATAGCTCACTTCTAGTGGCTGTTGCTACTATTTTACCTTTAAATACTTATAATTTACCCCTAAATATGCCTTCTAAGAGACCAGCAAGCAGTGGAAGCGGTTGTAATGTGGCAAAACGTAAGCATGTGATATTAACTATTTTAGAAAGGGTGTCTATACTGAAGAAATTAGACAGTAATTGTACATTTTATACGTTATTTGATTTTTTTTTTCAACCTCGGCTTCGTGGTTTGGAATTTTTGCTAATCCGGAACTGGTCTGGTCTCAAGCTTCCTGGATTAGCAAGGTCCAACCTGTAGTTTATTATTAACCTGCCTCAAGTTAACTTAATATCTTCAACTGTTTTACCAAATAGCAATATAGCAGTAATGGCAGGGATATGGGAGGAAATATGCAAGGCAGAGGTGAACCGAGCAGACTGTCACGTGCCACTCGAGGTCGACCTACAGTTCTGGTGAGTACAGTACTGTCATCCTGAGAGTAATAAATGTTGCTCTAATAAAACAGGATTTTACCCTTCAAGTCTGTGGGGCACATTCCTAGACATTGGCACCAGGCATCAACTTAAGTAATTAATGCAACTCCTCTGTTGATACCATAGCCCACAAAGAGGGCTCAGGGAGGAGGATGTTAAACACTTTATGCTTAGAGATAATCAAGTGTTGATGATACAAACAGCTTACTTACACACCACTTCTTGCCTCTGGTTGACTATACAGTGGTCCCTCGGTTAACGAACACAATTCGTTCCAGAAGGTCGTTCGCTTACCGAAAATTTTGTCAACCGAAACCATTGTTTCAATGGGATATTCGGTAATTGGTTCCAGCTCACAGAAAAGTATATACTGTACAAAGTAAAGCCAGAATATAATTTACATTGCTGGAATTCTTATAAGATAGTGATTAATTTGAATATAAACAAGCTAAAATTTGCATTAGACATATAAATTTTAGATCTAATTTAAGAATTTTATTAGGGAGAGCAAAAATTTTATCTTTTGTGCAAAATATATGAAGTTTATATTCAAAATATTCCCTGTCTTGCAAGGATTTCAGCAATGCAAATTATATTATCCTAACTTTAGTCTGAAGTATTATTTATTTTTAAACCTGTAAACCTAGTCTTTTTACCGAAACGTTTCAAAGGAAGGTGGGGGCTAGGGGGTAGGGAGGGGTGACAGTGACATGTTTGACAGTTGGCACCTGTGGTGTGAGGTATTTAATTGTTAGTTTATTTTTTTTCTTTTAAATTGAGTTTTTGTTTTTTGCTTATAAAATTTAATAGAAGTGGGGTGAATTTAATTTGCATTGCTGGAATTCTTATAAGATAGTGATTAGTTTGAATGTAAACGTAGAAGAGGTCACTGAATTGGCTGAGTACCTCCTCAGCTTATCAGCTGATGCTCAAAACAAAATGTGATTTTCATAAGGATTTCGTTAATCAAATTTTTTTCGTTAACCGAATTGAAGATTCTTATGAAAGTTAATTCGTTAACTGAAATTTCGTTAACCGAGGTGTTCGTTAACCGAGGGACCACTGTATTGAATTTTCAACACCAAGCTTCATTGCAGTGATCTCCCTTCTCAAAGCTCTACTTCAGGACACAGAGCTAAGTTGTGCTTGCCCTTGTATTTAGCACTTGGGGATAGATACAGCTATGCCAAATAATGCCTGCAATATACCGTATATACTCGTCTATAACCCCCCTTCGTTTATAGGTTGACCCTGATTTTTTGACCAAGAAATAGTTAATTTATGATATTCCTCATTTATAGTTCGACCCACGTTTTTGAGGGTAATGGAACAATAAAACCTTCAGTAAAAACGCTCTTCGTCCTATAAACTGAGGCTCACCGTGCCTGAAACACGAGTGCCGAAAGCAAATTGTTTATCATTTATTATTACGACACTTTACACTGAAACGCGGGTAGTTTCAACAAAAATATTGTATATTTCCATTCAAGTATTTATTCAAGTCAATTAGGAGGGAATATTATTGCAATACAACAGTTTTTTAACTAAACCATTTGAAAAGCGATTACGGTAACATCTTTTGAACGAAAGAAAGCGAAAGTCATTGTTTTCGTCACGATTTTATCCCACTTTCCACTGTAATACGTACGTAATTTCAGCAAAAATATTACATTTCCGTGAATGTATTATATCAAGCACAGTATGAATAGAATACCATTGTAATATAACAGAATTTTAACCGAAAACTAGTAAAAAAACGAGTAACATCTCAAGAACATCGGAAGCTTAGGTAAAGTCTTTTGTTTTCGTCATGTATTTTATCCTATTTTACATTGAAATACATCAAGTTTCAGCAAAACTACTATCTATTTCCGAGAATATATTCATTCAGGCGCAGTTTAGGTAAAATATTCGTGTGATGTAATAGTTTTTTAACTGAAAACGATTCGAAAAACACGTACCCTCTAGCCCTGTTCAAGGAGAGGACTGGGAGAAGCTGTTTGGTGCTGCAGACTATGACAAGGAAAATGATTTTGATGGATTTTAATGAAAATATTCAGAAATATGGTATCGTAGTATTTATTCAAGTCAATTAGGATAGAATATTATTGTAATACAACAGTTTTTTAACTGAAAACCATTCGAAAAGCGATTACGGTAACATCTTTTGAACGAAAGAAAGCGAAAGTCATTGTTTTCGTCACGATTTTATCTCAATTTCCACTGTAATACCTACGTCATTTCAGCAGAAATATTACATTTCCGTGAATGCATCATATCAAGCACAGTATGAATAGAATACCATTGTAATATAACAATATTTTAACCAAAAACTATTAAGAAAACGAGTAACTTCTCTTGAACATCGGAAGGTTAAGTAAAGTCTTTTGTTATCGTCATGTATTTTATCCTATTTTACATTAAAATACTGTACATCACGTTTCAGCAAAACTACTATTTATTTTCGAGAATATATTCATTCGGGCACAGTTAAGGTAAAATATACATGTGATGTAACAGTTTTTTAACTGAAAACGATTCGAAAAACACGTGTACCGTCTAGCTGATACAGCTGGTGTTGCGTGATGCGTCGTTGTAAACAATAGGAGGTTGAAGTAGATTACCGGGTATTATATTAAGTGTGAAATTTCGAAAAGGTGTTTATTACCGTTATTTTTTGTAGATCAATGAGAACTGTGATACCGTATATGATATGATAAGTTTGCCTGTGCTAAGAACTTCAACATAGACTACTGAAAGCACGTTGTAAGGTAATTTAGCCTATTGTAAGTTGGTGAGCTTCATTTGCTGAAGGAACTGCACAACTTTTCATTACTAATTGGTACATATTTTACGTTTCCATTGTTTACTGGCAGTAAATGGTAAATATTTTTCATGTCTGAAGCTAAAAGTTGCTCCTCGCCCTTCCCATCATGCACAGGTTCAACCTAACAAAACTATTACGCATGTATAGGACGACCCCCAATTTTTTGCTTAAAAATTTGGTCTTAAAAACTCGAACTATACACGAGTATATACGGGTATGTACAGTATAGTAAGGTGAATCCCAACTTTAATATATTTCTAGATGCAAGAGTTATTTAAAATGTTTTGATGATTGAAATTGCCTTGGTCAGCTGGCAGTTGTTTATGGTGTTGACTGTTTTATATTCCTCACATTCACAGTGTATGTAGCTCAACCTATCCTTTGGAATGATATTTTGTTAACAAGTGAACCTACCTTGCCAGCTAAGAAGGCGCTTGGAAGACCTTCGTATCATATTCCTTTTATGAAAAGGTGGGATAGCGATAGGAAGGGCATCGAGCCTTAAAACTTGCTTCAAATTTGTGCAATGACAACCAGGACATTATGCCATCGGCTAGTCATGGCTAACCCACTCAAGCAACATGGAAGAACCTTGCCAGAAGCACAACTCTTGCAACAATAAAGATTTTTAGATGAAATTTTTTTGTATCACATATAGAGGAAGTGCAGAACACAAGTATCTGTTTGAGAGGGCAAGGTCAATGTTACAGTTCAAAGGTCATATGCAGAATTGGTCATGTTGTTTACATGTTGCACCAAGTTACTGCTGTTATATTGATTTCTGAATTTCTGCATTTTTGCATATCTCTTGATTCCAGGCCAAGCGACGAACTATAAAGAAGCGTGAAGTGAGGTTGAACAAGGGACGTGGAGTGGCAGTGGAGAGCCCAGGCAACAGGTGGGCTTTTCCACATTCAAGCCACAGTGCAAGATTTGTAAAGGATTTGTCACTCAGGCATCAACATTATCAAGTTTATCAGTTTAAGTGTTCCTTTGTCTGGACATTTATGCTTTACTGTGTCTATGAGAAGTGGTTGCATGTTATCTGGGGCCTTATTTTAACATTCAGATATTTCCTGATGATTTACGGAGGTTCAAAGTTCCGTAAAAAGACAAGTCTCTTGATTTAATTTAGTAATGAGAAACACGGTTAAAATGTTTTCCTCCAATTACTAATGAAAATATACTAAAATAATGCAATTTGTTGTACTACTAGTATGCTAACTTATTTCACTAATTTCATTATTCTTTAGAACTGACAATATTATTAAGTCAACAAATAACTTTCATGGTGTCGTCATTTTCCTAGTCACCATATAACTAACTCCTCTAACAAGTAGACTCGTCTCCACCAGCACATTCACTCAGACAGTTGCCTGATTATCCAATTTCTCCTCATTTACTCTCTTGTAATTTGTAGAAAATTAAATACAGTTAATAAGAGAATTGCCATGTACAGTGTATTCTTAAATTTCATACATCAGTTGTGTACATACAATAAAAAAAATATCTTTTCGAGGATGAAGGATTTTGACAAGCCTAACAAGACAGTGGAGTCTCAGTGTTCATTTTGTAATTCATCGGACCTGTCCCAAAAGATAATTTTTTGATTATGTGTACAATAGATGTATGGAGTTGTAAGAGTAAGTGTGGAATTTGGAAACGAACAAAAGTTTGGAGGTATGGATATTGATGGCAACACACGAGAGAAGGTAAGTGCAGCATCAGCTGACTGAAGGCAGTGTTTGAACCACGTAAAGAAGCAGCGGGGAGTTAAGACGGCGCATTAACTCACCAGGGATTGAGTGTGGGATTTTCTTTTTTTCATAGATGTGTTCTGACTATTAAAATTTTATTTTGTTAAGAGAACTAATGTAATAATATGTTGAGGGAATATTTTAATGACTATATACTGTATGTTTTGATTTAAATTCAGTTATTTCCTCAAATGTCTGTATTGTACTGTACTGTAAAGGAACAGAATTTCTTAATTGAACTATAAATTTTTTGAGGTGAAAAAGTTGTTTTAGAGCTTGAAGAGGGACATAAATATTAAAATAAAGTTTAACATTGCAGTCACCCACCAGGGATGAGGGAGGTGCTAGTGATGCCAGGCAGTGGATACAACAATCACACACCAGTTGGAGAGGAAGGGGAAGGGGTCACCTCCTATTCTGCTCACCCCCCTCAGACCCATTCCTCCAGTGGTATCAAGAGTCCAGACTCTGGTGTTAACGTATCCATCCTGGAATAAGGCACAGTTTGGTGTGCACAAGAGAGGTGGCTATTTAAACCTCTGGGGCTATAGTCTGAGCAGCTAGCACCCTTACTTTACATCTAGCTTAGAATTGATTCAAATACTGATACCTGATAGGATTAGTACAGCACTAGCAATGTAAAGTGATAAACAGGCACAATTTCTAAAAAGAATTTAGCAAAGAGTACAACACAACAAGGGCCTTTCTCCCAAGGCACATGCCCCTGAACCCTAAATTGTCACCTCTCTCGTAGGCAACCAGCTCCAGGTAACTGCCACTGCCATTACCCACATTGCTGCTACAAACACCATCTCGGCTGCCCCCATGTCTGCTGATGTTACTACCATGACCACCATTTCTGCTGTAACTTGTGACGTACATGAGCTGATGATACTGTCATGGAGGTGCAAGGAAAAGTGACTCAACAATAAAGGATATGTAAGGAATGATGCATTTACACTATACATATTTATTTTAGCATACATTCGAATATAATTTTTGTACTTTATAAATGTTTATTTACATTTGTAAAATCAAACCGCTATCATGAATTAGCCAGTAAATGATAATTCAACTAGCGATGTGATTAGTCCACTTTAAATCATAATTTTTATGTGATAATTCAAGGAATTAAAAATTCATAGTTTTTCATAATAAAAGTGAATGTAGAGTCTTCCACGTGTTATCTCTTTTTTTTTCTTTTTTTGAAGTATACTCTACCTATACATATTTCATTAAATGCCGAATAAACTGCTTCCTTGACAGTAATGTCAAGTTAGCTCAATTATTAACCTTTATTGTGACATGCAACACCTCTACAGACAAGAGCGTAGCTATGATTCCCGGTATGAGACAAAGAAATATGCCTGTTAGATTTGTCTGATGTTAGAGAAGCTCTATTATGATGTAACTGGTGATTATGAACCTTGTGTGGCACATCAGTTAGGCTCCAATGTTTGTCAATAAGATATAATTAGCCATTGTTGATGTACTATTGAGAGGTCATAATCCCTGATCTCATCCTCAATGTACTCCTAGAAAGTACAAGGTGGGCAGCTGTGGAGAGACTGATGCCATGAACAGTTGCCAGCTACCCTCGCCACTGATGTTAGACATGAAGTATATATGAAGAAGAATTTTTATTTTTATATGACTGTTATATTGTTAAAATGGTGATGGAGACACTTAAAGAAAGAGATTTGTTGGTGCAGTATTTAGCAAGTTTGTGGTTGAAGTTTAAGGCAAAGTGACACTACAACTACCACAGACAGCTTGGCTTAGAAAGAATGATTTGGAATCCTGAACAGAGCTTCATTTTTGTAAAATGGTTAAATCCCCCCCCCCACCCCCCAACAAATATGCAATTCAGGGTTTTTGCTGGGTTACTTAGCCCTAATAGGAATGATAGTTACGGAGACTGTACCCAAACTGAGGTTAAATTAAAATTTTCATAGTAGGGTGTGGTTATAACTTACAATAACTGAGGAAAATGAATAATTTCCATACAGTGACTTTAAACCAAGTTCATTTGGCCATGTTTTTAAAAGGAAGCATATGGCTGTACCAGTTTATAGGATGGAGGAAATCCTAATTGGTATTATATTTGTTGTTGTACTTGGTACTTTGGACATGTTATTGTTCCATTCTTGTAGATGTTGAAGGATAACTGTCTTAGTAACTTAACCAATACCAGGATATTCCAGGACCTAGTCGGGGTGACACTACTTGACTGTCTAGGACATCAGGTTTTTATTTTTCTGCCATTTTTGTCAATACAAACCTTCCTTGAATTTAGCATTGGTAACTTCTCATTAGAAGCTGATGTCTTGGATCATCAGTGCTCTAGTTAATTTGCCCTTGGATATTTTAAATTAAATTTGATCAATTCCTTGGTAATAGTAAATATTAAGGTAATTATAGTTCAGTTATCCAAAAGAGGGTCACCTGGCTTGTGTTTAACCAGGTTCTGGATCAAGAATATAACCTGGTAGTAAATAATAGAGGTATCAATGTTCTCTTCTGAATTTGCATTTAAGCTAAACCTCTGATAATGCAATTTACTGTCATTTAAATGGATACTGATGCCTGTGCTCTATTTTTTTTATTTTTTATTATCTCCTGTATCTTGTTTCCTTTTTCAATTATAAATTCAATGTGCCATGGCTTTTGTATAAAAAGACATTATACACTTTTGCTGAATTCTTTGTTTACTCTTGAAAGATTTGGAGTACTCTGTGGCCTGTGCTAAATGATGCTCTAGCACTGTGGTGCATCTTTAAATGACTTGCGGGTGAATATGTTGCCCATTGGCATATATTAGTGAGGATATTTGCTTTTGATAGCACACAAAAAGTTTTGTGGATGTTGATTGGATTTCAAGTGGAGAAACTGGCATTTTTGTGCCATGTACAGTTGCTAGATAGCACCTGAACTGTTAATTTATGGAGATGCAAAAATGTTTAAACTTCTTGTGAACAAAGAATTAGATAATTCTATTTATGAGAAAAGAATTAGGTCTTGTAGGTTCTCTGGCTAATGTATTGTAAATTATGATGACTGTAAAACTTTTCTGATTGCTAATGTAATATTCAATGAAGGAATTTCATTTAAAGGAAAATATATTCACTAATTTACTTAGAACATATCTTCCCATTCTGTAATGGGAACAAAAACTTTTTGTTATATTATCTTCTTGCAACATGTCTGTTTCAGTGAGGGGCCCATGTTTGTGTATTAACTTAGTGTCATGTCCAGCTAATGGAACTCACAGTCCTGTCATGCACTTCACCATTTGCTGCTTCTTTACAATACAGCCCCACAAGCCAATAATTGGAGTGAGGTCATATTAACTGAGTCATATTTTTAGTAAAGTGTCAAGAGTTTAGCTCAAAATCCTTGTTGGTGGAAGGTTGTGTTCACCCCATGAAGAAGCTGCAAGATGAAGGGTTGGCAGATGTGGCAGAGCTTTTTAACTCGGTTGGATAGCAAGACTCACCAGTGCTTGACTGCAGTGCTTAGCAGTGCAGCAACATATTTTAAGATGATTATATTTTATAAAAATAAAATTTTATAAAAGTGAGGTAGGGTGAGAGTAGGTGCGAGGGGTAAACATTATCTTCCCCAACAGAAGGATTTATCTTCAGTCCTGGATTATCATAGCCAGACTGCTTAAGTGTATATTGTATACATGCACTTGAAAATTAAATAGCCACTTACATCATAGCATTAGGAAATAATAATAAATATTAATAGTAGGTCTAGTAAAGGCAAGATTTTGCCTCATGTCTCAAATAGATTATATGTACATTATCTACTCAATGTTTAAATGCTCAGCTATTATGAGCCTTGACAAAGAAAAGGGTAAATTATTACTGTGTATGCTAAGGCAAGTAAATTTATGGTTATAATCTATTCTTGGAATTGTTCAACTTGAAACTGAAAAGTTGGCAAGTTGTAAATTGTTGTATCCTTCTTGTTTGCTTGTAGTCCAAGGCCTCCATTTTTAAGTATTTTGTTGGGTAATTTAGTCTTTGAATGCTCCTCACCTGAGTGCTGATCAGCATGTATTTCTGTGGGTATAATAATTGCTGGAGGTTTTTGCTGATGGTCAACATTCATGAGCCAGAGTGTATTCATGAACCCTCCAAGACACTTAGGAATTTTGACCATAAGTGCTTTTAAGTACATTAGACTCCTGATTTGTAAGTGCTCTGATGAATGATGTGCTGCTATCTTCCCTGGGCAGTTCACGTAACATTTTTCTTGCAGTTATTGAATGGGCCCCTCCTTGATGTTATGCTTAAAAACAAACATTTATTGGTGAGGTTTTGTGAGAGAAGAACAGGAGGTGTTTAACAAATACTGATTTATACATACTTGATAAATACTGAATATATATATGGTTAGGAGAGAGTAAACAGCAGAGGCTTTAGTGTTCAGATAGATATTTTACAAGGATAGATGTGTTGTCAGATAAAAATCCTGAATTGTATTGGGTTTAAAGTACATTCAAGTGAACTTATTAGTGGTCAATACTATGTTTTGATAAACGAAACATATCCTAGCTGTAAGGGTGATACAGTACAGAGATAACCCGTATAGTAAACATTAGTGAGTGAAATAATCTTGGCCATAACATTTAAGCAAAAAATTTAATTTATTTTGCTAGGAAATCTTTTTTTTTGATGACATGTTCAGTTTACCCCAAAATTAGAATATATCATTTCCTGTTCTACTTCCACAAACACTTATCTTGAAACTGATTGTTGATCTTGAAACTGATTGTTGTATCAATATTGAAATGTTAATTAACCCAAGCAAGTTTGAATATATGTAATAATTTGAGCAACAAAATTTAAGAAAGTTACAATACTAACCTTCAAAAGGCACAACAAACTTGTTGGGAGATGTTATGTTGTGTGATTTCATGTCATATGTAGCCTACATCCCAAACTCTGAATTGATTTTGTGAGTCTTGTATTCTTAATTTAGATTTTGAAGAAAAAAGGACACAGTGATATTGTCTTTATTTTTTTTCCGAAATATTTTTTGTGTGAGATATACTTCACTAGACAAATCCTATAATTTTTGGTTTAATGTGACAGTTGATTTGTTAACATAGTGAACAAATATATTCAAAGCTTTAAGTTATTTTTACATTAACACGAGAAAAATTATTTTATTTAATTGTTTACATGAGCTCACAAAGACAGTTTAGGGATTGGCCCTATATCAATACCCAAATTAGATATTTTGTGTGATGATTAGCGTGCAGCATCATTTTTGAAAACCTAGTTCTGGAGTGGTTGGAGCAGTTTACTGTCAAGTCTCTATGACCGGCTGTAAAAATTTGGAGCATTGATGTCGTATGGCTTTCTTCCTGCAAAACAGCATAAAAAATGGAACACAGTGGAATATACTGGCTTGGAAGATAAGTCTGGGGAGTTGAAGTCAGAACTGATAAGAAATTCACTAAGTAACAAAGTATTGGAAGGTGATTGGGATAAAGGAAACACTAGTCCAGAATTTTCAATCATTTGATGGTCAGTGGTATTACTGTCACCTTGAAAAAATATTTGAGATCAGTTGTCCATGGGTATGATTTATGGAATACCAAAGGGGTTTTTGGCAGTTGCAATTTTTAATTTTTTTTTACATTAATCTATTCTCAAAATGTAATGTGATAAGAATATATACATTTCATTTCCCATTTCCATGTTTACATATACAGGAACATGATTTTTTTTTTCTAAAGGATATTAAATTTTGTTTATTTTTTCCAAAGAATATAATTTTTTTCCAAAGAATATAAGATTTTATTTATTTTTTCCAATCAATATAGATTTTTTAAGAATAACTTTTTTCCAAAGAAAAAAATATATATACTGTATATATATATATATATATATATATATATATATATATATATATATATATATTCATTATTATTTTTTCACAAAGAATATAAATTTTTTTATTAACTTTGCTGCCTGGATAAAAAATTTTTTTAAGGGAATTAAAGTGAGGAAAGTTTGGGCAGTGTAATCCAGGTCATAGTCGTTTGGTACTGATGGATTGTGTAAACTGGCATTGAAAGTAAAGGTTGGTTGGAATTCATGTATTTTAATTAAAATTCCTACATTGTCAGGAATATGAAATGCTTACTGGGTAGATCCAAAACACTTAGAAAGTAGATAATTTTGGAAATTTGATATGTCTACTTCAGTAACCCATATACCCTGTATACAGTACATTTAATAAAATTCATCAGTTTTTATTTCAATAAAATGTGGCATTTGGTCACTGGTGTAGATTGTTAACATGAATGCTGCTATAAATGACAATACAGCACAGTAGACTCGCAACTTATGCAGTTTCAACTATACGCGTATTACCCTGGGGGTTAGGTTACAATTTCAAACTCAAAACTTTCAAGGGTTGTAAGCCAGCCAAATGCACCAACCTGCCATCCCACCTGGCCACCCTTGTCTGTCTTAGTTGCCGTGCGTGTATCGCTGGAGTAATGGCTGCCTCTCATGTCTGTCAATTTAGTGCGCTTAAACCTCTCTCATACTTGTACATAATGAACAAACACAAACCAACCTCTGCCTCTGGTCCTCCAGCAAAGAAACAACGCTGTGTTAGACTTGATAAAAGGCGTTGTGTCTATCGCTGCTGTGGCGCGAAGGAATGGGCTGAATGAATCGAGCGTGAGGTCCATCAAGATTTGGGAGAGGGAAATTCGTGAAACTGTGTCTACAAGTGCCTCATTTACTGCTAAGGTGACAAGCCAGGTTAGAGATGGAACTCTAGTGAAGGTGGAGAAGGCATTTATTAGTTCTAGTGTATCTGTACATATATATAGTGATTTAAGGGCGATTTTGGGGATTTTTAGGAGTGTTTCTGACTTTACGCGTTTTTTGGCTTTACGCTGGGTCCCACGAACGTAACCCCCTGAGTAAGTTGCGAGTCAAACTGTGTACAGTAATATCCCTGTTGATCGGAATCTTCGATCCCTGAAACTTTCCAATAGCTGGAATGACATAAAAAGATGTAAATACATAACAATAATTAAAAAGTAGATAGAAGTAAAAATACGTAAAGATAAGAACAAATATATAAAGATGTACAAATACATAAAAATACAAAAATCTGAAATTAGGTAGAAAACATATAATGATGTAGAAATGCATAAAAGGTGTAAAAAACAAAGACTTAAGCATATGTAAAAACACAAATGCGTGAAAGTGCATAAAATTACACAAATGTAAGATTGTTAAATTATGTAAAACTGCGAAAAAATGTGCAAAAAGACAAAGAAAGACAAATATGTATGGGACGTAAAAATATGTGAAAGGATGTAAACTACGGTCAACCCTCACTTTAAGCGGTCCCACATTCCGCGTTTACGTGGTACCCTGCCGGAACCCAGGTTGCTCACATTCCGCCGTGCGTGTACCCCTTAACGCGGAGAGTGTCCGGCTCGACGCTATTTTTCGATTCGCCCCGCCCGCCTGCTCCCGCCTCCGCCTGGCCAAGCCGCGCGGTTAGGTTGCGCAGTGCATGTCTCTGTTGCGTTATCCATGATGTCATATGACGTATCGGACTGTGATTGGCCATGCATCCCTACCTCCCTCCGCTGCTAGCTGTAATTGGTTTAAAGTAATATGACATGTCCACCCGGGGAAGGGAGGGAGGGAGGAAAGGCGACGCTTGACCTAGCTGCGGCAGTTTCATCCCTCCAGGCCACACCGGGTAATCGTGCATCCATTGTTCTGTAAAATGGCTTCTGCCGGACCACCGCCCCCAGAGAGAAACCTTTCCTTGCCTGGACCCAGTCGCCCTAAGCCCAAGAAGACACGACGTTCCTTAAGCTACGAGATGAAGTATAAGATCATCCAAGAGTTAGAGAAAGGAACAAGACAGGTTGATTTGGCGCGCCAGCATGGTGTGAACGAATCTACGATCCGGACGATAAAGACAGATGCAGCCAAGATAAAGGAGCACATGAAAATCACAAAGTCTACAGGTGCTTCTATGATCAAGTATTTTCACAACCAGGTGCTTCTCAAGACGGAAAAATTACTTGTGAGCTACTTGGTGCGTCGGGCGCAACGGAACATGGCGGTCGACACGCGCTCTGTTAAGGAGTACGCACGTGAACTGTATGCTGCAGTGTCACGAAAGATGGGAATTACAGAGCCCAAACCCTTTAATGCTTCCTCTGGGTGGTTACGGAGGTTTAAGATGCGGAACAAGATCACCAATATAAACATTGGTGGTGAAGAAGCTAGTGCTCACCGTGCTGCGGTTAGGGAATTTCCTCCGTTTTTACGTGAGATTATGGAGGAAGGACAGTACACCGACGACCAGGTGTTTAACATGGACGAATCTGGTCTTTTTTGGAAAAAGCTACCTTCCAAGACCTTCGTTGTGAAGAATGCCAGCAAGATTCGGGGCCGGAAGATGCAGGAGCGCATCACCGTCCTGTTTACCACCAATGCCTCCAGTACCTGTAAGCTCAAGTTATCGGTGATCCACACAGCCCGCAAGCCGCACGCCTACAAGAGCATGGACATGACCAAGCTAAATGTCCACTGGCTGACCGCACGTAAGGCGTGGATGTTCTCTACACTGTCCCTCTCCTGGTTTGATGACTGTTTCGTTCCCGATGTAAAGAAATTCTGAGAGCAACAGAATGTGCCATTCAAGATTTTGTTGCTGCTGGACAACGCACCAGGACACTCGCCCCTACTGTTAGATCGTCACCCCAACGTAAAAGTGGTCTTCCTTCCTCCCAACACTACGTCTATATTACAGCCCATGGACCAAGAGTTAATCTGTAATGTAAAAGCTGCATTCTCAACAAAAAAATTCAAGCTCCTGAACGACTACACCAACACCAGGGAAGAGTTGCGTAACCTGAGTGACACCACCACCGATAGCAAGAGCGAAGAAGACGAGGATCAACAGTTGGCAGAGCAAAAAATAATTTTCAAACAATTCTGGAGAATATTTAACATCAAGAAAGCTGTGGACTTCTTGGTGGAGGCATGGGATCAGCTGTCTGTAGCAACAGTTCGTCACGCATGGAAACATGTGTTGCAAGGCATTCCGGGCGTAAGGCAGAGTCAATCTGTGACTGGTGAGGTTCAGACTGTTGCAGTAGCAGTGGACCTTGCCAGAGAAGCTGCGCAGTGTTACAGCTGCAGGCTTCTCCGAGACCACCAACGACGACATCCTGGAGGTGATAAGGGATCCTGATGTGACTACCGACGAGATGGTAGATGATGATGACGTCAGTGAAGAGGCAGGTGGTGCGTCATCCCAAGAAGAACACCGTTTATCCCGTAGTAATGTTAGGGGTGCCATCGAGTGTGTCGAGAAAATCAAGCTCCGACGACCATGACGCAAACAGGTATGAAATCTTCACTACCCAGCTGTTGCAGACTATGGAGCACTACTTCAAGGTTTATCACGACAACATAAACACCAGCCGTCAGCAAAGCATAACAGAGTTCTTCGCCCGCAACCCACCACAGCCAGCCCAAGCCAGTGATAGTGACAGAGGTAGAGACAGTGAAGATGACTTTGAGGGATTTGTCAGGGAGGCCCTGACAAGTGTGGATGACAGTGATGGTGACTCACCTGAGGGCCAGTAGCCTGCCCTCTGCCTCGGAACCAGCCTCCATCCCCGTATGCTGACCCATCTCTTCTACTAACGTAAGTGTTCAACCTAACTTTTAGTTTTCCTAACCTAACCTTTATTTTTCCTAACTTAACCTTTATTTTTCCTAACCTAACCTCTTCTATATTAATTGTTTGTGCATACCATCATAAAGTTAAGATAAAATTTTTACTACAACATAGTTGTGTGTCGTCAAAAAGTGGAGTTTGGGGGTCGGCCCGGTCTCTATTTCAATTAATCCCATGTTATGTTGTTCACTTTATGCGTTTCTCACTTTCCGCGGTACCCTGTGGGTTATATTAACCGCGTAAAGTGAGGGTTGACTGCTATACGTAAAAATTTAAAAAATACATAAAGGACGTACAAATACTTAAACATGTGGAAAAAGACTAAAAATAAGTAAAAAGATGTAGAATTATTTAAAGACAAAAATACGTAAAGATGGGCAAAAACACGTAAAAGATGTTAATAGACGTAAAAATACACAACAAATTAGACAAAAATACGTCAATAAAAAAATACGTAAAAGATGTAAAAACGCGTAAATAAACGTAAAAAGAAAAAAAGCCGCCGTGACGTCATCTCCAACTGATGTAACGTCAGTGCCAACCGACGTAACGGTGGGATGTAACAGTTCGATTTCCAAAACTTTAGTATTTAATGCATCTGTAAAAAATAAAAAAAACATTTAATATACATGACAGTTCATGATAACTATATGTCCAGGAATACAGTACAGTAGTTGTTTGTTTTATGCAAGTTTGGTTAATGAACTTTCTTGGGACTAAGCTTTGCTTGCTTGACAAACTCGGTCATTTTTGTCTTAATATTCCCAGCTAAATTATTGGTACATTTAATACAGTAGTTTAGAGACATTCAGACAAGTAGATATACAGTAGAATCCCAGTTATCTCAGGGGCGCACCCAGAAATTTAGTAGGGGCGGGGGTTCCAAATTACTGAGAAGTCTGGCGGGTCCGGAAATTTTGTTGAAATCTGACCAATATTTGACGCCATTTGCACTGAATCTTAGGAAATAATCTGAGGTTGAAGATGGTTTAATTTAGCATCCTAATCTTTGTATATAGACTTATATTACAGGATAATAGAAGTCATAATT